GCTTGGAACAAAATGAGCTGCGGCTTCGGAAGTCCAGGGAGCGTATCAATCAAGACTTGGATAGCCCGGACGCGAAAAGGCGCAGTCGCAATGGCAGCTTCAACGATGTCCTTCAACGTAGAAGTGCTGTCCTTGCCAATGAGGACAACATGCCGATGGGTATCAAAGACCGTGAAGCGTTCCCGCGCTTCAGCTGTAGTCGTACCCCATGAAAACAGGCAGACATTCTGATTGTGGAAGTGCTCGGAGTCCAAGTATTCTGGCAGCAGTGTGGCGTCCTGCGGCCCATGCCCCCATTGTTTGGAAGATGCAGCGTTTGCAGCGCTCAACAAGAGGGCGGGGGGCTCGGTACGTGGCCCAAGCGGCATGGCATCTCTGCTGGAGCTAGCTCTGTGCTGTGCCTTCGCCTGAGTGGTGGTGCTGGTAGTCCCCTCGACCTGCATCCGATGAAGCGGCCGTGGCACACGAAAGACGAGCGCCGGACCTCCCTCGTAGTCAACATTGATGGGAGGTTCGTCAGCTGCGGTCCAGCGCAGGGCGAGCCACTCTGGCCCATCAGGGCCTGGCTCGACTGCAGTGACGACCTCGCCCCGTTCATTGAAAAAGGAAGCCGAACCTTGCTCTTGGGCGCGACGGAGCCTGTTCTGCAGGGTCAACGCCTTTCTCTGTAAGGGCATCCCAGATGGCCTCCTCGGTGCAGGGGACCGGCACTAAAACAGTGTGAAGGAGGCCGCTCACTTGGCGGAGATCAACTGGCAAAGCACGATGCGCTGGAGGGGCGTTTCTGGCCGTTAGAACTATCTGGGGCACTGGGACCCCCTCCAAGGGTCTTATGTGACAACCCAGATTGAACGCACCTGATATGGTACTGTATACACGGCTGCCGTCATGTAGTCAAGAATGCTCCAGTCTGGGCGAGCTCCCCGGACCAAATGGTCCATTCTGCATTCAAGAATTGTAAAAAGACGTTGTTCCTCGACATCAGCAGCTCGTGCAAAGAGGCCTCTGATCTCAAAGGGTGACCAATTGAGAAGTGGCCCCTGCAGCCACTGTGGCGTAATAGGGAGCTGCGCCGTAAGCATGGCCCTCAAATCGCTAATCATCGGTGGTGGACGCGGGGCCTTGTGGACTGGCGGTCCTGCAGGGATTTGCACTCCACGGAACCCTGGTAGCACGCCGTCGGCAAGTTGAAAGCCGTCGTGCATAGAGCCAATGCAGCAAGGCCAGAGGAAAAGATCCGCTTCATCCTGGAGAGGCTGACTGCCAACATCCAGGTGTAGCGGGCACACCGCCTTAGTGCCAGGAAGTAATCGCAAGGGTGGGCCGTGGACACAGACCGTGCTGGGTATCACCCGCACATGGTGCGAGAGGGATAGGGTGTGACCTGCATGACCGTCGTCTGCCAGTGGCACCTCCAGGAGCGGAGGGGGAGGGAGGCGAGCAAGTTCCGCTGCGCACTGGTCGCCTTGCTGTGAAACCTCCGAGGTGGCGGAGGGGGGGGGAGTGAGGAGGGTTGCCGCCGTGCAAGTCCCAGGTGACCGCACAGGCTGCGACGGGGCTGGCAGCAGGTCGGTAAGTGGGAGGACCCCCTGGTGGTGGGGGCGAGGTCTGGCCAAGGCTCGACAGGTACCGTCCTTGGAGCCAGTGAGGGGAGGAGTGGCATCGGTGCACGCAGCGGGCGGCACACGATCCTGCAAAAGAAGGGGAAGATGCACAAGGTGGGCTGCTGCCCCGAGGTTCACGCTAGGGTCCGACAAGGCACCGCCCTGCGCGTGACAAGGAGCAGAAGTAGATGTCAGGACCCCGGTTGGCTCATAGGGGTCAAAGTGGCGTGTCTCCGGAACATCCGAAAAACAAACAAATCTACCTGCCTTTGTACAAGAGGACCGGCTCACAGGTCCACAGAAGCACCCCTCACATGCAGCCGCCCCGCCAGCCCTGAAGGTTGCCCCAGAAGTCTCTTTGTCCTCTCGGCACACTTCGTCATTCTCAACTGTTTGCCCAGCCATATGCAAAACAGGAGAACGGAACGTGTACCGGGAGGCCCGCCGAGAAGCCTGGGCAAGCTCCAGTTGGTGGAGTACAGCCGAAGAAACAGTACCCTGCACAGCATCGGCCTTGGCACAGCAGAGCGGCCGAGGCGAACACCAGCCAAGAAGCACATTAGCCTCAAAAAGGCTATGGTCGTAGTGGGAGACCGAGGCGGGGAGGCAACAATTCTCCCAGCCGCGTACCCGGGGGTCCAGCCAGGTGGTGTGCCGAGCGAAGCTCGGAAGGTCATCCACCGCTGTATCAAAACTGTTCATAATGCCGAGAATCGCTGCCGCGGAGGGCCCCACGTAGTCGGCTTCAAACTCGATCGAACGGCAAGCCATGCCGCCGAGAGAAGGAATCGGCCCATACATAGTCGAGAGACCTAGGTATGGGCCCCGCCAGGACACTGCGAAGCAAGCTTGAACTGGTCGTTGCCACCTGCACCACCATCGTTCTGTCCTCGGCCCTTGTTGGGCTCGGGCTGCGACGACCTTCTGGGCGTCCGGGACCCTTCCCTGGCCTGCTGCTGTGCTTGGTCCGCCGCTGCTTGCTTCATTTCCTGGAGCGCTGCCAACATTTGCCTGGCTGATGCCTGGCTTTCGGCAGACGCTTTCTGGAGCCGTTGTGCCTCCTCGATGTCCGCATCGACGGCATTCTCGGCGTCCTCCATGTCCCGCTCGCCTCCATCCGAGGCATCTTCCTTGGCTCCCGTAAGGCGAGCCAGTTGCTGTGTCGCCTGGGCCTCTGCCTGCGACCATTGTAGCTCCTTCTCCTCGAAGTCGCTCATCACCTTGACCTGCTCCGCAATCTGCGTTTCCAGAAGCGCTGCCAGGTCTGACACGTACGCGTGCCAGGATTGAAGGTAGGAAGCCTTCTGGGTTTGGATCCTGGCCAGCGCTTGGCGGGCCTTGGCCTGATCTGCCACCGCCCTGTGCATGGCTTTGGCACTGCTCTGCGAGTTGGACTCCTGCATGACTGCGATCATCTGTTGAGCTTCTGGGGGCAGAGACGCTGAGGAACTCGAGAGGATACCCAGAAGCGCGTCCATCTGGGTCTTCATAGGGGAGACCTGTGTCTCCACTGCTGCAGCACGAGGTCCTGGAAGGTTGGGAGCTGCAGGCCCCGCCGGTAGCTGGTCCAGCTGAGGCGGTTGGGGCTGGGGCTTGCTCCAGTCCGTCTTGGCCTTGCCTTTCCCTTTGTCCTTGCCTCCCTTCGGCTGCTGCTTGCCGCCGCTCTTCCCCCGGTCCTTGGTGCGCCTTGGAGAAGGGGTGGCTCGTCTGCGTGGCGTCTTCTCGTCTTGCCACCATCCGTCCTTCCATGGTGCTGCTGTCGCAGCAGCCGTGTAGGATTGAGTCTTTCCGCACGTCTGCCAATGTCCTCCACAAGAAGGACAGTAGGTAGCGGAGTGGCGGGTCTGCTTGTTGCACACCTCGCACCACCATCCCGTCTTTCCGGGGGCTGCCATGGCGCTCTCCCGAAGTCGTTGTAGCACTGCGCCCGGCAGTGTACTTTGGCTGTGGTGTCCCTGCAGTATGGCACAGACACGTTGCAGCTTCCACTTGGACGCCTGCACGTGGCCGGCCAGCCACAGTCGTAGAAAGAAACGAGCCCGCGTTCTCGACCGCCTGGCCCGTCGGTGCCACGAAGCTTCTCCCAAAGTCCTCGTCACTGCCGTAGAGAGCCCAGAATACCAGGAAACTGAACAGACCACGCATGCGATGAAAAACCAGGGGAGCCCAGCCACCAATTATAAAACACAAACTGCTAAGCCTGTCACAGGCAGCAGTTGGCCAGCCACTGAAAAGTGGGGCTAAGAACAGCTGCTCCTCGCCGAGCGTACAGAGCAGGTTCACAAAAAGAAGGACCTAGCCTGGACGAAGTCCTCAGGCAGGTCGGTTCGCGGGCCTACTTGGGCCTCGCTGGGGTCTCCGGCACGAGACACGGGTAGTGGACCTCAAAGAGGAAACTACACTACCCTAGCGCTCGAGCCGTAACGCCTAATGTGGGCGCCTTAATAATTAGAATAGGGTATTGGGGCCCCTTATACTGTAATCATAATAATGAACCCCAAAATAGTAGAAGTAATTATTAAGGCCCTATATTAAGCCCTGAAACTCCTAAACCCTAAACCCTGCAACCCGAAGATGTCAGACCAAGTAGAAGTGAGTGTAGTAGGGTTGGGGACATATTACAGCATATGCACCAAACCCCTATTCTAATCACTACTTGGAGGTCCATGAATAGATACAAGTGGAATTATAAATAGGATAACTATGCTCAGTTATATCTTATAACCCATGTGAACCTGCAAGTACTGATTTTGATAGGAACAGGGGCATGTTATATCACTTTTCTGTCAAGGAACCCTATGGAAGAGTGTAGGTCACCAGCCAGGCCCCTATGTACCCCCCACCCGAGTCCTAACTCGAAACCCCCACACACCAAGCAAGCTAACCTGAGCCTGATATAAACTAGGATACCCAGTAACCTAAGAATAGAAAGGCCTCTCTTTTTGGTATTGGATAACTTTATAAGGAAGCTAGGACTACAAAAATGGAATAAGTTTACTACTGGGCATCCTAGTAAACCTTAATAAAAAAATCATGGGACGTAGGAAATAGGGTTATTATTAGGGTAACCATACTTATAGCCCCAGTTAGGATACTTATAACCGTACTTACTAAGTCCCATGATCCTCCAAGTAAGCTGGGCCTTGAACCCTTTCCCAGACCCCCGGGAGGATCCAAAAAGTAGATCCCGTAATGGGGGTTCCTGTAAAGTACCCTTCGTAGTATAGGGCCCCAAAGTTCGGGATCTACTTTCTAGATCCTCCCGGGGGTCTGGGTTCTGAAACCCCTTCGAAGCTCTGCACAGCCTAAATCTTTAAAAGCACCCTATCACACACGTCTAACATCGTACAGAAACCGTTGCACAACCCCGAACACGAAGAAGCAGAAGAAGAAGTCCTGCGTGCGGTCGGAGTAGGTCAGCATCTGCCAGCGAGGATCCGATTGGAATTGAAATGGACTACTACGGTTGATGATATAAATCCCTAGGGTGCCTTTAGAGGGATCTATAAGGGTACCTTTAGGGGGTTCCCTTAAAGGGATCTATAGGGCTTTGGGGGTTTAGGGTTTAGGGTGATGATATAAATCCTTATGGGAATTACGGTATATTCCTTATTATGGGTCATGCAGGATTTATATCATCAACCGTATTGCTGAGAGGTTTAGGTTTATGGCCGCGGAGTCTTCGGTTTTGAAGCTTAGAGTGTCCGACGTGGAGTTTTAGGTGATAAATGTAGGAACCTGATTAAGAAGCCCTGGGCCTATAACCCCAACATACCAAGGACTTCCATGTGGCGGTGGCTGAGGCTGTGGATAAGGGCCGGCATAAGGCTGTTTGAGACTACAAGCCCGGGTTCAAGATCTACCGACGGTACTTACCCTTGACTGAAACTTAGACTAGGATACCCAGTAACCTAAGAATAAAAAGGCCTCTCTTTTTGGTATTGGGTAACTTTATAAGGAACCTAGGACTACAAAAAGGGAATAAGGGTACTACTGGGCATCCTAGTAGATAAACCTTTAACCCTCTAAACCCTCTGCCCTAAAGCCCCCAACCTCTGCCCTAGACCCTATATAAACTAAATCCTCGGCCCTACACCCTTAACCCATTTTGTAAAGACCCCGATGTCAGAAGACTTGGACCCATTCCTCCTTCCACCAAACTTCTTGGATCGGGAAACACTTGGAGGTCCATAGGTAGTTATGCAAGTGGGGTTGTAAACGTAGGGTCATAAGTAGGGTTCCTTTACGGGCTCCACACGGGCCAGGGTTTATCGTTTTTAGGGTTCACGGGTAGTTATAATATAAAAGCCCCCGGAAATGGGTTATAAGTGTAGTTATCCTACCTAACAACCCCACTTACTGCTGATGGACAAAATCCTGCATTACCCATAATAAGGAATATACCATAACTCCCATAGTTTAGGATCCTTAGAGTCATGCAGGATTTTGTCCATCAACAGTACCTAACAACCCCACTTATGACTACCCATGGACCCTAAACCCTAAACCCTAAACCCTAAACCCTAATCAAACCCTAAACCCTAAACCCTAAACCCTAAACCCTAAACCAACAACCCCACTTATGACTACCCATGGACCTCCCAGCTCCCCTTTGATACCCGGTGTACGAGGGTCCGGCGCCTAATCGAACATGGTAACCTCAACTTAAAGGGTTCCTTAACTACTATTTGCTTAAGAACCCCCAAAAAATAAAAAATATATATATTCCTTCTGGGGGTAATATAGGGATTATTATTTTTATTTTTTGGTGGTTTCTTAAGCAGATAGTAGTAAAGGGTTCCTTAAGGTACCAGGGTTCTATCAAAAGGTTCTATAATGTAGGGCCCTTGATAATTCGAGTAGGGTTTTGGCGGTGTATTTTGCGATAGTTACAGCAAAGAACAGAGAGGAATAGCATTACTTGGAGGTTCATGGATAGTTGTAAGTGGGGCTATAAGTCCACCAGTATGGGATGTAACTATAGACATCTTACTTTCGACTCCACCTATAACCACCAATGAACCTCCAAGTGCTGATACTCTACTTAAAGGATCATGGGACATCCTATCTAGGGTTATCATTCGGGCAACTAGACTTATAACGCCAATTAGGGTACTCATAAGCTTACTTACTGAGTCTCATGATCCTCCAAGTAGGCAAAAACGGACTTCACGCTATGATTGTCAGTATGCTCCTTAAGTACCTGGCTTCCTCCCCAGGCGGTCTACCTTAAAGTGTACAGGGCCCAATAATATGGGAGTTTCCGAAAATAGGGAACCCTAATGTAATACCCTAAATAGTAGGATCCTTATTACGAGGACCCCAAAACAAGGCTAGGATACCCGGTAACCTAAGAATAAAAAGGCCTCTCTTTTTGGTATTGGGTAACTTTAGAAGGAACCTAGGACTACAAAAAGGGAATAAGGGTACTACTGGGCATCCTAGAAGGTACCCCTAATTTTCGGAAACTCTAAACCCTAAACCCTTTATAGGACCCTTATATAGATCCCCTTAAGGAACCCTTGTAGATCCCTTTTACGGTACCCCTAATTTTCGGAAGCCCCCATATCTGATTCGATGTTCGGAGTATCAGACAGCTGAGCAGGGCACCAGCTCGAACGTCTCGACGCCAGTGGGTGGGTCCTGGGCAGAGGGGTGGGAGTTTCCGAAAATATTAGGGGTACCTTATTTTGGAGTCCTTATGATTAGGATCCTACTAATACCCTATATTAAGGTCCCCTCTTTTCGGAAACTCCCGGGTCGCTTGGAGTTACCCTAAACCCTAAACCGTTAGGAGACCACTTGGAGAGCAGTCAGGAGACCCCATGGCATTGGGGAGACTGCCAGGACTCCACGAACTAAAATCGGCTTCGGGGTTTTTAAAGTAAAAGCCAGAAAGTTGGAATATCATTATCGTAACCCCTTTAAGCTAAATTTTGGGGGATCCTACCATTAATCCATATTCCAGCTTTCTGGAGTTCCCTTTAGGGTTTAGGGATACTGTTTTGGACTGTTTTGGGGTGGGCTCCTTATGTAGGGTTTAGGGTTTACGTACGGGTTTTTCAACATGCCGGCGGAATTCTGCTTCCGCCATTGGATTCAAAGCCTCGAACACGAACTAATTCTCTTTTATACTGGACACAGGAGCGCTATGGTGCGACACAGTTTGAGGAAATGGTCACAATGGTCTGAATAGAAAGCAATTGTGGTTTTAGGCTTCTGTGCCCCTCATAGCCCGCTCAACCGATGAAGACCGCAAAATCCAGATCCCTTACCTCGGCATCAGGACTATGCAGTGACATGATATCACAATCCCTGCAAAAACTGTGGGTTAGGGGGTCGTTCAGGCGAAACAAAAACCACACCCGTCACAGCTTAAGGCATGCTCTCTCAAGAAACCTTAAGAACTGAACCCATTACTTCCGAGTGACGGAAGCAGGCAGCGTCATGTCGACACAGAGCTGACCTTCGGTGGGAGTTTGCCTTGGTGCATGAGGGACAGAGACTTGGAGGCACAGTGAATCCCGAAGTCAAGAACCCCCCGAAAATGTAGGGTTTGGTAGGGTATGGACTGCCTTGGAGCTTTGAGTTTCGGGCTAGGAAATAACATCGGGGCCTGAAGAATCGGAAAAAGAGTCCTTAAAGGGTCCTTCACGGGTGTTATGTTAAAGGGTTTTAACGCTTAGCATGAGAAATTCTGAACAGTTAGAAACAGGCTATCAAGTTTGTTTTTTAGGCTTGCACAGCATACTACGAGCAAGCAACATTTCCCTACCTTACCCGCGCCCTTAGACCCTAAACCCGAAATCCCGAAACCTTCAACCCTAAATCCGAAACCCTGCATGCGAAACCCTAAACACCCTACCCTAAGGGTCCTAACAAATTGGCGAACCTCAAAACTGAGGGATTCTAAGACCCTACAGAGACCCAAGGACTCTCCCTAGGACATTCCAGACCCTCCTACAGAGATACCTGGACCCTTAGGGTAAACCCTAAATCTACATCGGAGGATTCCTCCACACGATGGCCGCGTTGCCAGCTGATTCGCTGCGGCCATTCGAAGGCCTGGGTTCCGTCCTTATTCAGACAGGCCGTTTTGGGGGTTAGGGCATGTAGGGTTTAGGGTTTAGGGTTTGGAATCAAAGGGGAAAAGGAGGGACCCTTAATGGGGACCCCTACCCTATAATGGGCTATATATAATGGGCATATAATAGCTATATTCAGGGTATATGCCCAGGGGTCCTTATTAAGAGTCCCTCCTTTTACCCTTGGGCAGACAGGCCGTTTTAGGGGTTAGGGTATGTAGGGCTTTGGGGTCTAGGGTCCATAGGGTTTTGCGGCTTAGGGTCTACAGGGGTTTTGAGCTTAGGGTCTATAGGGTTTATAAGGTTTTAGGGTTTAGGGTTTAGTGTTGCAAGGAGAAAGTTCTGAAGCAGTGAGCTCAGGAGAGCCCTCGTCCAGGACTTAGGGTTTAGGATTATGGCTTAGGGGTTTAGAGCCCACGGCTTGGGACTGAGGGCTTAGGAAGCTTAGGGCTAACGGTTAACGTTGTAGTTAAGCTGGCCCTGAACCCAAGAACCTAAACCCCCAAACCCTAATCCTTGATATGATTCATCGTTTATTCCTTCATAAAGGGATGATGGACTCTCTGATCGGTTCAGAAGCCTAAGCGTTGGGGTTTGGTGGGTTTGGGGGCTTCATTTTTGGCCGATCATCTCGGCCGAAGAGACCAAATGCCTTTGATTACAACAACTTCGGAGCGCAGACAAACACTGGCAGATCGCATAGACCTGGTTCGACATGACCTCGGAGAGGATGAGGCGGACGACCCGGCTGGCGGGCAGGTCGGCCAGGCCATAGTAGATGTCGTCGTCCCCAAACATCATCAACTCGGTCAAATCCAGATGCCCCCGGGCGAGACGCTGAGCGCCTGACACTTTGCAACAATCATGACGATGAGCTGCACAACGGTGTCCTGAACGTCCGGCATAACATGCACGCCACATAAGCGCAAAACGCTCAAAGTGCCCGAGAAGCCCACTGAATCACCTAGTCCCCAGTCCTGCCTGGAGGCTTCCTCGCGCCGTTCACGTGCTGAATCTTGTCAATGCCAACACTGACACCAGGCGCTGCAGCCTGTTCCCATGAACAAGTTAGACGCGAAGCACTTCAGCAAGTTACCAAATCCAAGTAATGGCACCGAACCTTCTGCAGCTTGGCGCACTTCTTAGGGACGAGGATCTCGTTGGTCCCCATCCGGGTGCTGATGCCCATCATGCCCTTGACCTTTGACAAGAAACTGCTGTAACTCGCACAGAACATGCCGGGGCACCGGACCAGCAGCATCTCCGGCGGTGTCCAGCAGCTCTCCGGCGGTGTCTTCGCATCTGGCCCAACCGCACGGTCCTGAAATGCGTAAACTGTGTTTGTCCGCAGCAGAGTGACACGTGCGGCTGACACTCGGCACGCTTGGCCTGGCTGTCCCAATATGGCAACACGGCTCGGATCTGAGCCGGGTCATAGAAGCGCCGGCCACGCACCCAGAGACCCAACCTGCCGGAACCGCGGGCTTGCGGACAAGCTCGCGGAAAACAGAGCCTGGCCTTTCTGCAACACCGACCCCGATCAGCATCTGGCCATCCAAGAAGTTGACGTTCATCTTGCATCAGGGCTCGCTGCGCGGATGGAGTACAGTTTCAGGCTACAGGAACAAAGGTTCGAACGGCATTGAAGCATGCCTCTATGTGTAACCCACGGAAACTTTTTTTGCGGGGACGCTGCAACGCCCCCAACAAACTTCACACTTCGCACGCCTTATTGGTGCTGGCTTCGGTTGGCAAGAGAATGATGGCAAAGCCATGCACTGGATGCCGCTCGCTGGGTGTGACAAGCAGCGGCATCCGCACGTAGGCCTGGAACATTGTTCGCAGCTGTTCAAAAGGCACCTCACTATTCAAGGCATGTCCCAGCCCAGCCTCTTGCATCAGCTTGTAGCCGCTTAGGAGCCAGCGCGCAGTTGCCGAAACTTCCAGCGGGTTTTTGGAGTAGTAGAAGCTGCAGTCCTCCCTGCCCAGCACGCCGCGGAGCGTGCCAGGGTAACCTTACACGACTGTTGAAAACCCTGCAACGACAACAAAGGCCAAGAACAGTACCCACATATCTGCCTCCTTGGCACGGCCTCCAGAGACTAGCTTCACCAGCTGCAGGGGTTTCTTGCTGGAGAACTCCGGGCCGAGCTTGGTGAAATCGACCTTGTACAGGTCGCCAAGCTCCCGCCTCAGGCAGCACTCGCCGCATGTCTCCGGCATGGCGAGCCGATGGCCATCCTGGAGACACACCTCAGAAAATACGAACAACAAGGCAGAAAGACATTCCCACAAGAACTTAAAAGAAAGGCCTGGCGAGCTTTCACCACATCTGCCACTGTGCGCTTCTGGAAGGAAGGGTCCTTCAGCGCAACCAGGTGTTTGAGCTTCATGCCCAGGAAAAGATTTGCGCCAGCTAGCGGACCTCAAAGGAGTACAACGGCAGCGAGCCAACGACGGGTTGCAAACCGTCGGGCTCGAGGGCTAACAGCTTCCTGATCACCTCAGCAGGAAAGCAACACACTGCGACCTTGGCAGAACGCTGTAGCTGCTGAGATCCGAGCATCAGGAGTGCCGTTGCCCACCTTCATGTGCTTGCCACGAAGAAAGTCGACCAGACTGCGCTCTGTAGGCGGTCAATTCCGCCCTCGAGTTTTTGAACTGCGTGGGCTTTCCCGGGCACAAGGATGATGAGACTTTGTGCTTCGGTTGATGATATAAATCCTGCATGACCCATAATCAGGAATATACCATAATTCCCATAGTTTAGCGTCCTTAAGGTCATGCAGGATGTATATCATCACCCTAAACCCTAAACCCCAAAACCCTATAGATCCCTTAAAGGGAGCCCCTTAAAGGTACCCCTATAGATCCCTTTAAAGGCACCCTAGGGATTTGTATCATCAACCGTTTTCGGCCTTCCTGGCCGAAGAGTCGATGGCCTTGTTGGCCGTCGCTTCTCCAAATGGCTCGCATGGCTGCATAGGAGGTTGTGAAAAGTGGGGCTTAGGGTTTAGGGTTTAGGGTGCATAGGAGGTGGTGAAAACCCAGAGCCTCCAAAACCCCTTAATTAAGGAATATACCTTAAATTATAATAGGATCCCTAATATGATTTAAGGTATAATCCTTAATTAAGGGGTTTTGGAGGCTCTGGGAAGTGCTGTGCTTCGGGCTTGATCAGAGTTCCGGAGGACTTTATGATGGCTTCGCACGGAATTCTATAGGGTTTCTGTGAGGGGGGGGCACGGTCCTTTCTCCCCCATTGCATAAGGACATCCAGCGTTTAGGGTGTAAGGGTTTTGAACACTACTTCTTTCCAGGAATCCCAAAAGGTTGGCAATAGTAGTCACTTGTACGAACCCTAATGTAGGAACGTGATTAAGAAGCCTTGGGCCTTGATTAGGGTTCCTTTGATGAACCCTACTATTTTGGGGTTGTAGGACCAGGGTTTCTGAATCAGGTTCCTACATTACACTTTATACAGTAACCTAAATGAACCCCCAAGCCTGTCCAAGCGAGGTAGTAGCGGAGAACCAGATGCCTGAAATAAAGGGTGCTTGTGGGGCTTCATACTACATACCTACGGCTTGCAAGAGCCCAGCCCTTCAACAAGTAAACCCTAAACCCTAAACCCTCAACCGCCAAACCCTGCAACTAGACCTAAGAGTAACCTAGGAAGAAAAGGGTGCCCTTTTTGGCTTAAAGGGGTTTATAAGGGAACCTCAACACTAAAAAAAGGGAATAAGGGCCTACTCTGGGTCCTAGGCAAGCAACAACTACTTACAGAAACTCTCACAGGAATTCTTGGAGCAGCCCTTGGAACAGTAACCCTTAAACAGGAGACCTGGACTACTATGTAAGAAGCCCTAAACCCATAAAGCCTAAACCCTAAACCCTTCAAAGGGGAAACCTAGAATAGTACGAAATCCTAAACCCTAAACCCTAAACCCTTGAAAGGGGAGACCTAGAACAGTAGGATCTATTCTATACCCCCCTTTGAACCATAGTAAAAACAGTATGTTAATATTTTCTTGGGTTTTATATGAACAAAAACTAAAAAAATCCTAAGGAGACTATAGTAGTGTGTAAGAAGCAGCGCGGTCGTCGGAGAGCCGAGCATCTGCGGGTACGACGCGGGCCATCCGAGGGGGATCCTCGGTCTCTGCGATTTTAGGGTTTCGGCTTTTTTTTTTTGTTAAGGGCTCCTTTTGGGGTTTCGGGTTTAGGGTTTAGGGTTTCGGGTTTAGGGTTTCGGGTTTAGGGTTTAGGGTTTCGGGTTTAGGGTTTAGGGTGTGTAACAGTATGCGCGCGGTGGGTGCGCCTTTTACTTTAGGAATAGGGGGCACCCCCACTAATCGCGCGCTTGCGTCAGCATGTAGTCCCGCCCCAACCACCCCAACTATTCTCAATTAGGGTTTAGGGTTCACCCCCCAAACCCCCCTCAAGGGGGGCTTTCTTGCTCTCTGCTTCCTTTCGCAGCTTGACATGTAAACAACAATATTTCTCCAGAAATCACAGCTGAAATGGATTGCTGTCGGGTTGTGGGTCCTCGCGGCCTGTGCCGGCCGCTCGACGAAAAGCAAGGGTTGGTTCTCGCGCCCTGTAAGGGCTGCTCGAAGTGTGAACAAGGGGGGCAGGCAGGGCAGAGCGGGCCAGGCAGGGCAGGAGGGCAGGAGGGCAGCGCAGGGGCCTGGCAAGGGCAGGGCAGGGCAGGGACAGGTTCCCCCTTGAGACCCGCTCTGGGCCTGGAATCGGCACCTGGGGCCCCGAGACCCACCTGGGGTACCCCCAGACCCCCCAAAAACAGCACTGAGGGAATCAATGGTGAGGGATTTGGGGTCTGAGATATCGATGATCTCAGGCGGCTTCGACACACTCACTTTTCCATGGCCAACACTTCGGTGGATCTACGGTAACAAAGGGGACCTTGATGTTCAATGGCCCGCGTTCGCAATGTACAGTGAATCGAACATGTGATTTCTTAAACCTTCCGAGACCGTCTGTGATCACACAGCGTAGCTGCAAAGACCTTTGGTCAAATCTGCATATCCCGGAATTGACATGTTCGAATCAGTTGCTCTTTCGAGCGGTAATGGCTGCCACTTCTTCATCTTCGGTAAGTATGAACTCAGCCCTCTTAAGAACCCTTCGAAACAGAGCCATTGGTGCTCCCCGCTTGGTGAGCACGTCCGCGATCATCTGCTTCGTTGCCATCCATCTCAATGATATGTTGTACTTTGAGATGTCCTCCTTCACAAGTAGCATTTCGATGGCAACCCTCTTGTCCTTCACGGATATCATGGGCCCTTCAACGTGATCATACACAGGCTTACAATCAATCACTGCGGTAATTGGTATTCGACTGCTCCACTTGTAGTCTTCCTTCAGCTCGTAGTTGCAATGAATGGCCTCACACCACATCGACCGCATCCAACGAGCTTCAGACAATCCACGCGATAATGACAGTAGCTCTGCTCCCAACGTTGAATGTGTCTGGCGGTCCTGCTTGTAGCTTCGCCAGCGTAGCACTGAAAACACACCCCACGAACCGCTCGGCAGTCTCTCATCGCATGCCGCAATCATGTAGCCGGCCTGGCTACAGCATCCTTGAGCGTTTGCCCACGAGGCATCTGAAAGCATGGCAAACTGAACCTTCTCAAGAGGAATGCTACGAACCCACACGTGCGCGTCACTGTTGTCATGACACAAACTCACAAGCTTGTTGGTTTCAATCAGGTCGTTCACCGTGGCATCACTCACACGCTGTTGCATGAGTGAACACCAAGCTGCTAAGTCCGGACGACTGCTAGACACAAGCCAGTTAATGCCTCCTAATACACCGCGCAACTGACTTCTCTCTTCCTCACTGATAGGTTCGGTCTTCTCTCGCCTTCTTTCTCGTGACAGCTCAATGCCCTTAACCTGCCTCGCGTAAGCACACTGACTGATGATGATGCTTCCATCAGACTGCTGTTCCAGATTCTTTCCGAGAAACTCTCCGGCTCCCTGTTTCCAATGCTTGAAAGGAAACATCTTCCTAAGCGGTTCCAACACATCTCTTTGAAACTCACAGTTTCCACCTGCACACAAGTCATCAACATGTAATGCGATGGTACCTGCAATCTTGCCCTTGGAGTAGTAGTAAAACAAGCAGGGATCAAACCTCGACGCACGCATGCCAAGAGATCGCAGTTTGGCTGAAAAGCACTGCCACCAAGCTTTTGGAGCATCAGCAAGACCGTAAATTGTTTTCACAGCCTCAACAACACTTCCTTCAGGAACTCCCGGCACACCGCCTGGTGGTAACTCGATAAAAATGCGACCACGCGCAGGATCCAACGCATCACCACGCAAGAAAGCACCCTCAACATCTGCTATGTTCAGCTGCCACTTCTGCGCTGCTATGAGTTGCATCGCGATGGCAAACCCTTCCATAGACAGAGTAGGAGCACTGGTGTCAAGCTTCAGCAAGTCAGGATCCAAGTATCCACGCACACACCATCGAGCCTTTAAGTCCTGTGTCAAAGGATTGCTGCCTGCCTCTGCTTCGGTGATAACAAACCTTGATTTGAGCAGCCTTCCCTTCTCTAAGGACTCCTTGATCCTTTGCGCCTTGCTTCCTGAGTGCACACGAATAGCACCACTGTCAACCAACTTTTTCCACTCCTTCACCTTGGCCTTGGACAAACCTTCACGGCGCTCCTTCGGAACCTCATGGTCACTAAGTTCCTTCCTGCCTTTCTTGATGTTCACCTCATGGCATTCCTTAGGTTCCTCCTTGCGCAACTGCCATCCTGGTTTCAACACGAACTCCACGACACCAGTCCAGAAACTTCCACGCACTATCAACTCCTGACCCTCCGGTGCTCGCCAGTTGTACTCCTGAAACACACGATTGCCAAGCCTGTCAAAGCCTACCAAGTGGCACACCTCTTCAACATCCTCAGACCGCACAGGCAACTCACTGCACCGTGGAAAGTACAACCCCTTTCGTTCAACTGCAACCACACGCACAAGCTTCGACCGACCATGCTGCACAAGCCAACGATCGCTCTCGACGTCGTACACCTCTAGGTCTTCATCTACATCATCGATCCCAGGAACTGGAACCTCATGTGCTTGCACCAAACCTGGCGGTTGATAAGAACTGGTGGCACGACCTCGGTCAAGCAACTCAGGATCACCTCTCAACATGGTTGTTAGTGGCGTGATCTCCACTTCCCCATTAGCCCTTCGAGCTCGCTTGGTAGGAGATTCATCTCCACTACCCTCAGCTGGAGCATCACGAGCCACAGGCCTTGCAGAAGCACTCTCAACATCCATCGGCATTTCACCCAGGGGTGCATCGTCATTGTCTTGAAAAGTATTTCCGACAACAGCAGCTCCCGGAATTGGTTCCAACGTGTCATCTGGAACTGCTTCTGATGGCGATGCTACTTCCTCATCTGGTGGCCGTTCCAACATGCTCAAGTCGTGATAATTGCCTGCTCCCTTCGCACTCACCTGTCCACGTATGTGAACCATGTCTGCAGGCAAGAGTCGCACCTTTGCTTCTTGATCGGGAGACAAGCATCGCAACTGCTCCGGACAACACCTGTACACCTTGGTTCCCTTGGCAACCCAGATCTTGGATGATCCCGACTTACCTATAATGACAGCAGGTCCATGCCAGTGAGCCTTGTTGTCGAATCTGTTCTTTCTCCACAAGAAAACAAGCTGGCCGACCTCAAAAGGACCACGCTCTGGTCGCGTTCGATGCTCCATGGCCTTTCGTAATCTCATGTCATTATCAGCTTCCAAGAAAGCCTTGCGAGCAGCTGATCTAAACGCCATGCGCCTTTCAAAAATCGACTCCCCCTGCACCAACGACGAGTTAATGACAGGATCCATATCAGAACACACTAGACCAGGAACTCTCACATCTCGACCAAACACATGTTGATTTGGGGCGTATCCATCCTTTCGGGTCATGCTGTTAACCGCGTTGTTTATTTGATCAACAAGTTCCATCACTTCCTGTTTGGTTCGTGGCCTCGTTTCCACCTGAGCTTTGGCATAAGCAGTTTTCCAGACATCCCCTCGCTTTTCCACAAGCCCATTTTGCGAGGGAGAATAAGCAGCTGACGTGTCACCGAATGTCCCATCTAAAGTCAGCCCGTGTTCAAACTCTCCCTCAAACTCCTTGCCCCCATCACAGAACAGCCTGATAGGCGCACCCGCCCATCGTTTCCAGTTCTTCCTGTAGGCGTTTCTAACATGTTTGGCTTGCATGCCCTTCCACAACGGAACAACCATCTGGAACCCCGTGGCCTCATCAACAATGTTCAGAAAGTGCAGCTTAGTGTCCCTGACCTCTTGTTCAAAAGTGTCCACACACAGTTGTTGATTGAACTCCGTAGCCTTCCTAAGCTTCGTGACATGATGGGCTTTAGGCTTGGACAACTCAGCACAAGTCTCGCACTCCAATCCCTTCGCAAGACGCAACACTCTCTCGCTCGCATGAGCAGCTTTCAACAGCATGTTCAGCCTAGCTGGTGAAGGATGTCCCAGATTCTCGTGACAACGCCTGAGGATGGTCATGACTCTCCTGTCATCCTGTGAAGACTCACTCCTCAAGTCCTCAATAGAGTACACGCAATGTGCAGCATGCACCTCATGAACCTGTTGCCTTGTTTTCAGAACACCGACTGCGATATCCTTCATGAAACACTTCGGATCCTGTAATTCTCTGACATTCACCCAGGACTTCTTGGACTGCTCATGCACATGACGACTGTTGGTGAACAATCTCCAGCAACTCTCGCTCTCCACTCTCTCCACACAGAACATGCCCTCATCACCTCTCTCTTTCTTCCACATCTTGACCCTGGCACTCAAGCTCTCGTTGACATCTTCCACGCAAAACATGCGACCTGCACACCGCTGCTCAGCACAACATGCACTGACAAGTTGAGTGTACTGCATTTTGTACCTTGCATGGTATGTCCTAACCATTTGATGGCCTCCTCGCGTCAAGGTCATGTGATCTGGTGGACGAATGAGCAGAAACTTCGGAGCGCACTGCCGGATTCTTTCAAGCGCGACTGCGATCACCTGCGGATCCCGAACCTGTTCTGGTTCTAGCCGATCGAAAATCGACTCCACGCTAAGACCTACTGCCGTGAGCACCTCTTCGCCAGAGCCCTTTTCAAGAACAAGCACATCCACACTGCTATCAACACCATAAGTGTCCACGGGGCAATGGGAACAGGATTCCAACCCACGCCTGCACAGCTTCTTCTCAGCGCTACTCATACATGAAGCACTAAAGGCCTCATCCACATAAGGACCTATGGTTCGTCCTCGAGTTCCTCCAACTGGTTGTGGAGCTGCTGAATCTGCTGCCGGATCAACCGACTGTGCCTCTCCCGTGTTGTCTCTTCCACCTCCGGCTCCTGTGCCACAATCCACTGATCCTCCCACACTGTCGACGACGAGCTTCCCGGCACCATGGCACCCTGCGTCTGCGCATACTCTCGCTGGGCACCCTGCACCTGCACATGCTCCCGCTGGGCCGGCTGCGACTTTGGCTTGGCCGTCGCACGTGTCACCGCCTTGGCCTGTGGTCGCATCTGCATCACCGCCGGTGACGGCGGATTCACCGTCACGGGGACCACGGTCTGCGTCTCCATGATGCGCCGGGACTTCTTCTGGTCGCGGATGGCGATGTACAACCTGAACTGTGTCATTGTCGGGTGGCTGGTCTTCTCGGCAGTTGGGGATCGGCCCTTGATGAACTTTCTCACCCAGGAAACATACTTTTTGTCTGTCTCGTATGCCACCTTGAAACTCATCAGCTGGCCTGCCTTCTGGTACTTCCCGATATTGAAGATCACACGCCCAAGAAGCGCCTCGGATCCGGGCACGGTTACGCCTCCGTCGTCGTCGCTGTGATCTGGTGCCTCGTCCAGGATCTTCGCATTGATGTCCGACAACTGGTCGTCCATTGCCGACTGGCTCGTCACCTCGGCCGTCAGCTCGTCGATCAGGTTCGTGCGCACATAGCCCTCGGTCATCTCCATCGGCACGTCGCCCATCATCATCTCGCCGGTGTAGCTCATGTTTCTCTGGGGCTTCTACAACGCCGGGGGCTCTATCAGTCGCTGGCAACACAGAAAACTCTGCGGCATTCACTTCATGCGTCTGCACGTGCTTCACGGAAGTCTCCTTCATCTTGTCACGACTGATTCCCAGGCCCTCGAAGATTGGAAGAGCGTAATGCCCTCGTTCGGTCTCCCGCAACTTGACTTGTACCCCATACTTACCGATCTCCAACACATCACTCCCCATATCTAATTTAACTTGCAAACTCCGCAACAACTCCTTAGATAGAAGAAGTGGCGTCTCTGACCCCGGTCCTGGCAAAACAGCTGCCCTAATCGCCAACTGCTTGCCGCCTAAACACACCGGAATCAAAGCTGAAACTGTAGAGCTCAGGGTACCTGCATTTCCGAACCGGAACTCATGCTTCTCCCGAACAAACCTAACTCTCAGCCCCATCTTACCCAGACACTCCGTCATACGTTGTAACACGGACTCACCCACTAAGGTCCGCCTACACGCAGTGTCAGGAACCCCATGCTCAGCAAGATCAGCGCACTCCGACATGTATGCCTCATGAGAGCGCTCGTCCTTGCGATACTCCGAGCTGTTCAAAAACTCTGTCAAGCTACGCTCAAAGTCCCCCTTCACCTCATTGGTCTCGCCAATGGCTTCCTGACGATCAGCCAAGATCACTTCGACTCCGTCCTCCTTTTCTGCCAGAAAGATCTCGAACCTTTCCAGCTCATCCACATCCAAGAAGTGCTCAGCATCGATGTTCTTGTAGTCGCCGCCATTATCATCTGCCATCATTGCCTCGTTGGAACTGCTTGGCCGCTGATGCCGCACCGCGCCGGATTGTTGTCCTCGCCGTGGGCACTCTCGCTTCCAATGTCCTTTCTCATGGCACAAATGACATTTCGTTCTACTCTTCAACATCTCAAGCTTGCCCTTGACGGTGCCCGTGAGCTTCCACTGATTGCCTTGATCTGGCTTATATCCCCGACCAAGACGCTTTTGCTGAAGCCTCTTCCGCACCTCCTTGTAGGTCTCAAAGACGTCCAGAGCGTCCTCCTCATCGTACTCATCTGTGGCTTGGACCTGGTCCGCCACCGCTTGGAACACATCGTCGATGAGCTCCTCGCCCTCCGTCTCCTCGGGATCCATTGTGCTCTCGAAGACCTCCCTTGTCTTGGCACCTCCACTCTTGGCTGCACCCTGTGGGAAGATCGCCTGCACTGCCTTGACCACATCCTCATGTTTCAAGGATCCCTTGGTATGCGTCATGAGCAAAGCTTGTGATGTCTGTTCGAGCTGAAGCTTCCGAATCAAAAACCACCCGCGGACCTCCGGTGGCAGCTCCACGCTATGTTCCTGAAGTCGACGGTATGCAGAATCCAGTCGTACGCTCATGTTCCTGTACGTCTCTCCAGGCTTTATCTGCAATCCATAGAAGTACTCTTGCAAGTGATTGTGCAACGCCTCCTTGTTCAACTCCTTCTAGAGCTTCCAAAATCAGAGTGTGACCGCCCTCCTTGGTGATCTTATCCAGTGGCAGAGCCTCCACCACTTCGTCGGCTTCTCCTGCAACGTATTCCAGGAGTTTCGCTCCCCATCGGTCCTTCGTGTAGGTGTTGGGAAGCGCTAACAGCATCAGCTCTGCACGCCTTCTCCAGCGCCGATATGTTGCTGGTGCACTGCCGTCAAAGCGCTCAAGGCGCGGCTTCTCATCATCCCCCCCCGGACCACTCATAGCACTGGCTCCTCTGGCTAAGCGGAAGTCGTGCGCTTCTGTCGCCTCCTGCCTGGCAGTGGCAACACCGAAGCTCCGCTACCACCTGAGATATCGATGATCTCAGGCGGCTTCGACACACTCACTTTTCCATGGCCAACACTTCGGTGGATCTACGGTAACAAAGGGGACCTTGATGTTCAATGGCCCGCGTTCGCAATGTACAGTGAATCGAACATGTGATTTCTTAAACCTTCCGAGACCGTCTGTGATCACACAGCGTAGCTGCAAAGACCTTTGGTCAAATCTGCAGGGTCTATCTTTACTGCCTAACGGCAGAGAGGTCATTCGCGTGGCGGGGTCACTACAGTCCTTGTATACCGGGAGGCTTTACCCTCCCTCACCGTTCTGACAGGACGCTCGGTCGGGGACCTCGGTCGAAGCCTCGAGCGCCCATGCAAATGGTCAGCGGCGCTCTCGGCAGTTTAGGGTCTCCACGAGTTTAGGGTTTAGGGTTTCGGGTTTAGGGTTTAGGGTTTAGGGTTTAGGGTCTCCACGAGTTTAGGGCTTAGGGCCAAGGTTTGGGACTACTTAGGTTTAAGGCCGTTTAGGGTTTGGGGCTGTTTAGGGCCCAAAGTTTAGGGTCTCCTTGAGGGCTTTACCGAATTGGTGCGCTTTGCATTTTGGGGCTTTGGGGTTCTATGTGCCGTTTTGGGGATTTCTTCGCAGGCTTTAGGAAATTTGGGGTTCTACCTTTTCTGGTTTCGGGAATTCCCTTTACACGCCCCTTGAAGCCCCCTTTAAAGCCTCCCTTCAAGCTCCCTTTAAGCCCCCTTTTGAGGGTGCTGCCAGATCCCTGAACCACTGGTCCGAAATCTTGTTCAAGCTCCCGCCCCTAGGGTGGGAAAATGAACGTTGATGGTGTAGGGTCGGGGCTCTATATGGGAGTTTCCGAAAATGGGGGACCCTCATATAGCACCCTAACTAGTAGGATCCTTATTTTTTCGGACCCCAAAGCAAGGCACCCTAATTTTTGGAAACTCCCATATACTCTTTGCGTGCATGTCCCTATTGCAATACGGCACCTAATATTCAGGGTACCCCAAAAAAAGGGGCCTAATTTTTGGAAACCTCTCAAAGGCCACCCAGGATCCAAGAGAGCCGTGTCGTAGTTGTTCGCCTGCACTTGGATGCAGACCTCGCAGATCTTCCTCAGCTGTGCTTTAAACCAACTGAAAAATATTCAGGAATAGGTTCCCGTTGTAAGGTTTTTAAGGGAAATTAAAAATATTTATGAACAGGTTCCCTTTACAAAGAAGTAACGGGAAATTAAAACGTATCCCAAATCACAACCCAGCTTCGTATTCCCTTCCACCAGCCGCGGCCGCATGCACTCCTCCAATCAGCCGCTGCTTCGAGCTTGCGGGTGCTAATTTCTAGCCCAAAAACTGGCTCAAACCCTAAGCCCAAAAGAAACCTAAAAATCATACTTTAAGTTTAGCCCTAGACCTTATAACCCCAAAACCTGAAGTTTAAACTGTATATAGACACCCTGACATCGACGCAAACTCAGCTCCTTCGATTGGCCAGGAACGATTCGAACCTCTGGAGATGGAAGCGAGCAGTTCGGTCCTGCATCAGTGCTAGTAAGTTACTACCCCCAATAAGCCACAGAAATGAAAGCTTAAACTTTTCGATTCCTACTAAACTACAAGAGCCCAAGAAGTTTAATGGTTGGGCATTCAGGATCTAAAGTAATGTAGGGGCCTTAAGAAACTTAAGCTAGTGTTGGGGGGTTCATGGGCAAGTATACGTAAGCTATTCGTCCCAGACTCTATATCCCACGCTTATAACTACCCATGAACCCATGAACCTCCAAGCGCTGTTGAGGGGTATACTGTCGCAATCATATTCTGGGAGCCCAACAGACTGGAATTGGAATGTAATTGCTAAGGCCTCAGAATTGGTTCATAAGGGGCTTATAGGGTTTGAGGTTGACGTTTTAAGCTTTGGGGTCTTATCGGGGCCTGAGGCTTTATGGGCTCCTGCGACTTTTGCTTACTGGTGTCCGGTGTTGAAGGGCTTGATAAGCTTGACGGATCATGGGACTTAGTAACTAGGGATATCTTTAGGGTAACTATGCTTATAACTACATCTGAATGCACGTATGACCTTACTTACCAAGTCCCATAATACTGCAAGGAAACCCTGAAGTGCACGTTCTTAGTTGTTGCGTTCGTAAGCCCCCCAAAAGGTAAGCTTTCAGTTCTCTTCGTGACAATGCTACCCGAAATTTCTGGAAATCTATTAACTAAACCCTTAAAGACTAAACCCTCAGAGCTGCTAAGGGCTTATGAAGATCGTAGAAACACCAAGAACCACCCACAAGGCCTAAACAATAGACCCTGAACCTAGCCCTGAAAAACCACACACAAGCCTTGAACATGCAAAAACCTACGGACCCTCAACACGAAAACACACCAAAGACCCTTTAACCCTGAACCTTAAATCCTAAACAGTAAACCCTGAACTTAGGTGCCGAGTTCATAAGCCAAAAAAGGTTTAAACTTTCAGTTAAAAGAGGGTTTCATTATCCCAAAAAGTTTAAAGTTCATAAACTCAGCTACTAAGTGAACTCTAAACCTTGCACCCTAAGCCCTGAAACTCTCCCCGAAGCCCACCTCCAGTTCCCAACGGGCATCCACATAGTCCCACGGAGTAGTCACAAGCAACCCGGTACCTTTGGTGGTGTGGGTTGAGGGTTTAGGGTTTAGGGGTCTAGGGGTTCAGGGGTTTAGGGGTTTAGGGGTTTAGGGGTTGAGGGGTTCAGGGGTTTACGGGTTTAGGGTTTAGGGTTTGGGGTTTAGGGGTTTGGGGAGGGCACCTCGAATGATTTTTTTTCCAGGCTATTAAAGGATCCGTAAGGCTTAGGGTTTAGGATCTTCGGGGTTTTAAGGTTTGTCCGTGACGGACCCCTAAACCCTAAACCCTAAACCCTAAACCGTTAAGGTTTAGAAGTTCAGGCTGGAGGTTCGGCTTTCTGGTCGTTGGCTTTTAGCGCCTGGGATATAGGGTTTAGGGTTTAGGGTTTAGGGTTTACAAGGAGACTCCCTAATTGGGGTTACCGGTAGATATAGGCATAGAAATCCCGAAGGGTCCGGGATCAAACTCCCCATCAGCGGGGGCCAGTAGCAAGGGACCCCAGTGCCCAATAGCTCTGGGCAGGCCATGAGCCTGCGACATGAACCTTTGCATCCAGGGGGCTATGGAGGCATCTGCTTAAGCGATACTGTTGATGATATAAATCCTTCATCACCTCACGGACCCTAAACTATGGGAAATATGGTATATTCCTTATTATGGGTCATGCAGGGTTTATACCTTCAACCGTAGTAGAGATTCCCACGGTCCCCGAGATAGGTGTGAAGTTGGAGGCCCTCTTCACGACTTCAAGATGGGCCATTGCACACAAATCCTGGACGATGTCAAGCAGTGCCTTTTCCTAAGTGACATGCAAATCGTCACCAAGGCCATGATGTCTTGCGCAGCAGCAGAGGCAGCCAAGAGAGACTTTAAGAACCTCTCGCGCAAGAAGTACAGCATGCCCTAAGGGTCCATGTACCCATATAGAGATACATGGGCCCCAATGTACCTATGTAGGGATTACAGTAAGGCCAATGTATATACCATATGAGTACATGGACCCTTAGGGATGATTGAGTACAAGGGCCTGTTGAGGTGCGGTAGTGGGACTTCGGATGTCCAGTTTAGGGTTAGGGTTTAGGGTTTAGGCACCAGCGTCTGGACGGAAGGTTTCCCAAGCTACAGCTGCTACTTTGACCCATTCTTCGCGGATTGCAGCGGATTGCTTTGCCACGGAGCTGGAAGCTGTGAAGATTGCGCGGGGCGGGATAGGCTTGAAGAATGTGGAGATCATCATGAATTCTTCGGCTTTAAAAGTGAAAAAATAGTATATAACCTAATAATAACACTAGCTACTGAGCCCCATCATCCTTTAAATACGTCATTTGAACATGCGACTCTCGCTATGCTACCTTGACTACACACTACCGCTACGCAATGTCCTACGATTGGGTACGCTTATTGACTACAGCTACACCATGTCAAGTGGTCTAGGACCCTAACCTGGAGATTTGTTTAAGGTTTAGGGTTTACGGCCAGTTACGGTTCCCTACGCCGTAAACCCTAAACCCTGAGTTTTGGGCTTGGGGCTTAGGTCTCTAGGGCCCTAACCTGGAGATAGGGGGGATATACATGGAGGTTCATGGAACTTAGTAAGTGTAAGGTTTCCATAAAAGGCTCCTTACAGGGATTTGTAAGGCTTTTTAAAGGGGTTTTGCAAAAGGGGATCATGGGACTTAGTACGTAAAGCTATAGGTACCTTAATTGGGGGTTCATAATCAACAGATAAGGAGAGTATACCCAGGGACTCCAATATCCCTTAATTAAGGAATATACCTTAAATCATATTCACTTTATAATAGAAGGAATAATCCTTAATCAAGGGATACTGGAGTCTCTGGGTACTTACCCTAAGATAGGAGACCTATGAACCCAAATATCTCTGAGTCAGATACCCAAGACCTGAACCCTAGAACTTAGTTGATGAGTTCATAAGCCCAGGTGTACACTTTTGGTTTTATAGTGGGTGGTATTATCCCAAGAAGTGCAAAGTGTATCCACTCAGCTACTAGGTAAACCGCAAACCCCTAAACATCTAAACCGCTAGACCCAAAGCTCTGACATGATCCGTGCTGCCCATCTGGGAGGTAGCCGCAGTCACGAGCACAGCTCGTGCAGCCGTTGAAGGTGGCATTGGGAAGTGGATTGCCTTAGGGCTCTGGGTTTAGGGTTAAGGGTTTCCGAAATAGGGACGCTGATATACTACCCTAAATAGTATCATCCTTATTATTAAAAGGACTCCTAAATAAGGTACCCCGAATTTGCGGAAACTCATTTCTGGCGTTCAGGGTGTAGTTCGTGTTTCCTACGTAGGGTTTACTAGGTGGGGATTTCTTCACGTCCCAAGATTACACATAGTTAGGGCTCTGCATTCAGCAAAAGGGAAATTTTAAAAATGTGCCAAATCGATGCCTAGGATAGGGCTTTAGTAGCCGAGCTCATCGGAGCCCTGTGAGTGCCGAGCTACGGCCTGAAGTCGAGTTTGTGTGACTTTGGGGTTTTAGTGTTCAGGGTTTAGGGAATATTTGCAGTGGCAAGTGGGCAGGCACATCCATCCATCCATCCATCCCTCCGTCCATCCATCCGTCCGTCCATCCATCCATCCACCCAGGCACGCATGTATGATATCATACATGCATACACACATGCATGCACTCATAAATGCGTACGTGCGTGCGTGCATGCATGCAAACATGCATACATGCATGCATATGTACGCACACTGATGCAATTTTGCATCAATGCACTGGAACATCAACACATTCATGATGAGATGTACAGCATTGATACATGCATGCATTGGCACATGTAACACATTAATATGCATGCACAATGTAGGCATACATGCATGCATGTATACATGCTTAAGACATACGTGCATACGTACGGTAGTACACTGCGTTAAGACCGTGCATGCATGCATATTACGTAGTCATGTACTCATATCATGACGATGGTGATGGCGCTGATGATGAAAATCAAGCCGATGATAACGATGGTGGCGATGATGATGATGATGATGATGATGATGATGACGATGGCGACCGTCATGAGTGCTCCTGCGATCTTTGCTGCTACGATTTCTGAAGATGTTAACCTCTTGATAGCAGTGACCCATTAACTGCAGGTCCTACACCCAAAACCCTAAACCCTACTGTAAATGCTTGCGCTGATGTTGTTGCTTGCTACGCAGAAGACGATGGAGGTCGCCTGAGCTCCCACCTAGCGTTCCCTGCACCGAGGTTTCAAACATTGCTGTACAGATTTTTCGGTCCTTTTCCCATCACTACACAAAGTTGCTCAGAACATGCCCGTGGGTCCGGGTCACCTGGACAACCAAGTCATGCAGCAGTAACGCCCCCTTGGATCAGACAGTACAGGTGTAGGGCTTAGGGCATGCGATCCAACCCAACCATGCAACAAACCCTGAACCTTAATCCCTGAGCTTACCTGTGGTGAGTAGTAATAGTAGTTATAATCGTACCCCATTCCTCCATTCCCTACTAACCTAAGGTAAGTAAGCCTAAACCCGAAACCCTAAACCCGAAACCCTAAACCCTACTTGAAGGCTCATGAGACTTAGTAAGTAAGGTTATAAGTAGGTTATAACTAGGATAACACCACTTAGGGGACTTATAACCCCAGTTATAACCTACTTACTAAGTCCCATGATCCTCTAAGTAAGCCCTAAACCCTAAGCCAAGCTGCCTGGTGGTGTCATGTCCTGTAAACGTGATCGATCTGATTCGGGGAGGCAGAGGACTTCGGAGATCTCGTCAGCGGCATTTGTCGCAAAGATCTGCCTCAGTGGTATAGGGTTTAGGGTTTAGGCTTTACTTAGAGGATCATGGGACTTAGTAAGTAGGTTATAACTGGGGTTATAAGTCCCCTAAGTGGGGTTATCCTAATTATAACCTACTTATAACCTTACTTACTAAGTCCCATGAGCCTTCAAGTAGGGTTAGTGCTACTGTTCCTTTCAAGGGATCTATAAGGGTACCTTTGAGGGGTTACTTTTAAGGGATCTATAGGGTTTTGGGGTTTTGGGTTTAGGGTGATGATATAAATCCTGCATGACCCTAAGGACTCTAAACTATGGGAACTATGGTATATTCCTTACGATGGGTCATGCAGGATTTTGTCCATCAGCAGTATGGAAACCCCACCCCGAAAGGATAACAAGTCAGCACCCTAGGATCCAACGACCAGCCTCAAGCTTTCAAAAAACGCACTTCTGTACATTTATAGTTAGTCCCAGAAAGTTGGAACATGGCTTTAGGATGAATAGTGCTGGAATCCCCTATACTTTGCCTTAAGGGCATGAGGATAATGATGTTCCAACTTTCTGGCTTCTACTGTAGGGGTTCAGGGCTTACCATCATCAGAAGGAGCCCGAAAAGGTTGTTTACTGAGGGTTCAGGATTTCTGTCTTAGCGTGTCTGAAACCTGAAACCCTAAACACCCACACCCAACACAGAAACCCCAAATCCCGAGTAACCCAGTGTAAAACGGAACCAGAAACCCACCAAAAACCTGATCCCAAAACCCTAAACCTCAAACCCTAAAGCCCGAAAAACCTTAAACCTGAAAACCCTTAAATCAGCTTTAAAACAACCTAGAAGCCTGAAAACTCAGTGATACCCTTCCTTATGGGCTCATTCTTGTACCCAAAGCAAAACACGCCCCAAAACCCCATTGAATAGGGTTTAGGGTTTGGGGCCTAGGGTTTAGGGTAAATTAAACCCTAAACCCTAAACCGTGGCTCTGAAAGAAGCAGGCCAGCAGGTGCCAAGCAGCAGCGACTCCGTGCAGGCGTTCGACCTGGCTCTGTTCAGCATGCGTCGTCTAAGGATTAGGGTTTAGGGGTTTAGGGGTTTAGGGCTTGGGGTTTAAGGTTTAGTGTTTCGGGTCTAGGTTTTAGGGTTTAGGGCGTCGTCTCAGGGTTCCGTTGAGGTTCCGGAAGGGGCTTCTATTTCTAGGTTCCTGACTAGCAGCGTTTAACAAGGGTGCCTTGTACTATTCGGTTTTAATAATAAGGAGGTCCGAAAAAATGCCAAAGGGTACCACTCGGGAACCTAGAATTTGGGTTCTACCACGGTGAACTGCTGCGGGTTTGTATTCATCCTTCAGGAGTTTTGCAGGGTCTCTCAGGGCGTTCTGACTGTTTTTGTTGACCCTCTGTGGACTTGAAAGTGTTCAGGGATTTGGGTTTGGGTTCAGGGTTTAGGGTTTGGGTCTTACAAGGTTTAGGTTTGGAGTTTGAGGCGTCAATACGGGCAAGAATGGTGTCAGCAGTATCGTAATCATCGCCAGTTTCAGTGTAGAAGTGGCAGTCGCAGCAGCAGGTGTTCTGGTGGTGGCATGTGGTAGCTGGCAGTGGCGTAGTAGTAGCAGCTGTAATAGCCGCAAGGGTCGCAGTAGAAGTAGCAGCCTATGCCCTAAACTCTAGACTGTAAATCTTTTACCGTCGTAGTCGTAGCAAAGGGTTGAATTAATAGAATAAAGTGTAAACCGAAAACCTCACTTCACTTCTTTCGCTTGTGTTTTTCTTTATTCAATTAATTCTCCCTTTTGCCACCAACCGTAAACGAACAGCCTGGTGATTTGGTGTACTAGGAAATGATCAGAAGAAAAGAGAGAACGAAGCAAAACAATGAAAGAAGAGAAGCGTGTGTGTTTCGTGTTCTTTCTTTATTTTGCTATTTTGCTGTGTTGTTCCTGTTGTGTTTCTGAAAAGAAGCACACGCACCTCTCTTCGTTCGGGTGTTGCATATATATTGAATTAATTGGAACACAGGCACCACACATCCCCTGGTTTGATTACATGAACAAGCACTCCACTACGCTGCATTTGTTTCATTTAGTTGAATTAAACAAAAAGCTCTCGTCATGATCTAATCTGCGCGCCTTTTGTTTGTATTGAGTTAAACGTAATGAGTGGAACGCACGGTTTAATTCAGCAGCGGGATATAGGGTTTTGACAGGTTCCCTAGCACGCCCTCGCCTTGTTCCTTTGATTCAGTGTTAACAAAAAAAGAACACACAAAAATGAAAAATTTCAATTTGGTTCAGAAACCTACCATGGACTGGCAATAGGTTTAGGGGACCATCTGCATTTAATGCAGGTGCCTTAATAATCAGAATAGGGGTTTGGGGCCCATTATACTATCACTACAATAAGGAACCCCAAAACAACATTGGTAATTATCTAGGCCCCTATGTTCCCCTAAACCCTAAACCCGCATTGACTGCAGGATCCAAAACCCTGAGCCTGGGCTCCTCTAGGTGCCGTAACCCTAAGGATCCATGTACCCGAAGAGTATATACTTTGGCCTTAAAGTAGTCCCTACTGAGGTACATTGGGGCCAAAGTATCTACTATTTGGGTACATGGACCCTTAGGGTAATAATCAAAATAAGACTTTTCGGGTAGAATAAAGTTGCAATACTCCAGGAACCCTACTAAGGAAGTGTATTGGCAAGTGTTCGAGCTTCTTAACTGTCCTGAACATGTAATTTCACCCAAGCTGCGAGCAGATGATCGTTGTCAACCCAAGCAAGCCTGGTCAAGGCGTTTGAAGGATTTGGCGGTGGTTGTTGTCTTTGCGGCTGCTTGAAACCCTGAAGCATGAAGCCTCTACCTAGACCCCCAAAAAAGAAATAATGGCCCAATACCCACAAAAGGCTATTATTCTACATACTTTGGGGGTCCAGGTAAACCCCGTAAAGTCTAAGCCTCTCAGCCCTGAACCCTCACGCCCTGAACCCTAAAACCCTCAGTGACCACTCTCTCGCAGCTGCACAACTCCACGCGGGCGGTAGCAGCCGGACCGCTCCGCAGAGGTCTGAGATAAAACGAAAAACACAGGGGTCGCCTCAAAGAAAAAAGACAAAAGCACTACAATCCCAAGCCCTAAATAATTAGGGTTTCAGCTTTAGGGTACTGCCTAAGCCCTAAACCCTAAACCCTAAACCCTAGAACCCTAAACCCTCAACCCTGAACCCTAAACCCTAAACCCTAGGCCTAGGTATAGTTACCCTAGTATCTAATTACTAAGTCCCATGACCCTTTAAGTAGGGTAGTTCGTTAAGGCAGATTGGAGGGTCTCTGTGGACCAACGAGGAGATGCGAAACTTTGGGATAACCCCGGCTTGAGATCCTACGCCCGGCCCCAAGATGAGCCAGCTGTCAGACTAGGGTGTAGTAGTAGAGTAGAGCAGAGTCTACTCTAGGCTAGTTTAGGGTTTAGGGTTTAGGTTTTTTTTAAGTGCAATGGCTTAGGGTTTAGGGTTTAGGGTTTAGGGTTTAAGGTTTAAGGTTTAGGGTTTAGGGTTTAGGGAGTCTAGTCGAGACTGGTCTAGGCCAGAGAAGTTCAGTATGGTACGGTACGTTAGTATCTTATGGTACCGCACAGTATATAGTTCATAGTATATAGTATCGAGTATTCAACTTGCACCTGGTCTCAAGCACGTGTTTGTAGTATGCAGTAACGCAATAGCAAATTTTCTGAAAACCTGGCTTCTAGTAGCATCTTCTTATGCCTTTGGTGCTCTACAGTGTGCCGGGCCGAAAAGGGTGGAGTTGCGGAATTATGCTGCAGGTTTGTGAACATCGACCCGCCTAAACCCTCAACCCTAAACCCTAGTTGCGGGAGGTGTAGGGCTTAGGGTGTGTTGGGTTTTGAGGTTTAGCAGTTTAGCGTTTAGGGTAGTAAGAAAGCTTTTGACACATGAGATGGGTCAAGCTCCATGCTATTCAGTAAGCCTGTGAAATCGTCTATATTGATTCATACTGAGTCTGACAATTTCGGGGGTCAGGTAGTTGCCAAGGTACTAATCAAACACGGCTGCAGCCCTAAACTCTGAACCCAAGCCCCTGAACCAAACCCTAATCCCTGAACCCCGAACCCTAAACCCTCAATCACGGAACTAGAATCTTGACCTCGGCTGAATACCTGGACCCTAAACTGAATGCTAACAGCACTATTTTGGGAGCTATTGTTGTGATGATAGCATCCTAACTGTACACTAAATTACCCCAAAACAGGTAGTATAGGGGCCTTACCAATGAGAATAAGGTTATGGGGCCCAGTAGGATCTGGCATCGGGATTAAAGAGCCTGAACGTACTGGTAGGGTCGGGTATAGGGTTTAGGGTGTAAGCTTTAGGGTTTAGAGTAGGTCGGCGTAGGGCTTATTGGTTGACACTTCCTTCTTCTGCCAAAATGTCGTCACAAATCACCAACCGAATCGAAGCCAAGTACTGATGCTGTTCATTGAAAGTGCATCGATAAGACGGCACGGAGAAGGCAATTTCGTGTGAGTTCAGGAAGATTAATACCAGGGTTTGCACTTCCAGGACAACTTTCTTTCTGCCCTAAGCACTAAACCCTTAACCCTAACCCGCTGAACCCCGGAACCCTGACAGCCGGGCCTTGTAGGCTCAAGTTCGCCATCGGCACCGTCGTCAATTCCAATCTGATGCTGTGTCGCATGTCTCCTAGAAGAAGGGCTGGGTTTAGGGTTTAGGGTTCACGGGGTTTAGGATTCAGGGTTTTGGGTTTAGGGTTAGAACTTAGAACTTCTTCAGTACCTTCAACCCGAATACCCTAGTCTCTGAACCATGCACCTCAAAACAGACGCAAGAACTGCATGCAGACGTACCTAGAGGCCAACACACAGACATACATACAGAGATACATGCAGACAAACAAGGAAGGAAGGAACGAACGAAACAAGCAAGCAAGCAAGCACATAGAGATACATGCACGTAAATACATACATACGTACATACATACATCATGCATGCAGGCATACATCAATACGTACATTCATTCATGCATGCAAGCATACATGCATCCATGCATCCATGCATACATGCATACATGCAGGCATACAACTTTACGTACATTCATACATGTTTTCATACTCGCATACAGACACGCATGCATAGATGCACACACGCATACAGCCATACATGCAAACATGCAAGCATGCATACATACAGACAAAAATAGCTACGCATATACATGAATACATATATCATATACAAACAGAGATACATCTACGGTTACATATACTTAGACAGATACATATACATGTGCATATATGGCCTATACATACGGGCAGACACAAATGCACAAGCATATACATGATGCATATATCTTGTACGCAGACGGATACATATACGGGTACATATACACAGGCAACTACATATATATATATATATATATATATCTGCATTTACGGCCTGTACATACAGGCAGACACAAATGCATACACATATACCTGAAAACAAATACGTAAGCAAATACAGGTACATGTACGGATACATATAGATATACAAATACACGGTTACGGGGTCGAACACGACCGCTGCGTTTTGCATATTTTAGGAATGTGCTGAGAATTGTGTGTGTGTGTGTGTATATGTGCGCGGTATCAATCTTATTATCTTTAGTTTAACTATATCAGCTCTGTCATCAACATAAACATCTATATAATTTCTGTATTACTTGTCACATTGTGCAATCATTAGGTTGATGTTAAGCTACATAACCAACATATAACTAGATCAATTAGGACTACATCATCTATTTTATGAATAGTTCTACCAATCTTAACAGGTGCGATGCTTCACTAATTAAGGTTATTAACAGATATGCACATAATACAATAGCATTTGGTTCATATTTGGAGGTGATGCTATGTTCTATCAATGTTTGATTTAGTTCTTTGGGAATCCAAAAGTCTACCCTTCCAGCATTCGATAATCAATAGTTTAACAATAACTAGCTTATTGCATGTTTAGTGTCTTTGGTTAACTTGTCTATACTCGGATAACCTGAGCTATGAGGCTATGAGTTGTCTTTGTCTATGAGGATAAATTAGTTTGGACACATCATATGTTTACAACTAGTATGCAACAGTGATACAAGAGCTAACCTTACAGGTTAATACATTGGTTATAATATCATTACCAACTTGTCCGTGACGATCATGTAGTTGGTATTCTACATCCCTGGACAAGTAATGCATGTCTACTGATACTATTTCACAACTAATGTTAACTGTTATAGTATACCTTTCATATAGTCTGTTTACAATAGGTGGTTCAACCGGTATTCTACTTGGTAATAGTGGTGCTATTGATATAGATTTTCATGACTCTTATTATGTTGTTGCACTTTTTCATTATGTCTTATCATTAAGTACAACCAATGCTACCCCATTAGGACTATTATATGTATTGTCTTGTGCAGTATTAAAATGACTTACTAACACTAGATGAACAGCTATAGGTAGTGGCATTGGCATGAATGCTCTAGGTTAGCTGTGTGTAGAGGTTAATACAAATCAAGTTGTCTAAGTTTTTCATGTGTGTTCTAGTGATGTTATGTGAAGACTTACATCATTACATCTCAGTGGTTTCTAATGTTTAAGCCTAGCAGAGTACAAGACTAAGGAGACTACTTAATATAGTGGTTGGAATGATACTAGTTCAGTTGGTGAGAGGTTGCACGTTAGTTTCATGTTGTGTCACTACAGTCCTTTCCAACCAAGATAGTTTAATAAGTATTGAGGAGGCCTCCGGAAGCTTGTCATGAATCGCGACTGCTGTGCAGATATGAGTCACCGGAAAATAGAGCTAGGTTATACAAGGCTTGAGTACGGAACACCGCGAATCACAAACTGTATACGGCATGAGTGAGACCAGTGATGCATGAGCGATATATGTGATGCAGCACACGACTGACACACATCGGCTTCTTTTGGAACGCGCAGCGATTCATGGAACTGTCTGTCACGTAGCCAATGTGTCTCAAAGCGTCGAAACCTAAAAACCACAACCTCCAAAACCAAAAAAACCAAAACCAAGAAACTCAAAAAACAAAAACAAAAAAAACATTCTTTCAGAACTCTCCCATTTGCCGTCTTGTGTGGCGCCAGGCCCGCAGACCTGCACGCCGGGAAGGCCCTAACCACGTAGGATGGCAGCACGGACCTCAGCCATCACGAAGACTGGGTCCCGCCATCGCCCTTGCTCCTTGAACGCCCGCCCCAAGCGGAAAGCCAGGGGGTCAGAGGGCGGACGCCATTTGTGTATATTTCTGATGTTATTCTGGAAGAGCACTGAAATAATTACTTTTTTGATTTTTTTGTTTTTTTTGGTTTTGTTTTTTTTGGTTTGGGGTTTTTTGGTTTCGTTTTTTTGGATTGGGTTTTATAGGTTTGTTAAAGGAAAGGGGCTGGTGTTTCTTAGGGCTTGAATTACGACAACGCCCTTAAGCGCCAGAGTTGATAGTGATGTCGTGGGGGAGGCGGACCTGAACTACGCAAAACGCAGTGGTCGAGTTCGGCCCCCGAACCTACTACATATACATCGACATGTACATAAAAATATACATATACATGTACCTATACCTACACATACGCGTATGCAAATATGTACACACCTACACGCATACACACACATACCTGCATACATACATTCATACACGCATGCATGCATGCATACATGCTTACATAGATACGTATGTACGCACGTGCAAGCATACATGCATACCTGCAGGCATGCATTGCATAGGCACGTAGGACAGACAGGCAAATAGACGGACATTTTTGCATATATGTGGACACATACATATATGTGCATAATCAACACACGTATTCATACACATGTAAGTAACCATGTAAGCATATACAGATATACATATATATATATACTGTATGTATCTTTTTATTACACACATACATATATACACATATAGGTACGATTTATTTGCAAAGATTACCGACCATATACAAATATGTGTGCGTATGTGTCTATATATATATGTGCATATACAGATACATGTGCATATACATATGTGTGTATATTATACATGTACACAATCATCGCCTCTGCTATCTACCCGTTTGTTGGGACCAGAGCCCTGAACTCAGGTCTCCCTGAAGCCCAGAAGCCTTGTAACCGATATGGTAGGTAAGTCAAGGGTTAGGCTTTGGGGTTTCGGGTTCAGGGTTTCGAGTTCGGGCGTTTGGTGTACGGTTTTTACTCAAAGAACTGATGGTTTTGATGCTCAAAAAGGAGCAGGATCCCACTACAGAGAGTACCGCGACCCTTGGGGACAGGTCGAATATTTATATATCAGTATTTTTCCTCAGGGCTCCGCGGTATGGCCCAACACCCTGTTCTGAATATTAAGGCCTCTACATTCGGCATTAGGTTTAGGCGCTTGAAATCGGCTGAATTTTAGATGCTGAGCCGGGTTTATGGAAACCGTAGCCCTCATAAGTGCTTCTAGGGCGCCGTTCTAGTCCACAAACCTACCGAGGTGCTGCAGTGGAGCGTAAGTCTTTCCTGGATGCTGCTCAAATTTCTGTTGATCCTGACGAACCGCTTTGATCCGTTGAACTTTTTTGATCCGCATTCCAACGTCCTCCGACATGGACCTCTATAAACCCTTAACCCTGAATTACCAAACCCTGAAACTGAAACGCAATTTTAGCAACCGCGCACTTGAGACAAAAGATAACGTCGGTGTGAAACAGCTCCACATCAGACCCATAACCCAAACCATCCTAAACCATACCCCAAACTCGGTCAGGCCTCCCGAGTGGGATCACACTTTGCCTTTCTCGCGAGATTTTTGACCTGAGCCCGGTCATGGAGGCCGTGCCTCCCTCGACCCTTGGCTTTGCACGGCCGCCGCTGGCGGGTTTCGAGACGAGCCCGCTCCAGGGCTTTTCTGCCAACCGCCCCAAGCTTCTTCGTCCTCGCCCTCTTGACCGTCTTTCCCTTTTCCTTTTCCTGTCTTCTTCTCTTCTCTCTCCTCTTTGCCTGTCGGCTTCTCTTCTCCTGCGCCCTCGAGCATCCCGATGAAGCCCACTTCGGCCTCGCACTTTTCGGTCTCGCCCTCGGGCTCCCCACGAGCTCTCGCGCGTGGCCTTTGCCACCTCCCCTACCACGGGCCCTACCTCCTTGAGCCTTACCCTTCGGGGGTCCTCGGCCTCTTCTGGGGTTACCTGGGGGCCTTACCGGTGGTACCACTAGAACACCCAGACCCTCCTTGATCAAGTGGCCGACTTTGCCACACTTGTGGCATTTCTGGTTTCCTTTGCCCCTTTCCCCTTGTCCTTTCCTTTGCCAGCCCCTGTCGTGTAGTCGAGATCTCTCGCCGAAGCAGATCGTAGGAGTTGAGCCGTGGGAGGTTCAGCTCGATTTGCGTCTGCAGGTCAGCTGGGACAAGCCCCAGCAATGATACCATCGCCTGGCGTTCGGTCAGCGCCGTGCAATCACGACGAGCAGCATAGCGTCGATGCTGGTCTTCCCATCTTGCCATCGCAGGGATCAAATCCCCGACATCAGTCACCGCCTTGGTGTTCATTAGCTGCCGAAGCCATCTGACGGATGTCACCATCTCCGAGGGGTCGAGTCTCGCATGGAGACGCCTATACATATCCAGGCCCGAGCCCGGACTCGAGTTCATAGCGATCTCTCCCGGCGTGTCCATAGTAAGCGTGCCCAGGACAACCTCTAGTTGCCGGTTGAACTCCTGAACTCCTATGGCCTTGGTGTCCACCACCGTTCCTCGTGGTATCTGACCCTGTTTCAACAACCTCTGAAGCTGTCCCATCTGCTCTTGCTGCGTCTGCAGCAACCTCATAAGAAGCTGCTCCCTGGTCTGGCCGGGATTCGCTCCCGCAGGTGTCGAAGTCATCTCTTCTCCTCTTCAGGCAAAGCAGATCCCGAACCGGGCTCTACCTTCCAAAGAGACGTGTGCGCCGCCGAACGACGCCACCAAGGATCCTCGAGATCCTATCCAAGAGGCTTCGCGGGAAATCTTGCTCAGCCTAAGCCCCAGGTTGAGGAACAACCTCTGGTACTTCCGTACTTTCCGTAGCTCGGCCAAAAGAACCCAACTCCTCGGTGCGAGATCTGGATCGTGAACCAATCTTCTCCTCTCGACCCGAGTTCTACCAGAGAAGCCGCTACCATGAAACGCTGTTTTAGCAACCGCGCACTTGAGCCAAAAAATAACGTCGGTGTGAAACAGCTGTACATCTAAACCCTAAACCCTACTTACTAATCTCCAAACCTTGTAAGGAACCACACATCTAATCCTTTAAAGGAATCCTTAAGGATCCCTCTAAAGGAGGTAGTATAGGTAATTATGATAAGGCCCCTACATTAGAATGTCCCTGTGGGAGCCCTAGACATCCTAAAGAGAAAACCTAAACCCTAAACCCTAAGCCCTAAAACTCTAAACCCCAAAACCCTACATGCTAAACCCCTGAACCCTAAATTAAACCCTAAATCCCAAACCCCTGAACCCTAAACCCTAAACTGTTTAAGGAGCCACACATCCTGAACACAAGAGCCTCGGAGTCCGCCGAGGGCATCGAGGCTGCAGAGCTGAGTGTTGCCAGTAACGGAGACCTAAGGCGAGGTAGGCTTTTTTGAGGGTTCCCTCTCAAGGGTTCCTGAAAGGGCTCTGTAAGGGATCTATAGCAGGTTTCTAGGGTAGGTCTTTTTGAGGGTTTATGAATACATGTCTAGGGCTTAAGGTTTGGGGTTCCTTTAGCGGGGTCTATAAGGGCTACTATCAGGATTTAGTATAGCTAGTAAGGGAGACCTAAGGCGCGGTAGGTCTTGGGGAGCTCTAGGGCAAGGGTTCCTTAAAGGGCTCTTTACAGGGCTCTAGACGGGATCTATAGTAGGGTTCTACAGTGTAGGGCCCTTATAAGGAACCCCCACAATAGTACCGGTAATTATGAAAGCTCCTATATTAGGTCTTCTAGGGGATTTAGCGTTCAGGGCTTGGGGCCAATTTAAGGTTCAGGAATAAAGGTTTAGGGTTCGGGGTTTGGCGTCTGGGGTTTTGCTCAAGGGGTTCTTATTCCAGGTTACCCAGTGCATACGAGGATTTGAGGGGCTTGATCTTTGCGGTGTACCGGCTTGTGCTTCAAAGGTTTCCAAAAGAATCTATGAAAAGGTACCTTTGTAAGACCATAAGAGAAACCCAAAGGCTAAAGCTGGTGATGCCTGTCGCGACGTCTAGGAGCCTATGGCATCGCCCGCGCACTTAGCGCTGGCATCCGTTTCAAGAACGGATGCTTATACTGCCTGCAGCTGAGCGCGAAGAGTAAGCTTCGTGCTCCGTACTGCATTCGTTCCCTTCGGAGGGTGCATTACGCTTCCCGCGTAGAAAACGAACTACTATAATATTTTATTACCCTAAAGGCTAGGGTCGGGAAGAGTCCCGTAGAAGGAAGCTCGTCCCGCAAGCGCCCAAGCCGCATCCCGCAAGCGCTTCCGTCCCGTAATTGAGAGCCCCGCAAGGAGGCTCGTCCCATAAGGGCCTCCTTCCCGTGATGAAGGTCCCGTATGCGCCTCCGTCCCGTAATTGAGCATCCCATATACAGAACCTCACAAGCCATTTAGGCGACGGCTCCGTGGCAACTTGGGGCAACGAGTTTGTGGGAGGTGACAGCAGCCAGGTGCAGACCCAGCTACGGGAAGTCCGCGCGCTTCAAGCCTCGGTCTCTGCCTTCGCGGCTGTCTTAAAGGATGGCTCGGTGGTCACCTGGGGCTCTCCTTTGGGAGGTGTGAGTGGTGCTTAGTCAGGAGGACCCTTTACGCAGAGGCAGGAGGTGCTTAGGAAGCCCCTTTACAAGGAAGGGGGTCCCTTTACTCAGGCATTACGGGCTGTCCCAACAAGGTGCACCCCCGACAAAACCTCATAATAAAAACCCTACCAAGACCCCCCAAGTGCCCTCTAATATATCCAAATACCCACTATTAAGGGTCATAAGGACTCTATTAAAGGGCCTTTGGGGGGTCCTGGTAAGCCCTAACAGATGCAATGTCTGGGTGGTCTTGCGGTGGGATGTCGCGTCCAGCTCGGCACGCCGCCCCGCGACCCTCTGGGTCGAGACGCGCGGAAACCCTAAACCCGAGACCCCAGACCCTAGACCCTAAACCCTAAACCCTAAACCCCTAAACCCCAAACCCTAGACTCCAGACCCTAGACCGCAAACCCTAAACCCTAGGAGGGCTGTAGTTCTAATCTTCGAGGTCTTCGCTTCAGGTGTCTCCTTAACACAAGGATCCTAGAAGGATCCCGCCAGTGCCAGACTCGGTATACAGGAGTTTCCCAAAATGGGGGGGTACCTTATTTTGGGGTCCTCATAGTAAGGATCCTACTCTTTAGGGTACTATATTAGGGTCCCTCATTTTCGGAAACTCCCATACAGGGTTTAGCGTTCCTTGTCTTCCTGCTCATTCTATTCAACATGGCCTCTGTGTGTCTATAGTGCTATTCCGTCATTTCTGCTATCTGTCTGATTCTGGTTTACAAAACTGAAAAATGAGTCAAGATCGCTAGTGCCAGGACTCTCTGCACCTCATGTTCAGGACATGTGGCCAAATACGTGAGAAAACCGTGATCCCTGAACCCTACAGCGCGAACGGCCAAACTATACCCCCCCATACACGCAAGGTTTCGCCTGGTTGCTGAGATCCCTAGCCCAAGACAAGCCCAACCTTTCGACTACGAAATAATGCAATGCAAGCCCCTATGTATAGTAAGACCCTACAAAATAAAAGGTTCCCTCGGAGGTTCTCCAACCAAAAACCCCTAAATCCTAAACCCTGAACCCTAAATCCCTCAACCCCAAGGCCCCAAACCCCTAAACCGCAAACCCCTAACCCTAAACGTAAGTAAGGTTATAAGTACCCTAATTGGGGTTACAAGTAGTTATAAGTACAATTACCTCAATAACAACCCTAGTTACTAAGTCCCATGATCCTATAATTTAAGTAACCCTAAACCCTAAACCCCAAAACCCTAAAACCCTAAAACCCTAAACCCTAAAACCCTAAGCTCTTTATAGGAACCCTAAACCCCAAAACCCTAAAACCCTAAACCCTAGACCCTGCTCCCTCAATTTCTGGCAAAGCGCGGATCTGCCCCAACTGTTCTCATCTTCGGCGGTGCGGAGGCTCTCCAAGCCGTGAAGCCTTCTGCCGGTTTAGGGGTTTAGGGGCTTAGGGGTTTAGGGTTTAGGGGTTTAGGGGTTGAGGGTTTAGGGTTTAGGACCACAATCAAGCGTGGCCGTACAAGGGACCAGGTTTGGGTTGCCTTATAACTTATAAACCTAAACCCTAAACCCTTTGAACCAAGAAGGGGCACCCTTCTTATTCCTCGGTGACTCTTAGGTCTAGCTTAGGGTTAAGGATTGAAGCTTTTGGGTTCCCAGACCCAACGACTCCTAGGGTTCCTTTCAGGGGATCTATAAGGGTTCCTTTAACGGTTCCTACAAGGGATCTATAGGGTTTAGGGTTTTGGGGACTCCAATATCCCTTAATCAAGGAATATACCTTAAATCATATTAGGGATCCCACTAAAATTTAAGGTATAGTCCTTCATTAAGGATTATTGAAGTCTCTGGGGGGATCTACAAAGGTCATATACGGGTCCTATAACTGTCGTATAAGTCTACAAGTTCTTCATACCCAGATATTTTCACCGCTAAAGATTGTTGGGGGCTTCAAACTTTTCGGCTTCCTGGTTTAGGGTTTACCTGCTTAGGCTTCCAGGAGTTTAAGACTTAGGGATCCTTAGAAGTGTAGGGGGAGGGGGGGTAGGGGGCCTTAAGGCCCATAATAAGGACTAATAAGGCCTATTTAAGGAAATATAGTCCCCTACACCCCTCCCCCCTACACCCCTAAAGGATCCCTATGATTTAAGGCTTAGGGCTAGGGCCTAAACCTGTGCACACAGACATTTTGCTATTTCTTGTACTGGTCACAGAAACCCTAAACCCGAAACCCTAAACACCTAAACCCTGAAGAGCCGTTGTGGACCCTGACAGCCCTGTGGGCCTTGCATCTTCAGAGCAAAGTTGCCTTAACACTGACTTACACTTGCAGCCTAGCTCAGGAGGCAAAGAGGCAATGTGCCGGAAGGAATTTTGCAGGGGCCTTCACCTATATCTAAGCTTAGAAAAGCCTCAACAGCAAAGACTGACAACTTCACGCATCGGCATCTTGGGAATCAACTGCAAAAGGACGCCGAACCGAGCAACATGACAAAGAGATCGAGCCTCTACTTAGGCGTTATGTCAATAGACTGCAGCTGATAAGCAGCGAACGTGGCAACAAAAAGTAACAAGGCTACAACACAGGGATCCAATAGCCCAACTGGCACTGGCAATCCCAATGGCGAACACGATAAGCCCTAAACCCCTAAACCCCTAAACCCCTAAACCCCTAAACCCCTAAACCCCTAAACCCTAAACCCTAAACCCTAAACCCTAAACCCTAAACCCTAAACCCTAAACCCTAAACCCGCATTCTGCAACCCAAAGAACCTAAAAGCTAAAGGACCCCCAAACTGGAGCCCGGAAACCCTCAAGGCCCCAGGCCGTAGGTTTTGGCCTACTTGCGGGGGTCGGGTGACTTAGTAAGGGCTCCTTTAAAGGGGATTCTAAGGGTTCCTTTAAAGGGCTCTATAGGGGTACGATAGGGCTTAGGGTTTAGGGTTCAGGGATTTAGTAAGTAGGTAGTAAGTAGACTTATAAGTACCCTAAAAGGGGCCCTAATTGGGGTTATGGTACTTATAAGTCCCTAAAATAACCAGTTACTAAGTCCCCCGACCCTCCAAGTATCATGGAGAACTAAAGGCTAACCGTTTTGGTTATATAGGGATTATATACGGACACTACTACCCAGAAAAGGTCAAAGGTTCCCCACTCTACTAGGTTGGGTTTGGGGGTATTAAATGCCAATCACGAGGGATCTCCCTGCGACATTTGGGTAGTTGGCTAAATGAGTGTCCCTGTTGGGGTCCTTCTCGGTAAGGGTGCCGTCTGTTTGAAATTTGGGGTACCTAGAAAGGGACCATGACTGACCCGAAATTGAAGGATCAAAGAACTACCCATGTGGCCTAGCATGTTGCTGAATCTGTCGTTTAAGGCTCAGAGCTGCTAGGGTTGAAGCCGTAGGATTCCGCAGAATCTTATCGCAAATCATGTTTCAGTAGTGTTCCTTAAAACTACAGTAGAAGCCAGAAAGTTGGAACATGAGTTTAGGAGGATTAGTGCTAGGATCCCTTATCCTTTACCTTAAGGGCATGAGGATACTAATGTTCCAACTTTCTGGCTTCTACCATAGGTGGGTTTGCACCTCATAACGCCGAACATTTTACATAGGGTCCCCTGTTCGTGAAACTCGAAAGGTCTATGGTCTGGGGTCGAGGTTTAGGGTTTGGCATAGACCTGAACACCCTGACACTTTCAACCCCAAGACCCTAAGCGAAAACCTCTAAATAGGAGTTTCCGAAACCTAGGGGTACCTTATTTTGGGTCCTCATAATAAGGATCCTACTCTTTAGGGTACTATATTAGGGGCCCCTATTTTCGGAAACTCCCAAATGCTACAAAACCTGAAACCTTGACCCCAAACTCTCAAATAGCTACACCCACGCAAGGCCTAACTACAAGACCCCTCAGTCATACGCCCCCTCGTCACGGTCACGGGCTCGAATATACCAGTATCAAGGAGGAGGGGGGTTCTACTAATACAAAGATCTTGGCAACATCCCTCAAACTTATACCCTAAACCCCCTAAACCCCCCGTGGTTCCCCATAGGTGCATACCCTAAACCCCGAACCCTAACTACGAAGCCCTAAATTCTAAACCCCCGGGCCCTTAGTTTCCCATAGGTTCAGCAAGGCCGCGACTTGAGTAATGGGTTTGCCTGGCCGCACCAACGGTTTAGGGTTCAGGGTTTAGGGTCATCTGGGTTGTGCTTTAAACCCTTTGAAAATTCTTTCCGAATAGGTTCCCTTTAGAAGGAAACTAAGGGAGCTTAAAAATCATCCCAAAGCACAACCCAGTCATTTCCAACTGTGACACATTCAGGCGACCGAGGCTTTCGGATGAATCTAGGGTTCAGGGGTTTATGGTTTAGGGTTTAGGATTTAGGGTTTAGGGTTTAGGTTCAGGGTTCAGGGGCTTATGGTTTAGGGTTTGGGATTTAGGGTTTAGGGTTTAAGGTTCAGGGGTTTACGTAAAGGATATGGGACTTAGAAACGTAACTATACTTATAATTACATATAACCCCCAATTAGGGTACTTATAACCTTACTTACTAAGTCCCATGATACTCCAAGTATGGTTCAGGGTTTAGGATTTAGGGCTTAAGAAGATGTTTATGGCAATCTCGAGCAGTTCTATCCAGCAGTTACTGAGGTTCTCATGTGCCCAGGGCCCAGACGGTACACTGAGAAACATGCACCAGGTAATGTAGGAACCTGATTAAGAAACCTTGGGCCTAAGGGTTCCTTTAAAGGGGTCTATAAGGGTTACGATGAGGGATCTATAAGGGTACTATAAGGGATCCATAAGGGTAACGTAGGAACCTGATTAAGAAACCTTGGGCCTAAGGGTTCCTTTAAACGGGTCTATAAGGGTTACGATAAGGGATCTACATGGGTACTATAACGGATCTATAAGGGTAATGTAGGAACCTGATTAAGAAACCTTGGGCCTTTGTTAGGGTTTGGGTGTTATAGGCCTAGGGTTCTACATTAGTAAAACCCTTGATGCAACAAAAACATAACATGTAACTCTCACAGGCGTTACAGAGCTTTACCAAAACCCTTTGTAGAAAAATTCTACAAGATCCTTTTAAACTCCGAACTTTGGGCGCCGGTCTCTTAACCCTCAAACTCATTAGGTGTTGGGGTTTTAGGCTTTAGGCTTTGCAGGCTTTAGGGTTTACGGTTTAAGGTTTTTGGGTTTAGGAGTTGGGGTTTGGGGCGTAAGGGTTTAGGGCGTAAGGGTTTAGGGTCCATGGCACCTAGAACCCTTTCTGAAAGTTACTTTTGTCGGCCCTGGAATAAGAATGCTAAGGAAACCTCAAAAGTTAAGGTCCTCAGGTCTGCCCCAAACAGAATCCCAAATGGTAGGTTCCAGTTGGTTTAAGGGGTGCTACAGGTTTAACGCCTTGGTTAGAGGTTTTCGGGATCAGGATAGGGACCCTGCAAAAAAGCCGATTCTGGTGGGTTAAGGTAACATCAACCCATGGGGTTCAAGATAGGAATCCAGGTTTAGGGTTTAGGGTTTAGGGTTTAGGGTTCTATAAGCATTCCTATACCCCCCCCCCCAGAACCGTAATAAAAATAGTATTGTTCGTGACTTGACGTCTTCGGCAGTGTGTAGGGCTTAGGGTTGTGGGGATTAGGGGCTGAGGGCTTAAGGGTTTAAAGGTTTACGGGTTTATGGTTCAAGGGTTTAGGGTGTAAAGAGTTGGGGTTTACAATATCTGCTCATTTCAAACGTCTAGACAGATTCTATACTACCTCCTTGGCCATCGGGCCCGCGACACCAAGTCTACTCGCCATGGTGACCCTGTGGTGTTTAAAGTGTATACGTGGCGGCCTGGCAGCCCTCCACTTATTTACAAACTTCACCGAAGGGGTTAGAAGTTAGGGTTAGGGTTTAGGTCTCATGGGGTCTAAAAGCGCTGACAAAAAAGTCTTTATGAGGATTCAACAGAGTAAATGCTGCTTGGGCAAGTCGGGCTGGGTAATATAGGAGCCTTAATAATTAGAATAGGGTTTCGGGGCCGTTCATACTATAATTATAAGAAGGAACCCCAAAATAGTATAGGTAATTATTAAGGCCCACTAAGCAAAACCATGAAGCCTGCGATTCTGAAACCCAAAAGCTCTGAAAGCCCTAGAGTCGTCAAGCCAAAAGAAGTTCCTGCGCCCTAAAAACTCCAAAACACATTCTTGCGAGATTGATATGCAGAGCTTGGAGCGCCAGGATCGTCGCTAGAACAAGCAGCCCTTAAACCCTAAACCCTAAACCCTGAAACCCTAAACCCTCAAACCCTAAACCCTAAACCTGAAACCCTAAGCCCTTAAACCCTAAACCTTAAACCTTGAAACCCTAAACCCTACACCCCAATGCCCTTTTCCTCATAAATGGAACGAATGAAAGCAGTCGAGAGGCTCTAACCTCAATCCATCCAACCTCACCAAGGCAGCAGTGTAGGGTTTAGGGGCTAAGGGGTTTAGGGGTTTAGGGGCTTAGGGGCTTAGGGGTTTAGGGTTTAGGGTTTAGGGTTTAGGGTTTAGGGCTTAGGGTTTAGGGCTTAGGCTTCAGGGTCGGGGTCGGAGGCTTAGGGCTTAGGGCTTAGAGGGTTTACGCTTTTGTTTGGGGCTCAATGTCTCTCCAAGGGTAAAAGGCGGGACCCCTAATAAGGACCCCAAGGTATATACTTTTCATATAGCTATTATATACCACCATTTTCGGGTAGGGGTCCCCATTAAGGGTCCCTCCTTTTCCCCTTTGAGTCTCCTGTACTCTTGTTCATCGTGCCTCCCTGTGTTCAGCCTTAACGGCTGCCAAAAGGAATGTACAAATGGGTTGTTGTCAAAATTAGGATCCCTTTTTGGGTCCTTCTTATCGTACGGCACCTAAGATTTCGGGTGCCCAAAAAGGGACTATCCAAATAGTGAACTTGTGTTGCTCCTCAAGGGCTACAGGGTTTAAGAATTTGTAATTTGGGGTGTCCAGGTTTAAGGGGCGAGAGTCTAGCGATCTGAAGTAGACACCCCAAGCTCTACGGCCCCAAACCCGAAAACCCTAAACCCTAAACCCTAAACCCTAAACCCTAAACCCTAAACCCTAAACCCTAAACCCTAAACCTCTAAACAACTTGTGGGTTCAGGACATGAGACTCCGAAAGGCCCCAACCCCAAACCATAGCCTCAAAACCCCCTCGAAGCCGATAAACACAAATCCTTGCAAAGGTTTAGGCTTTCAGGTTTAGGGGTTGTGGGTTTACGGTTTACGGTATAGGGCTTTTAGGGTTTCGGGTTTCAGGCTATCCCGAATGAGGCCTTATAACTTACCTTTGGTCAGTAGGGAGTGGAGGAATGGGGTACAATTACAACTACTATTACTAGCATTCTTCCATTCCCTACTAACCAGAAGTAAGCTATTAGATTACTGAGGCCCCTATATTATGGTACCCTTATAGTAGCCCTTATAGTAATCCTTATAGACCCCTTTATGAGGCACCTTCCATTCCCTACTAACCAAAGGTAAGCAAATCACAAAGGGCCGGCGAAGCCATCCCCGGCCTCCCGGACGGTGTGCAATCCGGCAATGGAGACCAGGTTTGCGTTCGTCGTTATGATAATTTTCCCAACCGTCCTGCCAAAGGGTTGTGTTGAAGGACCCTAAACCCTAAACCCCTTGAACCCTAGACCCTAAACCCTATACCCTGAACCCTAAATCCTAAATCCCAAACCCCTTAGGGGGTTTGGGGCTTTAGAGATTCAGTGGTTGACGGGGGCCACTCTGCACCACTGCAGCAAGACAAGCCCTAAGTGGCCTATGACCGAAGCTTGCCTGTTTTGTTCGAGCCCTCAATTATACAACGGTGAGAAGGTATGCCGGATCTGGACGAGGCTTCAAAACGCTTGATGTCGTTCTTCGACTGATGTATGACCCTTCTCTTCGCCCTCACGGGCGCAAGCAAACTCCTAGCCCAGGCACGGAAAACCCCGTAGTGCTACACTTCTGAGAGTATGAGAGACCAGTGGAAGTTACCGCCCTAAACCCTGAACCCCAAACCTCAAACCTAATGTGGCGGCTTGATTAATCCAACGGGCTTAATTAATGCTTTTGCTTGCAGGGAAATTTTCTGTACTTCTGTTCTACTACCGTCCTACTACTGTACTACTTGCGTGCTACTGTACAGTACCAGGCTTCAGACGGGCTGGAGGCAAAAGTCGACAAAATGAAGGGTTTTTAGTCAGGGTAATTATCTTGGAGTGATCGGGGCTTTGGTTTCCAGCTTTTGGTGACCAGCCCTACTATTCAAGCCAAAACTTTTGGTCGGGGGGGTGGGCCTTCTCTTCAAACCGCCACATTGGCACCCTAAACCCCTGAACCTCCAAACCGGATCAGCACTACCCCACAACTCTGTACCCCGAAGTTTACTGTCTCCGGTTCAGAGCCTAGCGAACACTCTAAATCACATCAACTTTAAGTCCGAAACCACAGAGCCTGCTTCCCTAAAACCTCAAACCACAAACACTGAGAAACCCGGAACCAAAGAAATGTTGCAACCCTTACCTGTGCAAGACCGAGGGCAAAGAAAAAAAAACTTCACTTCAGAATCTGAAACATGCTACTTGTTATACGAACCCCAAACCTGTTTGCGGAATTCATGAAAACTTCCAAAATTCAACAGAAAAACTCGACATGCTGGATCCTAATCCCAAAACCATAAACCCTAAACCACACACCAAAAGCCCTAAAATTGATGCCGAGCTTCTCGACGGGCGGGAGCTCGGACAAGTCCCGGATTCCCGTATCTCGAATGTCAACATAAGTCCTGGGCAGCATTGGAAGGGCATTAATTAACTTTGGGGTTTAATAAGTTTAAGTTCATGGAAAATAGCGGACCCGAATATAGCACCCTAAATAGTAGGATCCTTAAAATAAGGTACCCCGAATTTTCGGAAACTCCCATTTGGAGTTCAGCGCCCAGGGTCCCAACGCCAAGGTGCACCGGGCGCGCAAGCCTTGAATTGTGCATCCCCCGCCCCTGCGTACACTCCACCCTACCCAGAGAGCCCAATACACATTCATTAAGGAATACACCTTAAATCATAATATTAAGGCCCCGATAATTTAGGCAATGTTCCTTAATTAAAGGATATAGGGCTCTCTGGGTACTCGACCCTGCCGAAGTTACCTATAGTCTCTATTCTAGCTCCCTTTTTGGTTTAACCAAGTTTAGATTTGGGACCCTACAAGAGAACCCAGAACAGGAACAACAACGGAGACTATAGATAGGTTTCGTTGGTTGTCTGACCGTGCTTTGGGTAAACTGTCGGACGCGGCGTGGCAAGCAACGAATGTTCTTGGAGCAAACCCTGACCACTACGCCCTGGTAATTTCCTAAACCCCACTTCATCTAAGGCTTGAACATAACCCAGCTGAGAGGCATGGCTCACATGCCGTGCTGAAGCACAGCACAGTTCCTGCCTTTCGACCGAAAACAACCGCCTGAAATTTTCAGCCTGCAACTTACAAGCCGTAGCATCTTCTTATTCGAGCGGACGGAGGCAGCGATGAAGAGCATGCGATAGTCAGTCACGTTCACCGAAAACCGTCCAAGGCCATCATCAACAGCTCCTCCCATCAACGCCTCACTCACTGTACGCACGGCAGCGTCAGCGTCCTTGGAATTGCACACCATAGCAGGATCGACAACCGCACTGCCATCCGTAAGTGCAAACTCCACAATTCCTCGTGTTCCACCACCTGACTCCGTCGGTGGTGTCGCTGCACTCGCAGCACGGTGTTCCAGGCGTCCGCGCAGATCTTCGGCACACGCGTCGTGGACACGCTCTTAACGATGGTTCATCCTAGACGGTATGGTTTACGGTTGTGGGTTTAGCGTTTGGGGTTTTGGGGAAGCCCCTGCAACAACAAGCAGTTTCTTTTTCCTTCCCTAAGCATATACAAAAAACGACGTATGTTCAACCTCACACCCCAAACCGCAGATTCTAAACCCATAAACCCAACCCTAATTTGGGGCAAGGCGGCTTCCCTCGCGTCCCCTTGAGAATAAGGGCAACCGCTGAAAGGTAAACTGGTGCGGGGGGGGGGGGGAACTCGAAGGCCAACTGTCATCCACCTAATTCCGCACGTTGAGTTTCACGGCCAAGGGCAATGAAGGCTGCCCGGGTTTCGGGTTTAGAGTGTAGGGATATAGGGTGGGATCTGTAGCACACTAGGCCCTAAACCCTGTGCCCTAAACCCTACTTCTCTCGCCATGAACTTCAGCGCACAGCACGCCTCCTAGACCTCAACGTTCAAACCCTCCTGAAGACAACCGGAAAAGAAAAGTCTAAGCCCACCCTATACCCTAACCACAAAAGAGGGGAAGAGGTATTACAGATATCTGTATATATATATACACAAATAGACAAAAGATGCAGGCGGCGTAATACTAATATGATGAGGGAAAATGTGTCGTGGTTTAATGTAGGGGCTTTGATATATGATTAGGATAGGGTTTTGGGGCCCAGTATACTATAGCTATAAGAAGGAACCACCAAAATAGTATCAGCAATTATTTAGGCCCCTAAAAAAGGGGCTGATCATAGCGTGGAACATTCGACCCGGACCCTGCACCCCAAACCCTTCTTGAACCCCAAACTCTTGCAGAAACCTAAACCCTAAACTCTACACCCTAAACCCTAAACTCTAAACCCTAAACTCTAAACCCTAAACCCTAAGCTCTAAAGCCTAAACCCTAAACTCTAAACCCTCAACCTTAGGTACTGCCCCCTTACAATAAGAGTCTATATTAGGGCTACTGTTAAGGTCCTAATATGTCTATATTAAGAATATTATTCAACTATTACTGAGTGGGGGCCGTACCCAACCTAAACCCTCAGTCGAGTCGCAGGTTCTTGTAAAACTTGTAGAGGCCGTGCAAAGAGACAGGCGTCGCTGCCGAGCCAATCACCGAGAATCCCCTTGATTCACTCGGTTTAGGGTTCAGGGTGTAGGGCTTTCACAGCTTAGGGTGTTCCACAGTTGTGGTTGTAGTTGTGGTTGTTGTTGCTGCTGCTGGTGGTGTTGGGGTTGACGTTGGCTTTGTTGTTGTCGTTGCTGCTGCTTTTTTGTTGATTCTTGTGGTGCTGGTGTTGGTGTTGACATTGGTGTTGCTGTTGCGGTGATGGTGGTCCAATGCCCGGCGGCCGCGGTGGAGGTGGCGGCGGCGGTGGCGGCGGCGGTGGTGGCGGCGGTGGTGGCGGCGGTGGTGGCGGCGGTGGTCGTAGTGTCGTAGTGTCGTAGTGTCGTAGTGTCGTAGTAGTGGTGTCTAGACTTGGGTTGATCGAGACTTGGGTGTCACAAAAAACCCTACAGGCACACCCTAGGGTCCCCCATGGCTCCCGGCTCGCGTCTAAACCTTCATCAACTCAAAACTCTAAAGTATAAAATCTAATAAGATCTAAACTATACAATCTAAACTATCAAATCCAAACTATAAATTCTAAACTATAGAATTAGAAGCATGGTTATACTCACAGTAACAACCATGAAAAAACAAGAATGTATTTATGGTTAATGCTGTGTCTCTAACCATATAGCGACTATATCGAGGCTTGGAAGAGCATCTTATGACAACACATAAACACAAATTTTCGGATCACGATCTTAGACCAATATCCCACTTCCTGAACGGGTGCCTATGCCCACTGAAATCCGCTGCTGCATGCGTTTATGCAGAAACACAACTCATTAGTGTTTGATTCCAAGGACAAACGGTGACCATACATGACGAAGCTATGCAAGCTGACACAGCAAAGCCAGAATAAACCGTTCCATACCCTTCCTGCAGATCGGAAATACCGAGTCTCAAAGTCTTGTTCCTCAACAAACCCGCAGCCCTTGAGCCTGCAGTCTACCTTAGGGGTGTAGGGGGGAGGGGTGTAGGGGACTATACTTCCTTAAATAGGCCTTATTAGTCCTTATTATGGGCCTTAAGGACCCCTACCCCCCCTCCCCCTACACCCCTAAAGATCCCTATGATACATCGAACCCCTGCAGCCCAAATGATAAACACGCGCTCTTATTCCGACCGGGCCACTGTAGCTGGAATAGGGGATAGCGGGATGTAGTATTCATGTAGGGGACAATACATATTTGCGAGTGTTGGGAAGGCAAAAACGAATCTCAGAATTCCAGAATTCACATTGAAGACAAGCACACATAAGGGTGAACCTGGCTTTAGCGAGTCTCACTGCAGGAAGGGTTCACAAAGAGACCAAACCCCGCAATCAAGAATGCTCCGTACATTTATACATGACTCAGTAATAGCCCCTTAGAACCCTGAACCCTAAACCCTAAAGCCTAAATGCGTTATGGCTTAAGGTAGGTAGGTTGCTTAATTACGGAGCCTTGGTGCTTGGGTAACCACGTATATAGCATGTTTCAGAGTACATGTAAGATCTACATACTTCTCATGCCGAGAGACCATTCCCTCAGGCCCAAATTCCTAAACGCATAGGGTTTTTAGGATACTAGGTGCCAAAACCGCTTCCGAATATGGTTTTTAGGTACTTCAACTGGATACGTCGCACAAAGAGTCCCTTAAACCCCGAACCCTCAAGCCACGAACCACAAGAAATTCGAGCTTGGTCGCTGTTCCACCACGGTGTTGTCAAATCCAGTGAGATTTTGTGCCGTGATGCTCTCGAGGGCCTTAGCATGGAAAAGGGTGTCATAAGGCTCTTTCTGGGTTTACTGCTTCGAATTTAGACGGTTTAAAGTTTACCTGTAGCCGAAAAAACCTACCTTTTTAGGGTTCCTTACTATGGGCTTCTATATACAGTTCCGGAAAAAATAGGTCTTTTCGGCTACAGGTAGGGGTTCGACTGTTGCTGATATAAAACCTGCATTACCTTAAGGACCCTAAACCATGAGAACTATGGCATATTCCTTAGAATGGGTAATGCAGGATTTATATCATCCTAAACCCTAAACCCTAAAACCCCTATACATCCCTTAAAGGTATCCTTATAGATCCATTTAAGGAACCCCAGGATTTAGATCATCAACCGGAGGACTTATGATTCGAAGTTTCAGCATTCTGTCAAGGATTGAGGGTACTAGGTTTAGGGTTTAGGGACCCAGAGAGCCAATATCCCTTAATTTAAGGAATATTGCTTAAATTATAGGGGGCCTTAATGTTATGATTCACGGTATATTCCTTAATTAAGGAATATTGCTTAAATTATAGGGGGCCTTAATATTATGATTTACGGTATATTCCTTAATTGAGGAATATTGCTGAAATTATAGGGGGGCCTTAATATTTACGGTATATTCCTTAATTAAAGAATATTGCTTAAATTATAGGGGGCCTTAATATTTACGGTATATTCCTTAATTAAGGGGTATTGGGCTCTCTGGGCATGGCTTCCGGGTGCCGCAATGAAATCTTCCTTAAGAGTTGCTAACTAGGCGGGTCCAATGATTGGGACCCAATTTTGAAACCGATTTTGTTCTCAAGTTGGGCCCGCAAAACTCAAAAACTAAGCCGATTTCTGGCCTCAAGTTGGGCCCGCAAAACTCAACAACTGCACGAATTCTGCCGCGGAGACACGCAATCGTGCAAAGTTCGCCTAACTCGGGGCTCTCGGGCTTCGCAGTTTATTCACAAGCCTGATGCGGGCTTCGGGCCTGAACGCGCAAACGGAGGTGTTGCGGCACACCTTAAGTCATATGGACCCCTAGGGGGTAGGGGGGAGGGGGGTAGGGAACTATATTTCCTTAAATAGGCCTTATTGTGTCCTTGGTCCCTACCCCCCCTGCCCTTACACCCCTAAGGGCCTAAGGGCCCCTATGATTAAGCCCACCGACTCTCTTTGAGCATAATGACAGAACTTGCTGAACACGGAAGTTCTTGCACCCGCCAATGTAGGTAAACCCTAAACCCTTAGCTGCGCAGGAAGCCGAAGCTTTCGCGCGACTTTTCAGGAAAAACAAGCTTGTAGCGCCTGCAGGAAACTGCTATATAAGGGCCTAAATAATTGCCTCTACTATTTGTGGTTCTTTGATATATTTATAGTATCATATACCCCCAAACCCTATTCTGCGATGTCCGAGACCGTGTGATGTTACTGGACACCTCAGACTCATGTCCGCAATCACCCCCAAATCGTATTCTATTAAGGCCCCGGTGATCTTGCAAGTTGGACAAGTTCTAGCTCAGCCATGGCTTTTGTTGCAGTGATCATCATCCTCTTCTCCATCAACAACATCATCATCATAAACCGCCGTCACTTTACCTTTTGGCACTATTTTGTGCAAAGAAGCAAAGGCACTGTAAAAGAACCTGTATTTCGGGCATGCTCTCACAAGGCACCAACACTTCTGACAGGGCACCTTATGCCAGAATTGTAGAACATTCTTCTGCAGTATTCTGTGTAAAGGGGCGAAACTCTGTGGAGGCTAGTCGTTTGGGCATGCTTGCGCAAGGCAGCTTGATACAACGCGTCAGGATGTTGTACTTGGAGATTCATGGGTAGTTATAAGCGGGGTTACAATTAAGATAAGTATAGTTATAAGCCAGAATAGGGGACTGATAACCCTACTTACAACTACCCATGAACCTCCAAGGATTAAGTGGCAAAAACGATGTAAATACCTGTGATTTGGGCACGGTCGCCGATAGAACCGACGTCATTCCAACGCAGCACGCTATGCAGGCTTAGTTATGAAAGTTACTCCAGGGCTCCAACACCAAGCACCATCCGGGGTAGAGAAAGGGGGACCCCAAAAACTTGACATTTCGATGCAGACTGGGACGCTCTGGGTTATGTAGAGCCCATGATATTAGAACAGGGTTTGGAGGTATATCGTCGTTGGAACATCAGAAATAATATCTTGTATGTTAAACGCTAAACCCTAAACTCTAAACACATGTTACCCTAATCCCCGAAGGGCCTCCAAACCGATCGTGTAGAGCCCAAAATGCCCGCACTCGCAATGATGGCAGCAAAGCGTGCCCCCAGAGGCATGAAGCTATACAATTAACTATATGAGTTTTAGAGTACCCTCGAAAACCTTGTCCACCTGTTTTCCCCAAGCCCTTCTCACATTTGGGATATAAGGGGTTCACTGGTTTAGGGTTCTGGCTTTGGGGTTGAAGTCGGGTTTTAGGTTGGGGGGTTTAGGATGTTAGCTAACTTAAGATCCCTTTAAGCAGTGCTTTTTGTGAGAGTCACGCCTTCATGTCAGGATCCAGAAAAGGGTGCGAACTTAAGAAGCTACCCATGTATGTCCTGAACCCTTAACACTAAACCCTCAACCCTAAACCCCAAGCCAAGCCCCAAAGCCTAAACCCGAAACCCTGAGCCCTAGCGCTATACCGGCCCTAAACCCTTCAGAACACCCTAATTTGCTCGCTTCGACTGAGACACCACGTAGTTGACAGTGCGAAGCTTTAGCTGGCTGAAGTCTCCAGCTCCACCGGAATAGAGCCTGCCCCACGAGGGTTTAGGGCTTTAGGGCTTAGGCAGGCAAACAAACAAACATGCAGGAAGTTTCCACTTCCTGCACGAAGCGAGCAAAAAGACAAGCTGCTCCTTCTAATGGAAGTTGTCCTCGGAAATTCCATGCAACATCACCGAAACCAAAGCACTCAACTCCGAACAAAACAAGTTTCCCCACCAAACGAAATATTAACTAAACTTCAAACCCCACTAAGACGATGAACCCTGAATCTCTTTCGCCTGTGTGCGCGTTGACAGCCGAGGGCCGCATAGCTGTCTAGATCTGACTGATCCATCAAAATCCTCGGTTTGAGGTTTACGGTTTGGGGTTTAGGGTTTAGGGGTCGTTGCATAGGGCAAAGGGCTTTATCAGTGTTTCGGGTATAGGGTTTCGCAGGGGTGGCAGAGGATTTTAAAGACAGGGTGCCAATGGGTTTCACGGGGTTTTGAGGGCTCATGGGCATTGAAAGGGGTTGTAAGGAGGTTTAACTTAGGATCAAGAATTGAGGGGATTCATCTGTGTCGTATTGAGGGTGGGGTCCCTCAAATCGGAGGTCGTTTTGGGGGTGTGTGGGGTCCTAATACTGAAACTTCGGTTGGCTCAGTTGCACACAATGACAATCAAGCGTTCAGTGTTTGAGGTCAACGGCACAACTACAAGCAGAACAGCCTTCCCCTCTTTGAGGTTGGATAACATCTAAACCCCAAACCCTAAACCCAAAACCCTGAACCCTAAACCCCAACCCAACATGACCGTGAGGCTGCTAGGGCTTGCGCTTATGGCTTAAGCTTGAGACGCCTTGCAATACTCCACAGAGGCTACCCACAGGCTCCACAGTAGTTTCTTTTAGGGGTTCATACTTAGAATCCTATAAGGTAATCCCAAAAAGGAAGTACACTGTAGCCTATATGTGTAGACACTAAGGCATGAAAACAAAAAGACGTGTGGATCAAGGGGCAAGGTTTCCGCATCGCTCTAATGAGGGGCCTTAATAAATAGAGTAGGGTTTAGGGGCCCATTATACTGTAACTATAATAAGGCTCCCCCAATATAGTATAGGTAATTGATAAGGCCCCGATATTAGGGGTTTAGGGTTTAGGGTTTGGGAAAGAACAGCTGAGGGTTCAAAGCTCGCTTTGTGTTCAATGTTGTGGCTCTTCTTTGGTCCGCCTGCCTGAAGTCAAGCTTAGGGCTTGAGCTTAAACGCTAACCTCCCTAAACTCCCAGAAACCGAAACCCGACACCTAAACCCTAAACCTCCAAAGTCTAAACTCTAAACCCCTAAACCCTAAGCCTAAACCCGTGCACAGGAATTGAAATCCGAGAAGCACTTCACGGGGACAACGCTGGCACTCGCAGCAAGCATCCCAAGCGCTGATGTCGTTGACTGCATAGTCCTGCATTTCTAAACCCTAAACCCTAAACCGTAAGGGATTGGGATGGACGGTTCAAGTTTCAGGGGGTTAGGGCTGGTTAGCGCTTAAGGGTTTTAAGGTCTTTGGCTTGGGGTTCAAAGCTTTGCGCTCGTTTCGTGGTCGCCTCTTGCCCCTACAAAAGCCCTTCCAAACCCTATAGACCCTAACCGCTACACCCTAAACCTTTACAAGGAACCTTTAAAGGGCCCCCATATAAAACCCTTAAAAGAACCATTTGAGCCAGGAGACCCATATAAAGACTTTCAGAGGAGCCCTTCCAGGAGCCATCCTCCTAAACCCTAAACCCTGAACCAAGAAAGCCCTTATAGTACCCTTATGGACCCCTTATGGAAACCCTTATTCCCTAAACCCTAAACTCTAAGCCCTAAACCCTAAACCCTAAACCCCCAGCCCTAAACCCTAAACCCTAAAGCCTTCAAAGGAACCCAACCCCCTCAGCCCTAAACCCTAAACCCTCAGACCTAAACCCTAAACCCTAAAGCCTTTAAACGAACCCTAAACTCTAAACCCCCAGCCCTGAACCCTAAAGCTTTTAAACGAACCCTAAAGCCTAAGCCCTTACAGTGCAAGCCGAAAAGTCGGAAACCCCATAGCCTCAATCCTTAAGAGAAATGTATAGGGAATCCCAGCACTATTTGGCCTTAACCCGGTTTCCAGCTTTATGGGGTTTACTATAGGTCTCTAGATCCTAAACCCCTAAACCCCTAAACCCCTAAACCCAAGTTCCCTTTAAAGGAACCCTCATAGATCCCTTTAAAGGGTCCCTTAAAAGGAACCCTAAGAGCCATCCTCCACGGAGCCCCAGCTGCTGTTCCATCCTGGTCCCAGGCCACCAGTCCAAGAACCTCAGGGTTTAGGGTTTAGGGGTTTAGGGTTTTTTTTATGCAGGGGTTTAGAGTTTTCTTTTAAAGCAGGGGTTTAGGGTTTAGGGTTCAGGGTTTAGGGTTTAGGGTTTGCTAAACGTTCCGCGCGCACCACCACGCAGGCGTGTGTTGTGGTGCGCGCAAGTGTTCAACGCTCTCGCCCGACCCGCCCACCCACATCTCAACCTTGGCGGGTTTAGGGCTTTTATTGGATTGAGATATTTTTAGATATTAAATCTAAGTTTTGAACCCTAAATCCTAAATCCTAAATCCTCAATCCTAGGATGTTACTCCAAATCGTCGGGTGTGCCCGGTCTCGGTTCGCACACGCAGCCCCCCGCAGTACCCGCTCCTTCTTCTAACTCTAAGTTTTGAACCCTAAATCCTACATCGTAAATCCTAGGATGTTACTCCAAATCGTCGGGTGTGCCCAGTCTCGGTTCGCACTCGCAGCCCCCCGCAGTACCCGCTCCTTCTTCTAAATCTAAGTCTTGAACCCTAAATCCTACATCCTAAATCCTAGGATGTTACTCCAAATCGTCGGGTGTGCCCGGTCTCGGTTCGCACACGCAGCCCCCCGCAGTACCCGCTCCTTCTTCTAACTCTAAGTTTTGAACCCTAAATCTTAAATCCTAAATCCTCAATCCTAGGATGTTACTCCAAATCGTCGGGTGTGCCCGGTCTCGGTTCGCACACGCAGCCCCCCGCAGTACCCGCTCTTTCTTCTAACTCTAAGTTTTGAACCCTAAATCCTAAATCCTAGGATGTTACTCCAAATCGTCGGGTGTGCCCGGTCTCGGTTCGCATACGCAGCCCCCGGCAGTGCCCGCTCCTTCTTCTAAATCTAAGTCTTGAACCCTAAATCCTAAATCCTAAATCGTAGGATGTTACTCCAAATCGTCGGGTGTGCCCAGTCTCGGTTCGCACACGCAACCCCCCGCAGTACCCGCTCCTTCTCCGGAAGCCATCTCCAAGGCCCCTTGTATTTCTTGGATTTCCGGCTTCCAAGGCCGCCGAAATGGATGGGAAACCCACAAAAGCACAAAAATCGTCGATTTTCTCCTTTTCCCGGAGGCCATCTCCGAGGCCCTTGAATTTCTTGGATTTCAGGTTTCCAAGGCAGCCGAAATGGGTGGAAACCCACACAAGCACCAAAATCGTCGATTGTGCAATACCCGCTCCTTTTCCGGAGGCCATTTCCGAGGCCCCTTGTAATTCTTGTGGCTTTCCGGCTTCCAAGGCCGCCGAAATGGGTGGAACCCCACAAAAACACCAAAATCGTCGATTTTGCAGTACCTTTCTTGGATTTCAAGTTTCCAAGGCAGCCGAGATGGGTGGAAACCCACAAAAGCACCAAAATCGTCGATTTTGCAGTGCCCACTCCTTTTCCGGAGGCCATTTCCGAGGCCCGTTGTAATTCTTGTGGATTTCCGGGTTTCCAAGGCCGCCGAAATGGGTGGAACCCCACAAAAACACCAAAATCGTCGATTTTGCAGTACCCGCTCCTTTTGCGGAGGCCATTTCCGAGGCCCGAGGCCGGTTGTATTTCTTGTGGATTTCCGGCTTCCAAGGCCGCCGATAAGCGAACCACACAAAAGCACCAAAAATGTCGATTTTGCAGTGCCCGCTCCTTTTCCGGAGGCCAATCCTCAATCCTAAATCCTAGATCCTAAATCCTAAATCCTAAACCCTAAATCCTAAATCCTAAATCCTAAATCCTAAATCCTAAACCCTAAATCCTAAATCCTAAATCCTAAACCCCAAAACCCCAAAACCCTAAATCCTAAATCCTAAATCCTAGATCCTAAATCTCAAATCCTAAACCCTAAATCCTAAATCCTAAATCCTAGGATGTTACTCCAAATCGTGGGGTTTAGGGTAATCAGCTTAGGAGCTAAGAGAAGGACTGTCGCCTGCAGGCAGGTTCACTTAGCTCTGAGCGTCGACCGTCCTCACCGGACGGATCCAAGTCGGCGTCCACTAGGGCTGAAGCCCATCGATTGGACGCACCGCGCCCACCAGTGGGGACGCGGTAGCGACCGCCGCCAGCGCTAGCTGGGGAAAGCGGCGGTCTTTGTTTAGGTTTTAGGGTTTGGGGTTTAGGGCTTAGGGTTAAAAGCACTTCCCAGAGACTCCAATATAGAAGGGACCCAAAGACTCCTAGGGTTCCTTTTAAGGGGATCTATAAGGGTTCCTTTAACGGTTCCTATAAGGGATCTATTTGGTTTGGGGTTTTGGGGACTCCAACGTCCTGAATTAAGGAATATTCCTTAAATTGGGGTTGGATCCCTTGTATGATTGAAGGTATATTCCGTAATTAAATGATATTGGAGTCGTGTAGGAACCTGATCAAGAAACCCTCGGTCTTTATAAAGGTTCCTTATATGAATCCTTAGCCCATAGCCCATATGATGCCAGGCGTTGTTAAGGGTTCTATAGAGCTTGTGTTGTAGGGTGTCTTGTGTTTGGGGTTAGGGTTGTAGCCTCTTTGTAATGAGGGTACCCTTTTACCTACGCCTCGGCTTTAACAAGGGGACCCTAAAAAAGAAACGGCACAGGGTACTACTCAGGAACCTAGTGAAAGCTTTTCTTCGAGGGTTTCTTGTGTTGTGGGTTAGGGATTCAGGGCTTAGGGGTGATTTGGGCTTAATAGGGTCTTGAAGTACGGCTTAAGTCTCAGGGACTCGAGTTTGCATTTCAGAATTCTGGCGCTCCTGCATTGCTCTTTAGATATGCCTTCTTGCTTTCGGGTTATGCAGGGCTTAGGCTCACTGTATTTTCCTTCCTGAATGAGAATGGATGTATGTGTATATATATATATATATATGGGGGTTTCCGAAAATAAGGGACCCCAATGTAGTACCCCAAATAGTAGGATCCTTGTTATAAGGACCCCTAAATAAGGTACCCCTATTTTCGGAAACTCCCATATATGTATGTATGTATATGGGGGCGTGGTTACCATCCCCCGCCCCTTCTACGTTTCAGCATCGTCCCCACTGCACCGATGAAGCACGGGCGCGCGGATCGCAAATCTGTGTGGCTTTGAGGCGGTGTTTAGGGTTTGGGGTTCAGGGTTTAGGGTTTAGGATTTAGGGTTTAGGGGGCTTCGGGTTTAGGGTTCAGGGTTTGGGGTTTGGGGTTTAGGGTTTAGGGTTGCGGCAATCTTTTAGGACATCGCATTTCAAGGCTGCGGCTTGTGGCAAGGCACTGGGGAGTATCAGGGAATCGCAGTTTGTGCACATGTTTAAGCACAACCATGTAGAGATGATGTAGTACACATTCATGAAGTACATGATGCAACAAGGAAATATGACAGAATGTATGCTGACATGATACCCTTAGACCTATAAACTCTGTTCCGGTAATTTTATAGGGAGCCTAGGACTACAAAAAGGGAATATGGGTACTACTGGGCATGCCCAGGACCTCTAAACTCTGTTCCGATCCTGGGCAAAGGCAGGATTTGCCTCTGAACACGATCCCGAGAGTCGGTGGGTCAACCTGCCTTCGACCATGAATGTATTAGGGCTGATATATATATATATATATACATATATACACATATATATATATATATATATACATATATATATATATATATATGTGTGTGTGTGATAAGGGTTTGGGTTTTGAGGTTAAGGGCCTATCCGGTTTGGGGTTCAACACTTTGGATTGAGGTTTGCGGCCTTTGGGGTCTCGGGTCTGGCGCTGAGGGTTTATGGACTGGGGCGTTGAAGAGTTCTTGGATGTAGGGTTTAGGGTTTAGGATTTAGGGTTTAGGGTTTAGGGTGTAGGATTTTGGGTTTAGGATTTAGGGTTTAGGGTTTAGGGTTTGTTCTTCTTTCGTGCCCGCCCTTAGCCCCTGAGCCCTGAGCCCCAAATCATTCAGCCCTACACCCTGTGTCAAGCATAGCCCTATGGAACCTTAAAGGAACCATGCAAGGAATCCCAAAAACCCGAGACCCACGAAGCCCAGGTGTCAGCCCAGGAACACCACCCAGACCAGAAATAGGAGCTGCAGTTATTGCCAAGCGTGTCGCGCCAAGATTCATTACTCTGACAACCTGGTGGAGTGGGTGTTTTACTGCTTCAGATGTTTTTTTGTGGCTTTATTAGGGCTGTCCACAGTTCTGCGACGGTTGTTATTGTTTTCTATCAGGTTTATGATGCTGTTTCATAGGAGGAGACGGTCTTGAAAGCGCACTATGCAGGCTTTCTTCGCTGTATCAGGGTTTTGCAGCGGCAGCTGCTTACCTGTAGGGCTTTGCCCTTGCAATAACTGGAGCCACAGGTACAGCTGAACCCCTGAAGCCAAAAAATACATAAACCTGGAGCGAACTCTGGAGATTCTCATAGAACCAGAACTACCCAAACCGTACAAGCCTCCTCCGCAAGAACAGCAAGCATCCACAGCAGAGACGTTGTCCACGGCGTAGGCGGACAGGTCACCTCGGAGGGGGCAAACATGTTGGTCCTGCACAGGATTACAAAGTGATGCGCGGGTTTCATAGCGATGACCTGGTTTCCACGGTTTGGAGTTTAAGGCTTCTTTATGATTAGCTCTCTCATGAATGCGTAAGCGTAAAGTGAGCTACATTAACCTACAGGAAAACCAAAGCCTAAATTCTCAGTATAACCCCATGGAACCCCTCAGGAACCCAGGAATCCTTTCTACACGGACCCTAAACCCTCAACCCCAAACCCTAAACGCTAAACCCTAAACCGGAACCCTTGAAAGAAGCCAGGGCTCTGGTAGCCGTGCCGTTGGAGCAAAGTCCCTCCTTCTCGTAGATATAGCAGCTGTAGCCTCTGGAGTCCACCCAGTCCTGGTCCTTGCAGACGCCTGCACCACATCCTTGTTTAGCAATTGCAAGTCTCTTCACCACGGAGAGAGATGATGATCTAGACCTAAGAGTAACCTAAGAATAAAAAGGGTGCCCTTCTGGGCTTAAAGGGTGCTGTAAAGGAACCTAAACCTCAAAAAAGGGAATACGGGCCTACTCTGGGTCCTAGATGACAGAGGCCTTGGGGAAAGTTTTGGGTGAAACCAGGGTCCAGCGAATGCCGACTCAAGCCCAAGAAATAAGACACACCCCTGAACCCTAAACCTCTAAACCCTAAACCCCTAAACCCCTAAACCCCTAAACCCCTAAACCCTTAACCCTAAAACCCTAAAACCCTAAAACCCTAAACCCTAAACCCCTAAACCCTAAACCCCTAAACCCGTAAACCCGTAAACCCCTAAACCCAAACCCCTAGACCCCTAAACCCCTAAACCCTTACACCCGGAAACCGCTAAACCCTAAACCGAAACGACCACCAAAAGAGAGTTCGATCAGGAAAGCCAACGTGGCATCTTGAGGACATCATAAAGGCGCGGCGCCTTAATAAATAGGGCACCTAAGGGTTCCTTTCAAGGGTTACCGCCAGGGTACTATAAGGGCTCTACCCAAAATAAGTACCCTTAATTGTCGGAAACTCCCACAAAAACCTCAACATCATGTCGCACGCGCTTTCAATAGCTGGATGGGTTCATGCTCTTACACCCTTCCCCCTAACACCCAAAATTTTGCCCTGTTTAAGGAATTCGAACTTAGTTTGAATTACCATAATGGGGATCTTCTGCGAAAAAATGTTACCTTGCCTTACCTTACGATGGAAACTTAAACAAACTTCCTTAGCATAAACTCTAAACCCTAAGCCCTAAGAACCCAAAACGCCGTATGATCAAGGCTCCGCAGCACACTGCTGATGCTCCCTGCTCACCCTGCTCGACGGTCCATCCTTCCGCTTCGAAGCCCTGAGCAGGGCTTACTTGGAGGTTCAAGGGTAGTTACAAGTAGGGTTATACGTAGGATAACTTTAGGTTATAACCTATATTAGAGGACTTCTAACCCTACTATTTAATAATTACGTTTCCCCTACAAGCAGGCTCGGACTCACTCTTTCTGCGCGCGGAGCGGAAAAAACTTCAGTTCTCTTGTTGCACCATCGGTGCAGGGGGTGGGTGGGCGGGTCACCCATGAGCCTAGAGCCTACCGGAGGTGAAACACTACGCACGCGAAGCTGGGCTACCACGTTTCTCCTACAAGCAGGCTCGGACTCACTCTTTTTCGCGCGGAGCGGAAAAAACTTCAGTTCTCTTTTTGCGCCATCGGTGCACCCCGCCCCCTCACGCAAAAACGCCCCTCCACACAAGGGGTTGTCGGTCGCGAAGCGCGACACGACAAGGGATTGCCAAAACGACCAGGCGGGATGACAAACCGGTCGCGAAACGCGACACGGTTGTCATAACCCGAGGCCAGGGCGTGGGTGGAACGAAGTGTCCCCTCAGGCGCTGGGAAACCCTTTCACAGGGGTCATATCTGCGACGGCCATTCTCGCAGCAGTGGTCGCTGACGCTTTGCGCGAGGCCCACAAGCAGGCGAGGAAGGCGTCGGAGTTCCATCTACCCCATGCCCTCAAAACATAGGAGTCGAAGCCCCCGGACCACATGGCAGAAGTCCCTCCAAAGCGGAGGGAGCGTGGCGTGTAGGAGTGGGGGTCCTGTCGCAGGGAAGAAGCGACCGTTTGCAAGACTTCCTGCAAATCCTGCCGCGTCAGGTGAGGAAAAAACCTCGCTCCAGGCTCGGGAGTACCAAGCTCATCCCACAGGCATCGGAGGTAGCATGCCGTGGCAACCACTGGGCATACCTCCGCGCCACCTTTGAACAAGTTGCGGATGGCCGTTTCTCCTTCTGGGTCGGTCTTCGACGCTCGGACGGTCAGCTGAACCTCGTCCGCTCCCTCGAAAGGGGGGCGAAGCAAGGGCACGCCCTCTTTGAAGAGGGCCACATCGCGTACCCTGAGTCCCAACCTGGGGTTGGAGCCGCCAACGATTTCGGAGACCCTCAGCAAGAAGAAAAAACCCAGCTGGAGGGCGCAGGCAACGAAGTCGAACGGCAAAGCGTTGTTTGCCCGTGCGAGCATCTTTGGGGTCACCGGCCTCCTCTTTGCGATTGGGCCACGGCGTCTCCTTATGCTTTCCAATGCCAGCATCAGCGTGGCAACGGCTTGAGGGGGTCCGGGAACCCTAGTTGCAGGTGCACACTCCGGATCGCCCCTCGCCTAGCCTGGGCTGTGGGGGCGGCGAGGCCTTGGCCAGGTAGTCGATCGAAACGATCCACAGAGCGTAAGGCCGAAATCCCTCGACGACGAGTATAAAGCTCCCACCACCGCCAGTGGCCGTCATGCAACTTCTGGGTGGTGGCCGACAAATGGTCTTTTACCAAACGACGCGGAGCGCGCCTCGATCTTGGGCTTGCTGCAGCAGCACACCCTACCCAGTGCGGTGCAGGCTGACCCAGCCCAGCCTCCCACAATGCCTCGAAGAGCCATAAACCTAGAAGCGAAAAGTGCCCGGGCCAAACGGGCCCCGCCCTGCAAGTTCGCTGAAGTCAACACCGATGTGTTGCGGGGCAACGCCTAGCGTGTTTGTGGAGTTCGGCGGTCTCCGGGGCGGTGCACGGGTCTGCCAAGCATAGATGAACCACGCAATTGGCCCTCTCCAATGCGCGGCGCCAGTATCTGTGCGAGCAACCAAATCCATGACCAACAGATCGTAGGGCAGTTGTTGCTCCCGGTCTTGGACGTAGTTCACCGTCCAGGGCTGTTGGCCCCTGGGGCCGGTCCATTTTACTTCCTAGGGAAGCTCTCCGCTTCCTCGAAGCACGGCGCTCCAGGTGCCACTTCCCAAAAGGTATTTGGTGAGGGCATACGGGACCACCAGCAGGGGCTTAACAACCCACATGAAGGACGAGTAGGTCAGAAAAGGGTGCTCTTTTTGGTTTAAAGGGGATTATAAGGGAACCTACACCTTTAAAAAGAAATTAAGGGCCTATGGATCCTCGTTTCCTACTGTGCAGCATCAATCAGGAAACCCCAAAGCAAAAGGAAAAAAGGCTACCATGTAGAACCCTTTGAAGGGCCCTTTAAGGAACCCTTTGAGGACACTACTCAGGAACCTAGGAAGGAAACCTGGGACATAACGTTGTGAAGTTCTGAGCAGTGTTCGACGTTTTGGCATGGAAATGGTGCCCCGATACGCCTGAATTACGGTATGCTTCTCTTATGGGAGGCCAAAAGGGGCGTTTAAGATTCTTGGGGCAGGGATTCCTTAATATAACCCTATTATGGGAACCGTAATCCCTACTAAACCCCCATAGGCTAAATCCCCTTGTGGCCACCTAAGTTGGCTGACTTCTGAACCCCTCCAAAAAGTTAAACTTTTAGCCTCCTTATAATGGTTCATATGGGAGTTTCCGAAAATAGGGGACCCTCATATAGTACCCCAAATAGTAGGATCCTTATTATAAGGATCCCAAAAAGTTAAAGTCTAAAGAGCCAACCAGAAGAACGCCAAGCTATGATTCTCTGATTGCAGCTCAGAGCTCTGAGTCTAGGGTTCAGGGTTTAGGGTTTAGGGTTTGCCGTAGAGTGGCGCAGAAGCGGAAGTAGCTTGCGACAGTGTATTGTCGAGTGCGTCGTAATATGACGATTGGCTGTTGGAGCCTGATGGTGGATGGCTCTTTCTTTAAACTCTCCCACCCCACGCCGTCTAAGGCGGCCAAACCACCCAAACCTATTCCTTTTAGGGCTTAGCACCTAAACTCATTCGATGGTTTTCTTTCTTTCTTTAGACTAGGTCCACACAAAGAAAGGAGGGGACCTCGACTTTGGCACCGGGCCATAATGAAAATGCACGTTTGATGAACAGAATTTAATAAGCAAAAACCAGCAGCAGGTTGGTCAGCGCAGGCAAGGCCAGGGGGGCCAGGGGGGGCCCGAGGGCTGGGGGGCCTGGGGAGGCCTGGAAGGGCCTGGCAGGGGCCAAAAGAGCTTTTCCACCAGTTTTCAGGTCTCCCATTTCGGATCGGCCTGGAGGCCGCCAGGTCCCCGAACTTTGCTCGCTGCAGGCCCCAAGCCGCCCCTGGGGGGTCCCTAGGAGAACCTGCTCCGGTACCGCCATCGACGTCTTAAGCGCCGCCCACCCACGGAGGTGGGCGGCCTAGGCCTTGAGTTTAGGGTTTAGGTTTTAGTTTTTCGTCGAGGACCCCGAATCCGAACTTAGAGGCCTTTGAGTAGAACACCATGCAGAATCCGGAGACCTGACCTAGTAGGTAGGGTTACAAGTAAGGTTGTAGCTAGCGTAACCTTACTTAAAGTACGTAGGGCAAAAGAGGTGTTGAGATCAACAACAGACGCACTTTAAGGGCTTAGGGTTTGGGGCTTGGGTCGAGGGCGCACGGCTTTCAGAAACGATACGCCCAGCACCCATAGTACGACTGTGAATGCCTCTACTGGTAGCAACAACCTGAGCCCTAAACCTCTCAGATAGAGCTCAGAGTTCAGGGTTTAGGGTGTAGGGTTTAGGATTCAGGGTGTTGAAGTTAATCCAAAAGCCCCTAAATCCTACACTACTTGAAGTTATCGGCAGAGATGCAGCGTCTCCGTAGTTCCACCCTGGGCCGTAGCCCCCGTAGGGGGTGCAGAGCTGCAAATCCACGTAGTTCGAGCAATTGTTCCCGTCTCTGTCCTGTAGGGGCTTAGTGGTTGGAGTTTAAGGGTTAAGGTTTATAGGGTTTAGGGTTTAGGAGCTTGCAGGGCCAGGGTTTCTTAATCAGATTCCTACGTAGTTCGCCTCGGCCGAAGCGGTCAGAGGTTCCTATTCGGATTCCCTCTCTTAACCCCCTTCCCCCTTCTCCCCCGCCCTCCCCCCCCCTCCCCCGGAAATAGTCCCTACTACAACCGGAACCCCGATACCACAACCGGAAGCCCTATACTACAACCACGAACTGGACCCTACTACAACTGAGCAGCTATATACTGAAAAAAGGTCCCTATTACAACTGGACAGTTCTTTTTTGTATGGTTTAGTGTTTTCGTTTTTGGGCTTAGGCAGCTGTTCCTTGTCATAGCCACCAGTTCCTTTCGTTTGAAAAGGCTAGAGCATGATAGGACGGATCATCCTTCGCGCTTCCTGTTGTCCATGTCGATGACAGTCTTTCATTTGAAAGGGCTAAAGCATGATAGGACGGATCATCCTTCGCCCTTCCTGTTGTCCATGTCGATGACAGTCTCTCATTTGAAAGGGCTAAAACATGATAGGACGGATCATCCTTCGCCCTTCCTGTTGTCCATGTCGATGACAGTCTTGCATTTGAAAGGGCTAAAGCATGACAGGACGGGTCATCCTTCGCCCTTCCTGCTGTCCAAGTCGATGACAGTCTTTCATTTGAATGGGCTAGAGCATGATAGGACGGGTCATCCTTCGCCCTTCCTGCTGTCCATGTCGATGACAGTCTTTCATTTGAATGGGCTAGAGCATGATACGACGGGTCATCTTTCGCCCTTCCTGTTGTCCATGTCGATGACAGTCTTTCATTTGAATGGGCTAGAGCATGATAGGACGGGTCATCCTTCGCCCTTCTTGTTGTCCATGTCGATGACAGTCTTTCATTTGAATGGGCTAGAGCATGATAGGACGGGTCATCCTTCGCCCTTCCTGTTGTCCATGTCGATGACAGTGTTTCATTTGAATGGGCTAGAGCATGATAGGACGGATCATCCTTCGCCCTTCCTGTTGTCCATGTCGATGACAGTCTCTCATTTGAAAGGGCTAAAACATGATAGGACGGATCATCCTTCGCCCTTCCTGTTGTCCATGTCGATGACAGTCTTGCATTTGAAAGGGCTAAAGCATGACAGGACGGGTCATCCTTCGCCCTTCCTGCTGTCCATGTCGATGACAGTCTTTCATTTGAAAGGGCTAAAGTATGATAGGACGGGTCATCCTTCGCCTTTCCTGTTGTCCATGTCGATGACAGTCTTTCATTTGAATGGGCTAGAGCATGATAGGACGGATCATCCTTCGCCATTCCTGTTGTCCATGTCGATGAGAGTGAAGATCTAGTAAGCTTTCGGTTTTACTGGTTTAAAACTTCTGGGGCAGTACACTGTTGGGTTTTTGAAGATTGAAGCTGTTAAACTTCCGGGTTTTGCAGGTTTGAAGCAGTCGCGGTAGTAAGCTGCTAACTTTAAGAGGTTTAAAGCTTCTGGGGGTATGTCAAAATGTTTTTTGCGTGTTCGCTACTGCCTGACATCAAACCTCTAAAAGTTAGCAGTTGGTATTAGTTTTTAGTTGTTCGTGATGATAATTTAGTAGATCGTAGCATCTAGGCGAGGAACGGTACCTACTGCAACTGACTTGTTTCTAAGAATGAATGTGTTTCCTTAAAGGTTCACCATGGTACACCAGCAGATTGGAAACCATGCAAAATGTAAGTTTGTTGGCTGGTTGTGATATGGTGGTTCCGGGTTCTGCGCAAAGTCCAGGCCCAGTTGCAGTATCGGGCTTCTGGTTGCGGTATGGGGGTTCCGGTTGTAATAGGGACTAGTCGCCCCCTCCCCCCCCACTCTCCCCCCCCTCCCCCCCCCCCCCCCCCCCTCCTCCCCTCTTCTCCTGACAGGCGCGAGCTTTCGTAGCATCTTTATGTCCCTGCCCCTCCGCCTCCCCTCCTCCCCCACCCTCGCACCGGACTGTAATGCAGGTGCACATTTCGTGTCGACTACGCGCAGGACCCTACAAAAAGAAGCACCCTCCATTACCCTAAGGCCCAAAGTAGTTCCTTTTTGCGAGTGCCTTATCGACTTCTATATACGAACCCCAAAAAGGAACTACTTTGGGGCCTTAGGGTAACCTGATGCGTAGTGCAGCAGTCTACCCGGCCGAAGCGGTCAGAGGTATCTGTTTCTGGTGTTAAAAGTCTGTTTCTGAGACCAAAAGTCTGTTTTACCGAAGACCTAACCTGTGTGACCTCACCTTGTCTGCTCCGAGAAAACCCCAGCAGGGTCTTAATCATTGTTTGGGCCCCTATGTTGGTATCGAATTGATGGCTTTGCGTCTCAGGCTTGTTTTAGACGCCCTTTCGTGGGGATAGGCGGAGTAACGTGGTTCAAAAGGCTGTGATGCTTCCCTAATCCAAGACGCCCACGAAATCCACAGCCTCAACGGCCCATACTTAAGGCATCCCGCCGCTTGCGAGAGTCTTGGTATCCAGTGTTTCGGAATGACGACACCAAAATTCGTACTGATACTACCACTACTAATACTACTCACAATCATCCTGCTTCGTGTTGCTATGAACATTACTTTTACTATAAGTGCGATTCCAACTGTTACTTTTTTCCTACAAGAGCTTGCTGCACATAGTAGCCACTCGCCGCATGCGCGTACAGCCGGGCCGAGGCGGACGACGCGCAGCGTTTCAAATTATTTGGCACATGCGTGTGCAGCCGGGCCGAGGCGGGCGACGCGAAGCGTTTCAATTATAGTACCCTGATAGATCCCTTACAGTAACCCTTATAGACCCCTTTAAAGGAACCCTATAGGAGGGAGAGGGAAGAACTCAAAATGGCCTTTCAGTTTCTGCACTTGTTCCGCACTCTCCTTCCTTTGAAGACTCTCCCTGGCTAGGGTTTAGGGCTTAGGGTGTTCCCAGAGCCGCCAAAACCCCTTAATTAAGGAATATACCTTAAATTATAATAGGATCCCTTATATGATTTTAAGGTATATTCCTTAATTAAGGGGTTTTGGAGGCTCTGGGTTAGGGTTGCACACTGATACATGGGTAGTTGTCAAAATTATGGCCCCTTTTTGGGTACCCTAAATATTAGGTGCCGTACTATCCTCAACCCTACTTAGAGGGTCAGGGGACTGAGCAAGGAAGGTTTTGCGCCCCTCAAATGTGATCAGAAGTATTTATAAGAAAATGGCCACCCTAAAACCCTGAACCGTAACAATAGTAATACAGAAACCTGAATCATAAGTAATACTATTCCCTAGATTTCCTTACTACAAGTCTACTATACTATACCCCAGAACCCTCTTCCTTCGAGTTGAGGCTCTCCTTAGACCCACAAACGTTTACGCGGTAGAGCATCCAAGCGGATGCCATCCCAGGGCCGTGTTTAGGGTTTAGGGCTTGGGGTTTTAGGGTTCAGGGTGTTAGGGTTTAGGGCTCAGGCGGTGAGGGTTTAGGGTTTAGGGGTTATGGCTTATGGCCGAAGCCGTCTGGCCAACTTTCGCAAATCCCTAAACCCCTACTGAAAGGATCACGGGACTGATTCGTAAATCGTGTTGCTATTGCCATTGGGTGACTGTGCTTATAACTACCTTTTTGAAGTAATCCCTAAACCCTAAACCCTACGCCCTAAACCCCAAACTACCTTTTTGAAGTAATCCACACCCTGCTTGCTAAGTCCCATGAAACTGCAAGTAAATTCCAACTCGCAAGCCGCCTCGACCCCCTGAATGCTGAACCCTACCCCCCTAAGGGCTTAGGGCTTAGGGTTTGGGTTTAGGGTTTAGGGTTTAGGGTTTAGGCTTTAGGGTTTAAGGGTTTAGGGTTTAGGGTTTAGGGTTTAGGCCTAAACTCCAAACGCAAACCCCTAAACTCAAAACCAGAAACCACACAACTCTAAAGCCAAACTCCCCAACTCTGCCTGCCCTCGAGCCGGTCGCAAATCCAATCAGACTTTCTAAGGCCACGAACATGTAACAAAATCACCGCATCCTCAACCAACCCTAAACCCTAAAACTCTTTGGCTTCTGCTCCGCACTCTGAAACTATGAAAACCCAGACCTCAAATGCCCACCTCTGAACCCTCAGCCCTGACACGTTAAACCCCACTTAACCTTAAACCCCGAAGCCCCCAAAGCTTAAACCCCAAACCCTCAAGAGTTAGGGGTTTGGAAACCCCTAAACCCTAATAGAGGGGCCTTAATAGCAAGAATAGGGTTTTGGGGCTTGTTATACTATAATTTAAAATAAGAAACCCTCAAAATAGCATCCCCTGAACCCTACCTTGGCCCCAAGTAACCTACTTTTTTAAAGACTTATATAACGAAATCATGTTAGGGAACCCTAAAAAAGGTAGGTTCCTGAGGGTCCAGGTAACCCTCATGCGTCCTGCCAGGTTGATGGGACTAGGTCGGTGCAGGTTTGCGCGAGGGCGCACGTGGCGAGGGCGAAGGCAGCGGCGAGTTTCATGACCTCTCCTCCTTAAGAGGCAAAGCCAGAATACTCTAAAGCCTAAGCCCCAAGCCGAAAGCCCATAAAGCCTCAAGCTTAAACCCGCCGGCCCACCAAAGTCCCCTAAACCCTAAACCCTAAACCCCCTTTAGAGTTGACAGGTTAAGGGCTTAGGGAAAAATCTCCCCGAAGTCTTCTGGGAGCTAAAGCTTCAACGCCATCGCTTGAGGCACATGGGTTCATGGATTCCGATGAGAAAGTCGTAGTAGTACGGTTGATGATGTAAATCCTGCATTACCCATGATGAGGAATATGCCATAATTCCCATAGTTTAGGGCCCTTAAGGTAATGCAGGATTTATATCATCAACAGTAGTAGTAGTAGTAGTAGTAGTAGTAGTAGTAGTAGTAGTAGTAGTAGTAGTAGTAGTAGTAGTAGTAGTAGTAGTAGTAGTAGTAGCAGTAGCAGTAGCAGTAGTAGTAGTAGTAGTAGTAGTAGTAGTAGTAGTAGTAGGAGTACTAGGAGTAGTGGTAGTGGTAGTAGTAGCAGCAGCAGCAGCGGGAGCAGCGGGAGGAGCAGGAGCAGGAGCAGGATTGCACATAGACTTACACATACACACACAGAGTATATATACATACATACATACACCATATACATCTACAACTACATATGCATATCCATATACATACACCATATACAGTAGACCCCATAAAGTTGGAAACCGGGTTAAGGCCAAATAGTGCTGGGATTCCCTATACATTACTCTTAAGGATGGAGGCTATGGGGTTTCCAACTCTTGGGCTTCTACAGTACTGATAGGTTGAAATCTTCGAATTTTGAAGCTGCTGCATCTACACCTGAGCCCCCGAAGCTGAAAGCTGAAAAGAACCCTCAAGAAATGTGGATGGATGTAGTATGCAGGTGTCTTTAAGGGTTTAGGGTGTATGATATGGAAGTTTCACTTCAAGGGTTTGGGGGTTAAGAACTTATGTACTTGATATTTGATGCCATCCCCTGATAGTCCGTCTGTCGCTCTGATGAAACACACCCCTAAACGGCGCCTAAACCCTGTTGGGCCTCATATTGCCCCTAACGCCCCTGAAACCCTCAACCCCCAAATCCTAAAGCCTCAGCCCTCAAATCCTAAAGCCTCAACCCCCAAATCCTAAAGCCTCAACCCCCAAATCCTAAAGCCTCAACCTCCAAATCCTAAACCCTTCCATTTTTCATGAGCACCAAACGACCTGAACTGGAAAATCACCTCCTTCTGGAGCTGCGCGTCACTTCTCGACGCCTTGCTAGGGTTTTAGGGCTTATAGGTTTTAAAGTCTAAGGGCTTCGGGTTTAGGACTGAGGGGTTTAGGGATTAGGGTGTAGGGTTTTTTCGGTTCAGGGCTTAGGGGGTTGCGGCTTAGGGGACGTTCTGCAATATTCTAGGCCTGCTTCAGCTTGTCCTACACCCCCCAACAACACCGAAAGTCTGGGCTGTTGTAGGCATTAGCTCTCTTAATACGGGGTGCAAAACCGCTTTCTTGGCTGAGTGGGATTAATGGAGGCCGGTGATACTCGCAATGAGTCGCATCTGGTGCCCCGCTTAAGCCTGTACAAGGAGCACATACGGGAGTTTCCAAAAATAAGGGACCCTAATATAGCACCCTACATAGTAGGACCCTTCTTATAAGGACCCCAAAATACGGTACCCCTAATTTTCGGAAACTCCCAATACCCTAAACCCTAAACCCTAAACCCTAAACCCTAAACCCTAAACCCTAAACCCCTAAACCCCTAAACGCTAAACGCTAAACCCTAAACCGTGGACCCCAACCCTACCCGAACCCCGGTCTGGTTTACGGGGCTTACTTGAAGAATCATGGGACTTAGTAACTTTTAAGGGTTCCTTAAAGGGGCTCCTTAAAGGGGCTCCTTAAAGGGATCTATAAGGGATCTATGGGGGGGTTTAGGGTACTTAAGGAATCATGGGACTTGGTAACTAGGGCTATTATTAGGGTAGCTATACTTATAACCCCAATTAGGGTACTTATAACCTTACTTACTAAGTCCCGTGACCCTCCAAGTAGGGTTGGGGAGAACCCATATAAAACCATGATGATAGAACCCTTACAGAACACTGCTGGACTACTGATAGCAGCACTGCAAAGCCCGTGACCGTAAACCCGAAACTCAACAACAAGCCGCACCAGGGTTGGGGGTTAAGGATTTAGGACTTCTGGTGATGGCACACTCTGCATGGCATTACCTCATGAATTTATGCAATAGGAAATATAACATGGTCTTTCGGTTACTTCCTGATGGGTGGGGCGGCGACTTCCTCATATCTCGTTCCGAATACATGCAAGCATCATACCCCCTGTCATCCTTTGCTGCATCCCACATTCCCCGGAAGTTGCGGCGCAGCCAAAACCCGAAAGGGTTTAGGGTTCTAGCGTTTTAGGGTTTAGGGTTTGAGGTTTAGGGTTTAGGGGTTTAGAGGTTTAGGGGTTTACTAGGCTGTTCAGTAACCCACTGGAAAAAGGTATATACTTTTGTAGGCTTCTTATTTTATATAGAATAGGAACCCAGAAACCTGAAAGTAAAAAAGTGTACCACTGAACAGGCTGGTTTAGGGGTTTAGGGGTTTTCCAGAAAGGGCTGCAAGGCGCCGGGTGCTCAGGTCTATGAGCTTCGCTCTGCCAGTGCTGGCTGCTGGCTGAGATCTACCGCGGCCCTCCCTTGGTTTGTCCCTAAACCACGGTTTAGGGTTTAGGGTTTGTAATGGGTATAGTAGCTATATTAAGGGTATATACCTAGGGGTCCTTAGTAAAGGTCCCTCCTCTTACCCTTGGATTCTCCCTAAACCTGGTACCCTGAGTTCTGAGCCCTACTCCCTCAACCCTACTTAAAGGATGATGGGACTCAGTAACTAGGGTTATTATTAGGGTTAGGGTACTTATAACCTTACTAAGTCCCATGACCCTCCAAGTAATCCTGCTTAATCCCTAAACCTTTAACCCTAAACCCCTACAACCCTAAATCCCTAAATCCCTAAGCCCTTGTTTCAGAGTTCAGAACCCTATAGATACCTTCAAGAACCCTATAGATCCCATGAAGGAACCCTTTAGATCCCTTTAAGGAGCCTTTTAAGCCTCGTTCAGGGTTTGGGTTTGAGGTTCTCGAGCCCTTCCTTGGCTCTCGGGAACTGGGCTAAAGAGAAGCTCACTGGCACCCTGGTTTAGGGTTTAGGGTTTAGACGGGTCTTGAGGCTTCCATAATTACCTTGGCCCCAAGTAACCTACTTTTTTAAGGACTTATATAAAGAAATCATGTTAGGGAACCCTAAAAACAAGTAACCAAATAGTAGGGTTTCAAGTCCCAAAAGTCCATACTCTGAATGGATTTTGGACTCTGAAACCCTACTATTTGGGCACTTGGACCCTGAGGGCAAGGTTCTTCCAGGGTTCTATAATTAGGCTTTACACAAGCTCTGGGCATCCGAATAGCCCAAAAGCCTTATATACGGTTGATGATATAAACCCTGCATTACCTTAAGGACCCTAACTATGGGAATTATGGTATATTCCTTATTATGGGTCATGCAGGATTTATATCATCAACAGTAGTATGGTCTTTGGGCGCAACAGCCTGAATATATGAGTCCTTAGAGCTCTAGGGAAGGTTCTTTCAAGGTTCTATAAGATTTTTACAAGCCTTTCCTGAAGGGTTTGGGACTCTGGGTGTGTCACGGATTTGGAATGTAAGGCTGCAGAGCTTTAGGCTTTGGGGCTTAAAAGGCTCCTTGAAGGGATCTATAGGGTTCCTTGAAGGGATCTTTCGGGTTCCTTGCAGGGATCTATGGGTTTAAGGTTAGGGTCTGCTTGGAAGACCGGGGGACTTGGTAAGTAAGGTTATAAGTGCCATAATTGAGGTTACAAGTAGTTATAAGTACAGTTACCCTTAAAATAGCCCTGGTTACTAAATCCCATGATCTTTCAAACCCTAAACACCCCATAGATGCCTTATGGATCCCCTTGAGGAACATTACTAAGTCCCATGATATGATCCTTTCAGTAGGGTTTGGGACTTCGGGTTCCGGCTCCGCAACACGCTCCGCCGACCCCTTTTGGGGTTTAGGGTTTAGGGATTGGGGGTTTGGGGTTTGGGTTTAGGGTTTAAGGGTTTCAGGGGTTCAGGGTTTGGGGTTCAGGGGTTTAAGGTTTGGGGTTTAGAGTTTAGGGTTTAGGATTTAAGGTTTAGGGGTTTAGGATTTAGGGTTTAGGGGTTTAGGGGTTCAGGGTCTAGGGTTTAGGGGTTTAAGGTTTACGGACCCGGGTCCGACAAGCTAAGGTGGAACTCCCCGAAAACAGATCGTCTATTGTAGGGGCCTTGAAGCTGTCAATAGAGCTTTGAAGTAGGTTGTAGTACTATACTGAACTTAGAACCCTAGCAAAACTTGTAAATTTAGCCGTTTCTTAGGGATTATATTATATAACCAAAAAGCAAAGGTTATTTCTAAGTACCCCTAAGAGTAGAATACGAACCCTGAGGAATAGCATAGCTATTCAGCTATTCAGGCTCCTACGATAGTTGCACAGCCGTCTCTTGCACCGCAGTCTATTTGGGGCCATCAAAGGGGCTCCACGCACAGAAGGTGTATATGGATGTCTCGATTCTAAGTTTTTGTCTCCCATAAACCCTAAGCCCTAAACCGACAGCATACAGCTACTGATAAGATCGCCAAGCCAGGCGAATCCTTAACAGCCTTCAGTTTCAATCCCCTGGAGTTCCCTTGCTGCATACATCCCTGTACAAGACCGTAACAGACGGGCCTTAATACTCAGAATAGGGTTTTGGGGCACATTATACTATAATTACAATAAGGAACCCCGAAGTAGTATTGGTAATGATTTAGGCCCCTATAGTAAGATCAAGGAAGGATCTCATGCAGGCATCAAAGCGCCAGCATCAACCGGGAGGGATGCCGAGCTCAGTCGTCAGCACAGTGTCTAAGACTTCAGGGTTTGGGGTTTAAGGCTCTAGGGCCAAAGGTTTAGGGTTTGGTGGCGCCCCCGGGTTAAGGCTTTATAGGGGCTTGAAGGTATAGGCCTCAGGGCTTTGGGATCTGGAGTTGAGGATTAATGGCTTCAGATTCAGGATAAGGGATTAAGCGGGATTTGTTCAGGGTTTCTGTGTTCTGGGAAAGGGCTCAGGGTTTAGAGTTTAAGGTCTTGATTGACCCTGAACCCTAGGCCGAAATACTTAGGGCTGCCACGCTCTCTCCTTCAGCGGATGGAACCCACAACCGCTAGCACAACCGCAACCGAGATATCCCTTGAATAAGGTATCTTTTCCTTTAGTTTAACGAGAAGGTTTTTTAGGTAAAGCCTTACATAACGACAGCCTAAACCCTTAACCCAAACCAAGCACACAAGCACACACACATACACACACGTACATGAAACCATAAAGCCCCCGCCCCAAACCCTACACCCTAAACCCTACGCCCCAAACCCTAAACCTTAACCCTAAACCGAGCCGAGAGCGGCGAACTGGGTTGGGCTACACACACTCTGGTTTGGGATTTGGGGTTTGGGGCTTAGCATTTAGGAATTTAGGGTTTGGCGTTAGCCCGCAACACGTAACTCAAGAGTCAATCTTTAGCCTGAGGGCTTGAAGGAACTTTTAGGGTTTAGGGTTTAGTGTTAATTGTTCAGGGTTTAGGGTTTAGTTGGTTGTTAGAACTCAGGGCAATGTGGCACTCTGCTTCATCACATGAATCTGTATAGCTCCTTTTTTTGGTTGTTGTAGTCATTAACCCTCTACAGGGTGAAGTCTTCCGGCCGGAATCGTGATGTCCACTCTTTTCCTACCCTGTTGGACGACCCCCTGTACCCTAAACTCCAAACCCTCCACACCTAAGCCGTAAGCGTTAAATCCCAAAACGCTCTACCCGAACCCCTTCACCCCAGCCCTCTTGCCCTAAACGAAACTAAACCCTAAACTGCCACGAAAAAAGTTGAACGAACGGTTTAGGGCTTCCTGGTTTAGAGCTTACTTGAAGGCTCATGGGACGTAGTAAGTAAGGTTATAAGTAGGTTATGATTAGGATAACCCCACTTAGGGGACTTATAACCCCTTTTATAACCTACTTACTAAGTCCCATGATCCTCTAAGTAGGGGCTGGAGACTGAAACAGAAACATTTCATGGACGAAGGAGGAAAACGAAAAGCGCCTCGACTTGAGCTTTGGCTTCCCCGCTCTGCAGAAGCTATATGCGATGGTCTGATCCCTTAGGATTGACGGATGCTTGGGCGGCGATGAGCCTTTTAGCATTTTGGTTGTTGGGGGTTTGGGGTTAGGACTTAGGGGTTATACAGCGGTGTACCAACCCTCGAACCCCAGCGTAGGCTTGTCAACATGAAGGTATCTAATTGCCTATACTGAACTTAGAACCCTAGCCAAAATTATATTTGTAGCTGTCTATTAGGCATTATAATCACCAAAAAAGTTTTAACAAAAATCTAAGTACCCCTAAGTTGCTATGCCCCCCCCCCCCCCGCGAGGGAACGCCAAAATCCACACCCTGCATCTTGAGAGATGGTTTTTTGGTTCTGGGAAGTGGTGCCTTGAGCCGTGACGTCACATAATTGGGAGCTAGGATTGGGGGGACCCTTGGGGACATAGACCCTCTGAATAAGGCCCCTTTTAAGAGAGCCAGAAGTAGGGTAAAGAAGGGTCCCCTTTGAGGGGTCTCCCTAATACTACCTAGGAATCACAGGGCTCTATCAGTTAGGATCGGGCTTTGGGATATAGTGCAGCACAATTATAAAATAAACCCTTAGGAATCATATAAGGGCTCTATCAACTAGTATCGGGCTTCGGGATATATTCTACTACAATCAGTATCATAAAAGTAACCCTTAGGAATAATGCCGGAAATTACACACGCTTCTCGATTGGGCCGAAACCACCCGAAGCAGCGCCCCCAAGGCTTAAAACACATAAGTCTCGTACTCACCCTGCTCACTGCCAGGGTCTGCCGACCTCAGATGCGCGTCTTTTCCCAAACAATTTCGACCCACCCTGAACCCCAAAAGCCCCCAAATCCTGAAACCCTATAAACCTTAAGCAAAACTGCCGGTGTTTGCGAAATTACAAGCCCCAGCCCTCGTCCAGTCCCCAAAACACCTTAGACGATGGGTCTTGAAGAGTTGAGGGGTTGGGGTTTAGGGGATGAGGGTTTGGGGTTGTAGAATTCATCATATGTTTTTCTACTTTGATGTTTCGTCGGCATTGGCGAACTCTTCGTCGATCTTCGTCGGCACTGGCGAGATCTCCGTCGGCATTGGCGGAAAACGCGCGAAATGGCCAGTGCCGAAAAGCATTGGCGGAAACATGCCGAATCGCCAATGCCGACAAATCCAGCGATGGTTAAATGCGTATAATAGTGAGGTTTGGCCTCTTCTTGCCCTTCCTCCCCCCTTTAAAAGCAAAACTGTAAAGTTCCTGCAAGCATCATACCCTAAACCCTGAACCCTATATAAACCCTGAACCCTTAGAGGAACCCATAGAGGAACCCTAGAAGGAACCCTGAACCCTATATAAACCCTAAACCCTACACACTTAGAGGAACCTATAAAGGAACCCTTAAAGGAACCCTAAACCCTATATAAACCCTAAACCCTACACCCTTAAAGGAATCCTTAACTAGGCTGTTCAGTAAGCCACTGGGAAGAAGTATATATATATATACACTTCTTTTGGCTTCTCATTTTATAATAGGAGCCCAGAACCCGAAAGTAAAACAGTGCACAGTAAACCCCAAAAAGTTGGAAACCGGATTAAGGCCAAATAGTGCTGGGATTCCCGTTGCATTCCTCTTAAAGACTGAGGCTATTGGGTTTCCAACTTTGGGCTTCTACTGTAAATACCCTAACTCCTAAACCCTAAACCCTAAACCCTAAACCCTAAACCCTAAACCCTAAACCCTAAACCCTAAACCCTACACTACAGTACCACTGAACAGCCTGGTAAAGGAACCCTAAGCCTGACCCTGGAACGACCCTAGGGCCCCTCCCTGCTTAAAGGATCATGGGACTTAGTAACGTTTAAGGGTTCCTTAAAGGGTTCTTTAAAGGGATCTATAAGGGATCTATGGGGGTCCAGGCCTTAAGGATCATGGGACTTAGTAACTAGGGTTATTATCAGGGTAATCATACTTATCCGCCGACCCCTGCTTTGGGCCCTTAAGTAGTTCTATAACCCCACTTAGGGTACTTATAACCTTACTTACTTAGTCCCATTATCCTCCAAGTGAGGATTGCAGCAAGGCCGCTGGGCTGATCCGTCCTGTCAAAGCCGAAGGGGCTTGGGGCGTTTTGGGGATTTGGGGGTTTAGGGTGTAAGGTTTAGGGGTTTAGGGTGTAGGGTTTAGGGTTTAAGGCTTGGGGTTTAAGGGTTTAGGGGTTTAGGGGTTTAGGGTTTGGGGTTTTAGTGTTTAGGGTTTCAGGTTTAGGTTTAGGGTTTCAGGTTTCCGCCGACCCTGGCGGCGTGTTGGATGGGTCTCGATGAGCTTGGAGGTGTTAACCTCCTTTTTTCCCTCCTCCCACACCAAAATCCCGCACACTGGGCGCACCCTGGGGGGGGGGGTACCCCATGGCTGTTTGCAAGCAGCACCCAAGCCCCCAAAGGCATCACACCACAGCCCATTGGGTTCAAATCAGTTCACTGTAGGAGACCACCAATGTTTTTCTCCTTTTTCCTGTTTTGCCCTCCCCCCCCCCTCCCCCGCCTTGCCCCCTTCTTCCTCTTCAACCTTGCTCCGCTCAAAGTGCTCCTTGTTCCTACTTCGTGTGATCGTCGCGCAGCCTCACGTGCTTCCGCCTCTTCCCCCCGTTTTGTTTCACAATCTTAGAAGCGCACCAGCGAAGCTTGTCAACTTGAAGGTTCCCGTTTAGTCTCACAATCTTAGAAGCGCACCAGTGAAGCTTGTCGGCTTGAGGGTTTAGGACCACTGTGACTGCGAGTAGCGGCTCAAAACTGGCGCACAGCCTCGCGGACACCAAACGACTTTGCTGTACAAGTGCATTCGGCTTCTGGTCTGTCGCCCACGGGGTCGGCGGCTTGAGCCGGAGGCTCTTAAATCGGGCAGCGCTTCGCTGCCCTGTATGGACTGAGCTATGGCTCAGACGAATGAGCTTCGTCTGCGAAGCAGAAGCCACGACCGACAGTGCCGCCGACCCGCCCCGGACCCCGCATCATCGGACCCTCGTTTCTCCCTCGGGCCGCGCGGGGCCTGGCCCGAAGGCGTCTCGGAACGCGCACGCGTTTTGCAGCCATTCCCCGCGGTGTGGCGGGTTTCGGGGCCGCCGTGGACGACGCCAGGAGGCGAGCCGGCGAGCATCATGAGCCCTCGGGCGCCCGCAACCGGCGCCGGCGGCGCGACGTGGGCGCGAAGTCATAACTCCCAAGTTTTTGAGTGGGTTGCGGAAGCCGCCAAAGGGCGCGCATCATGAGCATCAGCGGGGTCCGGCGGACGGGGGGTGCGGGCTACATGCAGGGCCGACGGGGGCTGAGAGCCTACGATCACCCACAAGTTGCGCACTTCGGGCCTACGTTGCACTTCTATATACCGCGGGTTTCTGACAACAGCTCGCGCTGCCCGCACCTGGGCGCAGCCCCTAAATAGGGTTTGTGGGCTTAGGGCGGCAAGGTCCTTGATTTCTGAGTTTTGGGGGTTCAAGGGGTTTGGGGCTTAGGGATGTGGATTACTAGATTCGAAACCCCTACTCAAAGGATCATGGGATTTAGTAACTGGGCCTATTAGGGTTACTATACTCATAACCCCGATTAGGGTACTTATAGCCATACCTACTAAGTCCCATGATCCTTAGACCCTACAGTAAAGGCCAGAAAGTTGGAATATGATTATCCTAAACCCTTTATGGTAAGTTATAGGGTATCCTACCCTGAAACCATATTCCAACTTTCTGGAGTTCCCTATAAACCCTTATGGTACCCCTTATAGATCCCTTAGGGATCCCTTTAAGGAACCCTTACTAAGTCCCGTGATCCTCCACGTAGAGCCGCCGATCCCAAAGCTTGTTCTGGGTTTACGGTTTAGGGTTTAGGTTTAGGGTTTAGGGTTTAGGGTTTAGGGTTTAGGGTTTAGGGTTTAGGAAAGCTGCGGACATTTTGTAGTTGGGACCCAAGAGTAACCTAGGAATAAAAAGAGTGCCCTTTTTGGGGTAAAGGGTGTTATTAAGGGAACCTAACCCATAAAAAAGGGAATAAGGGCCTACTCTGGGTCCTAGTTGTAGTTGGGACCCAAAAACCCATACTCTGAATGGGTTTTTGGGACCGAAAACCCTACCATTTGGGTACTTGGACTCTCTGGGATATTGCTTAGTTCAGGGGTATTGGAAGGCTGCTCTCAAGATCCTGCGACAGGAACCCGGAGACTCCAATATTTTTTAATTACGGAATAGGCCGTAAACTAATCTAGGATCCATATTATGATTTAAGGTACATTCCAAAAAACAAGTCTCTGGGAAGGAAACTTTTCGGAAGCCACTTCCTCGGAAGGAGCAGCCATTTACTTCGATTGGGAACCCGAGATTTCAAGCGCTTACGATCTAAGGCTTCTGGCAGAGGCTAGTGCATTGTGTATTCTGTACTGCCCCCCACCCTGTAAAAGTCTATGTACGTACCCAACCCCAAAATACTCTTTGTTCGAAACTCCTATGGCCCCTATGTTCACCTTCCTCTCTAGCTCCAGCCCACACACTTAAACTAACTTGGACCAACATCCAAGAGGTATAGGTGCCCCGGCTTCTGACCTCCACCCCCACATTTATGACCTCAAGCCCTTGAGAAGGTGAGCCCGGAAAAATGCACTGCAAGTGCAAAAATTGAGCCCAGATTCTTAAAAGGAACTCCAAAACGAACTCTAAACGGAACCTTTAGAAGGAACTCTAAAGGAACAGTTGAACGGAACTCTATAAGGAACCTTTAAAAGGAACTCTTGAAGGAACCTTTACAAGGAACTCGAAAAGGAATCTTTAAAAAATCGAAAAGGAACCCTGAACTAAAGAACTCGAAAAGGGCTCCTGTGGAATTGAAAGCTGATGACCTCCCCGATCATCTTCAAGCCTAAGGCTGCAGAAAGAGGCTTCGAGAATTAGGGGTTCAGGCTTTGGGGTTGAGGGTTCAAGGTTTGGGGGTGAGGGTTGAGGGTTTTAGGGTTCCGGGTTTAGGGTTTAGAGTTTAACTCACGGTTCTTTCACAGGATTTCTTAAACTCGGTCTATAAGCGATGCTTAAGGGCGGAGTAGAGAGGGTCAGCCTGGCAGAAAGGAATCGAAAGATGGAAACACATGCGGCTGCTCCATGCTGGGGAACCGGTATGAACGATCGCGATCTGGATGAGGAACAAGGAGGTTTCGGGTGTAGGGCTTGCGGTTAGACACACATGGATGGGGTCGGGCGCAGTGGCTGCACAGGAGTTGCGTTGGGGATTTAGGGACTGGGGTTTAGCTTGCGTGCGCTCTTGGTACACCCAAAACCCTGTAAAACGGTTAGAGGAACCCGTACTTGGAGGATCATGGGACTTAGTAAGTAAGGTTATAAGTACCCTAATTGGGGTTATAAGTTTAGTTACCCTAATAATAACCCTAGTTACTAAGTCTCATGATCCTTTAAGTACCCTAAACCCCCCCATAGATCCCTTATAGATCCCTTTAAGGAGCCCTTTAAGGAGCCCTTTAAGGAACCCTTAAAAGTTACTAAGTCCCATGATCCTTTAAGTAAAGGAACCCCATAAATTGCACCCGCATAGGTGCAATGGAGCCTTTCGAGGTGGGCTATAACGGCTATAAGGGTTTAGGGTTTAGGGTTTAGGGTTTAGGGAAGTAACAGGGCGAAACTATAGTCAAAACCCATATAAGGGGACTCATAACTAGCCATGATCCTCTAAGTATACCCATGAACCTCCAAGTAAACCCCGAACTTTGACTAGGCTGTTCAGTAACCCACTGGGAGAAAGTATATACTCTTTTAGGCTTCTTATTTTATAATAGGATCCCAGAAACCTGAAAGTAAAAAAGTGCACCACTGAACAGCCTGGTTGAAGTAAAGCCACACTCAAACCCTAAACCCGAAGCAGTTCCAAAGACTTCGCTGAATCCTACACGCGGATTGACCAACTTCATGAGATGGGAATAGGGTTTAGGGTTTAGGGTTTAGGGTTTAGGGTTTAGGGTTTAGGGTTTAGGGTTTCTCAGGTGCTACTGACTTTTGAATCCTTCCCCCCCTGAAGCTCGAAAACAAACCAAGAAAACAAGTCTTTCTGATCCTCCAAACTCCAAACTGACCGTTTCCACAGTACGTCCCAACAAAGGATAAGACACGCAAACGTATCTCTGTCAAACGTGCTGATCCCCTATATCATAGCAGTCTAGGTTTATAACCTATAAACTAAACAACCTAGAAACTAAACAAGAAAAACCCGTAAACCCTATAGAAAATGTGATAGGGCACCGCTACACACGAAAGGAACCCGCAACCCTAAACCCCTAAACCCTCCTAAACCAAAAAACCCTAAACGCTGAACGCTAACCCCTAAACCCTGCCGAGCAACTTGTCTTCGCTCTCGCGAGAAGCATCGACCTTCTCCAGCTGCGACACAGAGGGTTCAGACAGGGGCATGGTTTAGGGTGTTAGGGCTTACGGCTGAGGGCTTCAAGGTTTAGGGTTTCAGGGATTTAGGTTTCAGGATTTCAGGCCTTCAGGAATTACGGTTCAGGGCTTGAGGGCTTTCGGGTTTCAGGGTCGATTTCGGTTTAAGGTTTAGGATTTAGGATTTTCGGGTTTTGGGGTTACGAGCTTTAGGGATTTATGGTTTACGGGCTTGTTCAGGTTTAGGCTTTAGGAGCAGCCTTAATATTCCGAACAAGATCTCTTTACAGGTTACTTCTAAGGGGTCGAAAATGGATCTATAACAGGGTTCTGAAATGTTGGGAGCTTCAGAATTAGGATAGGATTTTGGTGAATATTATTGTCTAGTTGTAAATCACGAGCTCCCCGAAGAAGTGTACTGCTCATTTTTCCGACGCTTACTGGGCTTAAGGGGTTGAGGGGCTAAGTCTCTTGGGGCCCACCTGAAGGTGTACAGTGTATTTACTGGATCAACTACTAGAACGGCCTTAGAACCATACTATGCATTGCTTAGCCATAAAATCAACAGTTCCACACCGGAAGGTTTGATTCCTAGGTCGGACACCCCGAACATTGCTCTCCAAATTCAATGCGGACTTCCGCCAATGCAGCGCCGTTTGCACGATTTTCGTTGACACTGGCAGATTGACAATTGCAGATGCTCCTAGTGAACCAGTTGATGATATAAATCCTGCATGACCCATAAAAGGGAATATACCATAGTTTCCATAGTTTAGGGTCCTTAAGGTAATGCAGGATTTATATCATCAACCGACTGCCAGGTCTTACTAGTCAAAGGCACTCCAAGAGCACCACTTCGCGGTTGTATTCATTGAGAGCTGAGAAGACACGAAGTTGTCTGCAGAGTCAAGGGTCTAAGTTAGAAGCTGCCCCCGCCCGGTAATAGTGGCTATAAGGATTATATTAGTGCCCTATTACATTCCTATTATACCACTATTACAGGGTGGGGGCCCCTTCTAAGGTCTAAGGTTTAGGGTAGATCCAAGACAGAGTCTTGGCTGCATTTGCAGAAACGGATCGTGAAAGGGACCAAGGCCACAAAACTTACCTTTGGTTAGTAGGGAATGGAAGACTGGTAGTAGTTGTAGTTATAATTCTACCTCATTCCTCTATTCCCTACTATCAAAGGGTAAAAGGAGGGACTCCTAATAAGGACCCCTAGGTATATACCCATAATATAGCCATTATATACCCATTATATAGCCCATTACAGGGTAGGGGTCCCCATTAAGGGTCCCTCCTTTTCCCCTTTGAATGAACCTTAGATCTGTCTCCTATCCTAAAGGGTCCTATGTACTGTTCCGGGGCATACTTCCCTAAGTCATGATAGTAACTCCTAATATGGAAACCCTACATTCTGCTATATCGGTGCATAGGACCCTTGGTTTAGGGTTCAGGGTTCAGGGACCATAATTTTGATATGGAAACCCTACTTTTCCCCCCTTTGATACTATGTAGGAACAAAAAATTTCTTGCTCATTATATAGTCCGTTATAGGGTAGGGATCCCCATTAAGGGTTTTCCCCTTTGCTTAGATACTAAGCCAAGGGAGAAAAGGGACACGAATCTCGAGAAGCCCTCAAGAGTCCAGCGAGGCCTCAGGCTCTCATGTCCTGCAAAGCCTAGTCCCTCAACCCTAAAACCCTACAACCCTAAACCCTAAAACCCTAAACCCTAAACCCTAAAACCCTAAACCCTAAAATCCTAAACCCTAAAATCCTAGACCCTAAACCCTAAACTTCAGCTCAAAATGCCTCCTCACCGGTATCTGCCAGACCCCTTGGGTCAAGCTCCGGCTCGCCGTCGTCTTCGAGTTGCATGGACATCGACTTTTCCTGCAGGAGACTCTCTCGTTCAACGCTTGAGTGGTGCTTTAAGGCTTTGTAAGGCCCAAAAAGGGGTTTAGGGTTTAGGGCGTTAGGGTTTAGGGTTTTAGGGTTTAGGGTAGTATAAACTAGGATGCCCATAGGAATAAAAAGGGCTCCCGTTTTGGTATTGGGTGACTTTACAAGGAACCTAGGACTACAACACTACTGGGCAGCCTAGTTTAGGGTTTAGGGTGTAGGGTGCAGAGTGAAATACTGGGTGTTGGGTTTAAGGCTTTGGGGGTTTAGAGCCTTTAGAGCTTTAGGGCTTTAGGGGTTTAGGGCTTCAGGGCTTTCGGGGCTTAGGGAGTTGGGGGTTGTAAGGTTACCTGCACTTAGAAGCTTCTTTCAGGTTTGGGCTTAGTCTTTAGGGTTTAAGGTTTGGAGCTTAGGGCTATAATTTTTTAAAGGGCTCTTATGGAATTTAGAACCGTCGGTGAATAGAACAGAGCGACCAGGCTCCTTCGAGGGTTTTTCGGGGTTGATGTATACAGGCTGCGCCATACGGGCCTGGAGAACCAGAATAGGTTTTGGGCGTATCACAAGATGTAACTTGGGGATTATGAGGTTATTTCCAAAAGTTCAGGCGACTACATGGGATTGAACCCTCAACCCTACACCCTGGACCCCAAAGTACGGCAGGACCCCGGGGGCAGGCTCCTTGCTGATCAGCCGCGCCATGTAGTGGCGCCCCGGCATAAGACGAGTGAATGACCTGGTCCAGCGTGAAGCCCTACGGAACCTCCTGTTTACACACCACACTAGCGTAGTGGAAAGAACAACGACTACACTGCCATGATGCGCATTGCAGTACAGCAAAACCGTGAAACACAAGGAAACCAACGTCTAAGCCACCGAACACCAGCCACCCTGAACCCTAAACCTGAAATCCCTAAACCCCTGAACCCCTACACACCCCTACACCGCTTAACCCTAAACCCCCAAACCCCCCAACGTCCGCCCCTCCCCACGGACCCGCTCCGTCGGATATGCCACTTGGTGGATTGCAACAAAGCTCGGCTCTCCTCCGTTCGCCGGGGGGTTTTTAGGGCTTAGGATTTGGTGTTTAGGGTTTAGGGCTTAGGGTTCCTTTAAGGGTTCCCTTAAGGGCTCCTTTAAGGGTTTCGGGTTGTCGGGTTGTAGGGTTTAGGGGTTAGGGTTTAGGACGGAGGGGCTGGGCCCTCCTTCATAGGGTCTCTTTGTTGCTTGGGCTCTAGTACTTCAGCATTTCGGTTGGGGGAGTTGGGTTTGGGGTAGCTTCTTGAGGGCTCTCTGGTGTGGGAGGTCTAGGGTTTAGGGTTTAGAAATTAAGGGAACAAGTAACTCCCCAAAACCTTTTTCTAATGACTAAGGCCCCTATACTACATCCTTGAGGGTTTGGATGTTGGGTTTGGGGGTTCTTTTGCTTCAAGTGCTCCAGGGTTTGGCTTTGGGTTTGGTTTGAGTGGCTGGTTCTTAGCAGGGAATGGGGAACGGGTTATGGGGACTATTATTGGGGATTATATAGGGACTACTACGGCTGATGATATAAATCCTGCATGACCTTAAGGACCCTAAACTATGAGAATTATGGTATATTCCTTATTATGGGTCCTGCAGGATTTATATCATCAACCGTATAGGAATCCATTCCCCCTTTCCGTACCAAGTGCCAGACAGTGAAGGGTTGGGGCTTGGGATTCTCGGTTTCAAACGCTCATGCCTTTGGGGCTTGGGGCTACAAGGGCTTAAGGGCTCGGGATTGAGGGTTTGGGGTTTCGGGAACAGGGGTTTCGAAGGGTTCTGGCCTACCAGGGTTTTCTGGGTTTGGAGGCTATGGGAGAGTTTTGGGGATTTAGAGGGGCTTAGGGTTGATGGGCTCAGCGGCTTGGAGGTTGAGCTTGGGACTTGGGGTGTCGTTGAATGTTCTTGTGGAGGCTTACATCGATGCTAGACGAGATTTAATGATTTTGTTTAGCTAGTGTTTATAAAGGCTATAAAAGCCTGACTGATCAAAACTGAGCTTTGGTGGGACATCATACTGTGATGAAGATAGACAAGAATTAGTAGGCATAGTCTTGTGAAGTGTTCTGACACTTCTATTGGGGTGGTGGAGGTTATGCTTCAAGTTTCAGGGTCCAGGGTTCCGTGTTTCCGGGTTCGGCGGCATGCTTCTGCTCCACTGCACAATTATGCAGCTTGACGAAGTACAACACCTTGAAGCTATGGCGCATAGGGGAGCTCTCGTTGAGAACCCGCTTGAACCTTGTAGCCAACCTCTTCTTGTAGATGGGGTTGCAAGGACATCCCTTTGGTGTGGCCCTTCGCATGAAAGCCGTCGATACTCCAGTGTTTGATTTGTTTTAGGCTCTTGTCGGCCTGGGCTGTGGGCAAGAAACCGCAGGCACGGTCCATGATTAGGCCATCCAAGTGCTTGTACAAAGGCAAGATTTCGAGAAGCGAATCATAGAGGATCTTATTGTTCTCCGGAACAGACGTGGATCTGAGTTCGGGTGCAGGACTCCACTTTCCTAGGGCTTCGCTGGGCTTTAGGGTTGAAGCTTGCCTTTCGGAGGGCTCCTTGTTCTGGCTTCCGCACTCCCTTAAAGGGATAGGCTTTCTAGGGTTAAGGTGTGCTTTTGGGTTGAGCGGCTTCCCATGTTTTAGTCTCTGTTCTTACAGGCCCGTGGAGACTTGAATCGACGGCTCTAGGTTGGGGCTCAGAGAGTTCAGGGTTTAGGGTTTGGGGCTTCTGGCTTAGGATTTGGGGGTTGGGGGCCGGTTTAGGGGTTACGGTTTAGGGGCTACGGTTTAGGTATTCAGAGGGGTCACCTAACCACATCTTTAAGTTACGGAGTCTATAAAGGGCCGAATCTGATCAGTATGATAATCTTAGAAAGCCTTGGCTTTAGAGCTTAGGCTTGCGGCTTACCTGCTTTCGGAAAGCTAGTTAGAACGCCCCAAACCAAACGCAAGCCAATAGAAACCCTCATAAAACCGCCTTGGACGGATTTGGAGGGGTGGAGGGGGGGCAGGTGGGGGAGGGCCGGGGGGGTAGAGGGTGGGTGGAGGGAAGGGGGTGTGGGGGGTTGGTGGGGGTGGCCTTTTCCAACCCCCCAACTAGGTTAAGAATAAGGGTTTTACCTCCCCCCCTTGAGCCCTAACAGAATCGACAACCCCTACAAAACCCGACACCCCGAGCCCCAAACCCCCGGTCCTGAAGTAGAGCGAAATTTCTGGCCACAGCCACGTCGTCGAACTTCGAGAAATCTGCTGCCTCTGCAGTTTGTGGCTTGGGAAAGTCATGACCTAGGGAAAATCAAGTTTAACACAAATACGTCTGTACCTACATACGTACATACATACATACATACATGGATAGATGCATACATACATACATACATACGTACGTACATACATACATACATACATACGTACATACATATACGGTATACGGTTATAGTTATGTTGTATTATGCTATACCATGTTATGCTATGTTGTATTACACTCTAATGCAGTAATATATCACATGGGTGCTGTTTTATACCATATGATGCAAGTTTGGACTATGTTGTATTTTAGCATACGATGTGGTATCATATTTCCTTGTATGGTGTTGTATTGTAGCATATTGCATTATTTCATAGTATACTGTATCATCTTATGGTCTATGGGTTATATTTCATTCTAGCATGTTGTAGCTTCTTCATTGTGCTTACTCATACATTTTATGTACCATGACATTGTATTGCGTCTATTTTAGTGATTTGTGTATCACCTTATATTGGGGGTATTCTCTACTATCATTTACTATGACTTTTTTGTCAAGAGGTTTGGGCGGTTATTACAGCTCCGCGACAGCTCCCGTTACAGCTCCCGTTACAGCTCCGTTGCAGCTCCGCTGCAGCTCCGTTACAGCTCCGGTTACAGCTTCGTTACAGCTCGCGTTACAGCTCGCGTTACAGCTCCGTTACGGCCCCGTTACAGCTCCCGTTACAGCTCCCGGTACAGCTCCGTTACAGCTCCCGTTACAACTCCGTTACAGCTCCCGTTACAGCGACCTCATAATTGTTTTATCAATAACATACCAAGTCGTGTTCTAGACAACTATATCGTGTTATACTATCTTACATTAACCTATACCGCATTCTGTTATGAGAATATATGTTACATTATGCGTTGCGCACATACATACATACATACATACATAAATACATACATACATACATACATACATACATACATACATACATGACGCGTGTATGTGTTTATATATATATAATTCTTAAAAACTATAAACTCTAAACTCTTATGAACCCCAAACTCTTAAAAACCCTAAACCCTGAGCTCCTAAAGCTCTAAACTGAGTCCCCTGCGCTTCTTCCGGGCGCGTTTTGAAGGCTAGATGTATTGATGTACGGTTGACGATATAAATCCTGCACTACCCACAATAAGGAATATACCATAATTCCCATAGTTGAGGGTCCTTAAGGTAATGCAGAACTTCGTATCATCAACCGTACTTCAAAGGTTGGCCTCAAACCCCTAAACCCTAACCCCAACCCTAAACCATTAAACCCCCAAACCCTAACCCCTCAACCCTAAACCTCTAAAAACCCTGAACCCTACAACCCTAAACTCTTAAAGCCCTCAATTCTAAACTCTTAAATTCCTAAACCCTCAAACCCTAAACTCTTAGAGTTCTATACTCTTAAAACCCTAAACCCTTAAACCCTAAACTCTTAAAGTTCTAAACTCTTAAAGTCCTAAACTCTGAAAACCCTCCCTGCGCCTTGAACGCGAGGCCCAGCTGCTCCGCGGCGAGCTCCAGGCCATCGGAGTCCCGGGGCCTCGAAAAAGTGTCCCTTTAAAGGGATCTTCAGGAGGTTCTTTAAGGGTTTGGGGATTAGGGTTTAGGGTTTGGGGTTTAGGGGTCAGGGTTCGGAAAGGGTTCTATAAGGGGTTCTATAGCGGGTTCTTTAACTTAGTTGCCGAGTTCATAAGCCCCAAGAAGTGTACACTTTCAGTTTTATAGTGGGTAATATTATCCCAAAAAGTGTAACGGGTATCTACTCAGCTGCTAAGTTAAGGGTTACGGGTTTAGGGTTTAGGGTTTAGGGATGGGTTCTGAAGGAGAGTCTAGAAGGGTTCTACAAACAAGGGATGTGTGAGGGTTCTCTGAGAGATCTATAGGGGTTCTTTGGGGTTCTATAAGGGTTCCATAAGTGTTTCCAAAGGTGTGGACTTTCAAAAAAACTTAGGATAGGGTTGTTGGCTATGATATAATACCCTAAACCCTAAACCCTAAACCCTAATATAGTGAACCTCAGAAAGTTGGAACATGGACTGAGGAGGATCCGTGCTAGGAGTCCCTATGCTTTGCTTTAAGAGCATGAGGCTAATGATGTTCCAACTTTCTGGCTTCTACTGTAAACCCTAAACCCTAAATCCTAAATCCTAAACCCCTAAACGCTAAATCCTAAATCCTAAACCCTAAACCCTAAATCCTAAACCCTAAACCCTAAACCCTAAATCCTAAATCCTAGGTATAAGAAGGAACCGTAAGGAAACGTGTTGGCAACTAGTCACGCATTCCCCCCGCAATGCTCGGTGAAGAGATAGAGAAAGAGAAAGAGATAGAGATAGAGATAGAGATAGAGATAGAGATAGAGATAGAGATAGAGATAGAGATAGAGATAGAGATAGAGATAGAGATAGGGATAGGGATAGGGATAGGGATAGGGATAGAGATAGGGATAGGGATAGGGATAGGGATAGGGATAGAGATAGGGATAGAGATAGAGATAGAGATAGGGATAGAGATAGAGATAGAGACAGAGATAGAGATAAAAGAGGGTTATTTAGAACTATTTGTCTATGCGTAAGCCAGTCTGCGTGTTCTTGAAGGGATCAAAATGGATCGGCAAGGGTTCTGTGACTATATAACATAGGTGTGTTGCTCCTTTCATGTTGGTGCTCTTTAGCAGGACTTGTGGAAGGAGTTTATGGGGTTTTACAGGATTCTGTAAGAGTTGTGTAATTCGGTATCTGTGCAGGTTTCCATAAGGGTTCTGCAGCCTCTTTGGTGCTCTTTGCATGGGCCTTACGAGGAATATGTCGTGCACTTACTTTGGGCATTTGGGTACACGGATTGAATATTTAGGGTTTTGGGTTCCCTAAACCTTCAACCCGACGTCCCAAATCCTGAAGCCTAAGGCCTAGTGATTATATGGAAGTTTCCGAAAATAGGGGACCCTTATATAGTACCCTACATAGTAGGATCCTTTTTATGAGGACACCAAAACAAGGTACCCCTCATTTTCCGAAACTCCCACATGCGGCTTTGGGCTCAGGGCTCTAGCCCATCGCCGCATAGTCAGAGGTCAAGAAAATCAGCAATTACATCCCCGTACAGGCCGCATTAGAGTATCCCATACACCCCTGTTCAAAAATTAAGAAGGCCCCCTTAAACCCCAAACCCTAAACCCCTAAAACCTGAACCCTAAACCCCTAAACCCTGAACCCTGAACCCTGAACTCTAAACCCTAAACCCTAAACCGACCGGCACGCCTCATGCTCTGCGGAATCCACCTGGCCACACCTGCTGGACATGTTGTCTGGGGCTTTGAAAGAGGGAATGGGTTATGGGGACTACTATTGGGGATTATATGGGAGTTTCAGAAAATCAGGGACCCTAGTATAGGAACCTAAATAGTAGGATCCTTATTATAAGGACCCCAAATCAGGTACCCCTAATTTTCGGAAACTCCCATATAGCGACTACAAGGGATCCATTCCCCCATTGCCTACTAAGCACGAGACAGTTCTTTGGGGCTTCGAAGCAACCAAGCGAGAAAAAGTAGTCAACTAACATTATACAGAATGATCGCTCCTTTAAGAAACAGGTCCGAAAAAGAAGTAGCAAAGTATGGTAGTTCAGAACGAAGCTTTTTGGGGAGGGTGCTCGGGTTTAGAATTCGTTTCTAAGCTTTACATTCTTTTGGGAGCTGCTTGGGTCCTCAACCTACAGTAGAAGCTGGGTACGGCCCACACTCAGTAATAGTTGAATAATATTCACAATACAGATATATCAGGACCTTAATAGTAGCCTTATAGACTCTTACTGTAAGGGGGGCAGTACCTAAAGTAGAAGCTAGACAGCTGGAACATCATTATCCTGATGCCCTTAACGTAGAGGGATCTTTAAAGGAACCCTTCAAAAAATCCTTCAAGAAGCCTTAAAGGAACCCTTACAATAAAAATCCTTCAAGGAACCCGTTAAAATAGAGAGAATCTCAGCACTAATCATCTTTATCCCATGTTCCAACTTTCTGGGGTTCACTGTAAACCGTTTGATCGCGGGCGTGCAGGGGCGTGAGGATTCAGGGCTGGGGCTTGGGGTTTTGGGGGTTTTAGGGCTTGGGGTTTGAGGTTTAGGGATCTGTAAGGGCTTAGGGATTTGCGTGTAGGGTTTGGGATTAGGGTTTAGGTTAGAGGGGCCCCCACCCCGTAATAGTGATTAAAAGGATTATATAAGGGCCCTATTATATTCCTATCATACCACTATTACAGGGTGGGGGGGGGCCCCTTCTACGGTTCTATTTTTGAACTCCTTTTTTCCTAAAGTCCCAAGCAGCGACTCCCCCCTTCTAAGGTTTAGGGTTTAGGGTTTAGGGCTCAGGGCTCAGGCCCCCCAGCTCGATCTCCTGATCACGGACATGATGTCCGGCATCCCCAGAGCCTCCAAAACCCCTTAATTAAGGAATATACCTTAACTTATTATAGGCTCCCTAATATGATTTTAAGGTATATTCCTTAATTAAGGGGTTTTGGAGGCTCTGGGTCCCGGAGAGTTGGGTTTTGAGCCCGAAATCCTACCCCCTGAACCCTAAATCCGTAATCCCTACACCCGCTCTCAGGCCTAAACCCCTTAATAAAAAATCCCCCTGAGTTTAGGGCTCTGCAAACATCCCCGAACCGATTTGAGAGATATGCATTCTTGCAGTCTCTACCTTTCCGTCTCACCTATCCCGGCCGAACCCTGCCCTCGTCCTCCCTCGCGGTCATGCCATGCTGCCTCGCCATCCAGGTAGACGCGCATGCGACGGTGTAGCTTGTTTTGTTTTTTTGGACAAATGTTTCTTGAGAATGCAGGTGTCTCATGCACCTCTCTCATGGTTTCTTCAGCGGCTTTCAAGCCAAGATGCGAAGTGCAGGCTAGTCAGACGACTGACCTGTTGAGATCTTCTTGATTTCATGGAAGACCAGATCAATCGTTGCCATGTGCCTGTTAAATATTTTGAGGCTCTGCTCGGAGTCTCTCCCGATTGCCAGTTCTTCCAGCAATTCTTCAGCCTTTCTGCACTTGATTTCATTGCCGAGAGGGAAACGCACAATTGAATTGAAATTTGGGGTTGTCAGGCCCACTGAAAATCTGTGTGGTTTGGTCTGTTGCTGGAACGAAACCATCACAGAACTTCCAACAAATTCCTTTACGCGAGTGATGTCCGCGTCTGAATGAGCACGCAGGACGAGGTGTAAGAGAGTCAAGAGCTTCGCCGCCATGGATTCAGTCTCGCTCTTTAGAAGGAGTGTGCTCACAGCGTGCAGCTGAGAGTCCTCGCCGATGCTAATTAGCATCTCGGCCGAGAATCCTCGAAAGCCTAAACCTTAGGGACCTTCGTGAAAACCCCTAAACCCTAAACCCCTAAACCCCTAAACCCCTAAACCCTAAACCCTTAAAAAAACAATGGGACTTTCTTGCTATTTATTGAGACTTCTCGACTCTAAGTTACTTAAACCCTAAAACCCTGAGCCACAGACCCTACCTGAAGAATCATGAGACTATATAAGTACCCTAATTGGGGTTATAAGTAGTTATACGTATACTTGCCCTAATAATAACCCTAAACCCTAAACCCTAAAAACCAAACCCTAAACCCTAAACGGATAACCCTTGCTGTATACTAAGTCCCATGATCCTTTAACTCACTGGCCCAAAGCCCAAGGAAGTAAAAGTTGAAACTTTCAGAATCGACTACCTTGTAAGAACCCCAAAAGTTGAAAAGTTGAGCTTACAGCCAATAAGTTAAGTAAGCCCCGACATAGTCTTGCCGGCACCTGGTGCGACACCGAAGAGTTGGAGGAACCTTGGAGCGCCCATCGTGGGAGCCCGAAACCCCTACTATAGGGGCCTTAATAATCAGAATAGGGTTCCTTAAAGGGGTCTTTAAAGGGATCTATAAGGGACTAAAGGGATCTATGGGAGGTTTAGGGCTTAAAGGATCATGGGACATAGTAACTGGGGTTATCATTAGGGTAACTATACTTATAACCCCAAATTAGGGTACTTATAACCTTACTGACTAAGTCCCATGATCCTCCAAGTACAGAACATGTAAAAGAAGCCGCAGAAGCCGTTGACCAAACCCTAAACCCCTGGCTTTGGGGCAGCGTTTTGGGTTTAGAGCTTGGGGTTTTGGGCGCAGGGGTTTAGAGCTTTGGCGTGTAGGTTTGGGGGACAGGCTCCTGGTTGCAATATAGGGCCTCCGTAATGGGAAGAGTAGGGTTTCGAAAACCTAAACCCTAAACCCGTAAAACCCTATGTTATACAATTGTCATTCAAGCTGTATCCGTGTTCCAGTTGAGGGTGCAGTGCCTATACAGGAACCCGAGTTCCAAAAACTCCAAGCCCTGAAGTACCGTGGACCTAAAATACCCCTCAAGCGGTGCGAACGGCTTTTATGCAGGTTCTATACGAGTCTTATACGGCTTCCATGAGAGTTTTGTAAGAGTTGACTGCTGTCTCACCTCCTATCGGGCTTTGAATTGGTTTAGTCTGGGCTCTTGTTAAGGGATCTAGCGTCAGTCACAAGGAAACCATGTTAATTACTATAGAACCCCACTATAGTGTCCTTAATGAAGTTCCTTAACAAGAACCCAGTAGCGAAGATGGGAGGCTTAATCGAATAAGCTGTCTTACCTTACAGCAGAATAACATGCCTCAATCAACTTCAGGTATACTCCTTCTATCATACAGGGTACTGGGCTCTGAAGGAACCCCACACCAGATAATGGCGCACGGCCAGAGAGCCAGGGTGTAGGGTTTATAGTAGAAGCCAGAAAGTTGGAACATCATTCTCCTCATGCCCTTAAGGTAAGCTATAAGGGATCCTAGCACGAATCCTTCTAAAGCCATGCTCCAACTTTCTGTCTTCTACTATAGGGTTTTGGAATATTTAGAATCCTATGAGGCAATCCCAAAAAGGAACTACTATGGGTCATATTTAGAGTCCTATAAGGTAATCCCAAAAAGGAACTACTATAGGGTTATATTTAGAGTCCTATAAGGTAATCCCAAAAAGGAACTACTATGGGTCATATTTAGAGTCCTATAAGGTAATCCCAAAAAGGAACTACTATAGGGTCATATTTAGAGTCCTATAAGGTAATCCCAAAAAGGAACTACTATGGGTCATATTTAGAGTCCTATAAGGTAATCCCAAAAAGGAACTACTATAGGGTCATATTTAGAGTCCTATAAGGTAATCCCAAAAAGGAACTACTATAGGGTCATATTTAGAGTCCTATAAGGTAATCCCAAAAAGGAACTACTATAGGGTCATATTTAGAGTCCTATAAGGTAATCCCAAAAAGGAACTACTATGGGTCATATTTAGAGTCCTATAAGGTAATCCCAAAAAGGAACTACTATAGGGTCATATTTAGAGTCCTATAAGGTAATCCCAAAAAGGAACTACTATAGGGTCATATTTAGAGTCCTATAAGGTAATCCCAAAAAGGAACTACTATAGGGTTTTGGAGGTTTAGGGTTTAGGGGTCCAGGTTTTAGCATGCTGGGCCTGGTGGTTCCCAGAGCCTCCAAAACCCCTTAATTAAGGAATATACCTAGGGTTCCTTAAAGGGATCTATAAGGGATCTATAGGGTTTAGGGTTTAGGGGACTCCAAAACCCTTTAATTAAGCAATATACCTTAAAATCATATTAAGGATCCTATTATAATTTAAGGAACATTCCTTAATTAAGGGGTTTTGGAGGCTCTGGGTTTGGTTTCAAGATCAACATCGAATCGCTCGCATCCCTGAACCCAACTCTGAAAACTGCGGGGGTCTTGATGCAGTGAATCACAGTGCAGTATATTCTTCAACTTGAGACTGCAATGACACGATAAGGGCCATACTAGTATAGCGATGATTGAAGGTTTATTGTGTAATATAGGGCCCTTAAGTATGTTCAATGCTATTTTGGTGAGTTCCTTATTATATCCATATTTAAGGGGCCCCCAAAATCCTATTCTACTTGGGTGTTGGGGTGGCTCTCCCACCGCGGGAGGGAGTTCCAATTGGATACCAGGGTCGGGGATGTCGGGCCCAAAATGCTGTTAATATCGGAGCCTTAATAAGTAGAATAGGGTTCTGGGCCCATTATACTATACTAGAATCATAATAAGGAACCACCAGAATAGTATTGGCAATTATTTGGGCCCCTATATTGATAAGGGGACCCGGAATAAAAAGGGCAACAGGGTACCACTCAGGAACCTAGTCAGGAACACAAGAAAGGTCGGAGTGAGAGGGTTCCGGTAGGGTCTGAGCAAAGGGACTTATATAGAAGAAGTTAGACTGGGGCTGTTTCGTCTGCTGGCATACTGCAAGTATACCAGAGACTTACAAGGCAAGGATATAATGCGCAAGTGTATGATCTACCCTAAACCCTAAAGCCTACGGGCTGCGACGCTGAGGCGGCCGACAGAATGCCGAAGCCGCCAGCGAAAGAGATCAGCTGAAAACCCAGCCTCGATCCAGATTTGGCTTTACAGGGTTTTGACGGGTTTACGGTTGAGGGTTTACGGCTTCAGATTCAGGTGGCTTAGCAAGTTTATAGGGCCTATAGGGTTTCGCGGGGTTCTATAGTGCGCGTACAAGATTCCATCAGATGTTTGTTGTATTTCTCGGTCAACTTTTTTTTTCTGGTAACATCCCGAAGAGTACCTCCAAAGCGGACAACCCTGTCGGCAAGGCTCCATCAGGTTCTGTCGGGATGCGCGCAAACCCTACCTCCCTACAAACCCAAAGGGTCCAAGTACCATCACAGTAGGTGCTTACTAGGTATTTGGGCCCCAAAAGTATATGCTATACTGTTACTTGGACCCTTTGGGAAAGCTTTAGGGTTTAAGGGTTCCTCAAGGGCTCCTGGGATCTAATATAGCTTCATACACTAGGAATTGGGGCTAATATCTACTATACTGCTACTTGGACCCTTTTTGAAAAAAGTTAGGTGCCCGTACTTGGAGGTTCAGGCCTAGTTATAAGTGGGGTTATAAGTCCCCTAATATGGGTTATAAGTATAGTTACCCTAGTTATAACCTTACTTATAAGTGCCCATGAACCTCCAAGTAGCTTAAGGCAAACCTCAGAGCCAATCTCTGCATACGTTTCATCTCTCCCCGGTCCCTAAGCCCTAAAGCCCTAAAACCCTAAAACCCTGAAGCCCTAAAACCCTAAAACCCTAAAACCCTAAAACCCTAAAGCCCTAAACCCTAAAACCCTAAAACCCTAAAACCCTAAACCCTAAACCCTAAACCCAGGACCATTTTCGCACCGAGCCCTGCAGCATACATGAGGGTCGGCTGCCCTGCGTGGCTTCAGTCCAATTCTTCAGAGCGAGTTTGCTTTCCCGAAACCCTAAACCCTAAACCCTGACGAAACCATCCTCTACTATCCAACCCCATGACATGCCACGTGACAGCCTCCGGACTTTCTGCAGGGCCGTGGCGCATCTTCCTCTTCCGAGGAAGAGACTGAGACTTCAATTAGAGCTTCGGGTTTAGAGGTTTGGCCACCTCATCTCGGTCCCGCTTGCGCTCCGAGAGCTCCCGCTGAAGCTCCATCACTTTCTCGGGTTTAGTGGTTTAGGGTTTAGGGGTTTAGGGTTTAGGGTTTAGGGTTTAGGGTTTAGGGTTTAAGGTTTAGGGTTTAGGGTTTAGAGTTTAGAGTTTAGGGTTTAGGGTTTAGGGTTTAGGGTTGTCCTGAGCCTCTCTCAGCCGTTTCCAGAGCGACTGTTGGGCTTTGCTGCGCAGCTGCTTGAAGTTCTCCAGGAAGTCCTCTTCGCTCAGCTGCTGCTTCTGGGCTGCTGCAGCAAAGGTGCTGTGGTTCGCCAGGGAATCCTCTGAACCTTAGTAGGTGAGGTCTTAACCTCAGTGTCCGGATCGATCCTGGAGGACTTTGCTTGCGGTTCCTCAATCTCATCACCTGGTCGGCGAATGCCGGGAGAGAAAGGCAATTCTGGCTCTGACACCTCAGTTTCATGAGGACGTTGTTCTTGCAACTCAATGGCCTCTCTCTGCTCAACAGACAATTCACTTGGATCAAGCAATCGAGTTGACGGATCCGCAAGATTTTCTTAGGGTTACTAGTGTTAGGGTTTAGGATTTAGGGGTTCAGGCTTTGGAGTGCAGGGTTATGGGCTCAAGGGACGTAATACTCAGTAAGTAGGGCCATCTGTGAGGTTTATAAATAAGTGCTCTAAGTATGGTTATCCGAACAACATGAATAACCTTGCTAAGCCCTATGACTGAACCTTTAAACACCCCAGGGCCTAGGGAAACTAGAGGCTTACCTTTGGGATGAAACACGGGTCACAGCAATCCGGAAAAATGAAAGGTTACCTACTCTACTGCTAAGTCATGTAATGCATTACAAGTTATCGGCGGCTGCACACTATGCCTTATGTTTTGTGCTGTGGAGAAAGTGTATGGGCCTATCTTGCCTCAGCTACGTGTACAAAACCCTCCAGAAACCGCTAGGAACATGCAACCCTCTGAAGCTCTGCAAAAACCTTGCACAACAAGACAACAGCCTAAACCCTAACACCTTAACCCTAACACGTTTACAAAACCCTATGACGCTCTCTAGAAGGATCAATGGGCCCTAAACCCTAACCCTAGTCCCTAAACCCTAAACCCTAGACTTTGCAAGGCTTGGGGCAACTGGTGGCCTTTGCGATTCAGGCTTCTTCTTATGGTGAAACCCTCTTCCACGCTCGGCCAGCGGCAGGATCTGCGCTCTCAGCGAGCCATCTGCAAAGGTGAGCCAAGGTTAAAGGTCTACAGTTTAAAGTTTCGAGTTCAAGCTTAAAGTTTGGTTTGGGGGTTTGCCATATTAGAGTTTGGGATTGAAGGTTTTAAGTCCAGGTTTGGGATTCGAAACTTAGGGTCTAGGACTTACGGTTGATGATTTAAATCCTGCATTACCTTAGGGGCCCTGCAGCACCATGGGAATTATGGTATATTCCTTATTGTGGGTCATGCAGGATTTGTATCATCAACCGTAGGACTTAGGATTCAGAGTTAAGGGTTCAAGCTCGAAGTTCGGAGTCGGGTCAAGAGTGAAACCTTCATCCCTGGAACACGTAAACCTGAACTCCAAAACCGTCAGATCCCTCAAAGCACTACGACCCCTGCATCATATCATAGGGATCCTTAGGGGTGTAGGGGGGAGGGGTGTAGGGGACTATATTTCCTTAAATAGGCCTTGCTAGTCCTTATTATGGGCCTTAAGGCCCCCTACCCCCCCTCCCCCTACACCCCTAAGGATCCCTATGATCATAAGAACCCCCCAAAACTCCAATATGCCTTAAATTAAGGAATCTACCTTAATGAAAATTTGGAATCCTACTCTTCTTTAAGGCATGTTCCCTTAATTAAGGGGTACTGGAGTCTCTGGGCCCAAGCTATAACTATGACTTAACCTCTCGATTCTGATGTCTCCATCCAGATCCATCGGAAACATATCTGCTGACCATCCTGCATTCCGTGACTGTAGCTATAAAGGGAACTCCAGAAAGTTGGAATATGGTTTCAGGGTTTAGGGTTTAGGGTTTAAGGGTTTAGGGTTTAAGGGTTTAGGGTTTAAGGGTTTAGGGTTTAGGGTTTAGGGGGATCTTGTAAAGGGAACTCCAGAAAGTTGGAATATGGTTTCAGGGTAGGATACCCTATAATTTACCATAAAGGGCTTAGGATAATCATATTCCAACTTTCTGGCTTCTACTTTAAACCTCTGAACACCTGAACCCTCGAAGATCGGGCCGCCCCGGCTCCGAGGCTAAAAGCCTAGGGTTTAGGGTTCCCTAAACCCTAAAACGCTAAATCCTACACCCTAAAATGCTAGATCCTGAACCCTAAAACGCTAAATCCCAAAATGGCTGTAATCGGGAGGGGGGACTCTACGGGTGACGTTTATGATGAAATTTATAAAAACAAATGTTCAAACAAATCGCACGAGTGTTCCAGTATATTCCTTGTGCCAATCTACCACAATACAAACCCTGCACCCAGTCTTATCATTACGGCCCCTTCATCATGCACCGAACCCGAAGAATCGTTACTTAGAATAGGATCGAAGGGTATATTGCACACAGTATAGCAGACTACCAGGGGATGTTACCCAGACGGTCCATATATCCGACCATTATGGCATAAGGCCCTGAAAGGCCATCCCTATTATGGCTTTAGAGAACGAATACCATAAGGGTAGCATATATGGACGCTCTTGGTTCCTACCCCTTAACCCTAAACCCCAAAGCCCTAAACACCTCAACCCTAAAGGTGTTTAGGGTTTAGGGGTTTAGGTTTAAATGTACGGTTTAGGGCTTACTTAGATTCAATTTGTAGAAGTTCGGGTTTGGGGCTTACATTGGATTTCAAACTGAGAGTTTAGCGTTTTGGGGTTCAGAGCACAGGGCTTAGGGCTTACATAGGATTCAACATTCAGAAATTGCCCGTAGCCGAAAAGACCTACTTTTTTAGTGTCCCTCCTTATGATTTCTATACATAGTTCGTGACAACAGGTAGGTCTTTAACCCTAAACCCTAAACCGTATAGTTCCTGAAAAAGGTAGGTCTCTAACCCTAGACCCTAGAGCAAACCCTTGTCCGCTACAGGTAGGGTGACTTTAAGGTTTCGGTGCTTCGGGCTTATACGAATCCTACTATATTGGGGCTTATAGGGCAAAGGGGTCTATAAGGGTTACGATAAGGGATCTATCAGGGTAAAGTAGGAACCTGAGTAAGACACCTTGGGCCTTTATTAGGGGTTCCTTATATGAATCCTACTATATTGGCGGTTTTGGGGCCGGGGTTTCTTAATCAAGGCCCTAAACCCTAAGCCCTAAACAGGTAGGACCCTAAACCCTAAACCGCTAAGGTGACGTTAAGGCTTTAAGGTGACTATGGATCCCTTCTAATCACCCTTATGAACCCCTTCAAAGGAACCCGAAAGCCCTGTAAGGTGACTTTAAGGCTTTGGGGTTCTTCAGGCTTCGGTCCTTCTCCAAGCTCCTGCGTCTCGAGGGCGGTCTCGGCGTAGTCGTCCTTGGGTGCAAACTTGGGGGAATCTAGGGATCTATAAGGGGTCCTTTAAAGGGATCTATAGGGTTTAGGGTTTAGGGTTTGGGGTTTGAGGAACCTTATGAGTTTGGAGTACATGGACCCTAAGGAACCTACCTTTTTAGGGCTCCCTTATATGATTTCTTTATATAAGTCCCTAAAAGATGGGTTATTTGGGGCTAAGGTAGAGTTCTTAGGTCCTTCAAATAAGGACCCATAATATGACATTATGGATATTTTGGGACGTTAAGACTTAGAACAGGGTTTTGGGAAGGTTTGGCTGAAATCTTCAGAGTGAGTATAAGCGGATAGGATTTCTAATTAATTGCTCGACCCCTCTATTGCACTCGACATCTTGATGCCTGAAATATCAACCCCACCTGTCACACAAGAGAGCGTACATTTTGCAGGTTCCTTTGCTCAACAGACCCCTACAAAATCCTTAAGAGCCCATTGGCTATCAGGTAAACCCTGAAACCCGATGCCTGCGCCCTACACTGCACCCTATACCCTACCCAGATCTTGCAATATACCTAGTTCATGGTTGGGAAAGGATTAAAAAAAGTACACTTTTATTCCTTATTGGGTTTAAGACCCAAAAAAATGCGAAAGGTTACCCAACTATGACAAAGATACCTGCATCTAATTGAAAGAAGACTCCTTAATCCGAACTGGGACCAGGAAGCCTACCGTGATAGCTTTGCGGTTGCTTCATTACACTTGGACTACACCCTGTCAACCCTATGCGCCTTATAATCCTCATATAAGCCCTATACTCGTAGTAAGTAGGGTTATCTTTGCGTGCCCTCAGTAAGGTTGTCCTAAGTATAACCTTGCTGACTAAAGTTCCATGAGCCTTTTTTATGCAGGGGTTAAGACAGTGAACGCTAAAACCTAAACCTTCAGGGTTTAGGGCTGCTTCTTAACTCTTGACTCGACACGAATACAACCTCGCATCTAGGATTTAGGGTTTAGGGCTTACTTGGCGGTTCATGGGTGGTTAAGTGGCTTCAAATGTAGGATAGTTATGACCCATATTAGGGGACGTCTAACCCAACTTACAACTACCCACGAACCTCCAAGTGCCAATTGCTATCTGCTCAAAACGAAATAAACCCCCAACTTAAGCCCTTTAAACCCCTTTGCGAAGCGCGAGTTTAAGAGAAGATTAAAAGAGCGGCGTATACCATGTCCTAAGTTTCTGAAAGCCCCTTAAGGGTACTACTCAGAGTTTAGGGTTTAGGGTTTGGGTTTAGGGTACTACTCAGGAAGCTAGGTTTAAACAAACCTAACCTCTGGAAAGGCTGCTGGGCTCCAAGCAGCCTTTGGATCCTGAACACCACTCCTATGATGCCCAGTAACCTGGTGTTTGGTATTGGGTAACTTTACAAGGAACCTAGGACTACGAAAAGGGAAAAAGGGCCCACTGGGAGGCCTAGACTCTGGAACCTAGACCCTGAAGCCTAAGGCACCCTGAACCCTAACGTCGGGGCCATGATAATTAGCATAGGGTTCCCTTTAAAGGATTCCTTAAAGAGGCTCCACAAGGGATCTATAGTAGGGTTCTCTAACGCAAGGCCTTAATCATTGGCTTTGGCAGGCTCCCCATTAACATTAACGTATTAGTATAATATCCCCCAACACCTAATTACGAAAGCCCCTACATTAAACCCAGGACACCAACCCCTAAACCCTCATTATTGAACCCGGTATAGAGACCAAAGCCTAAGAGGCTAGGCCTAAAGCCTAGACTTTGACATGTGAAGGCCTCTGCGTCGTAAGCGAAGCCCATTCCGGAGGCGAAGAAGCAAATGCCAGCCACTGACCTGAGAGTGCAGGGTTCAGGGTTGGTTTAGGGTTTGTTTAAGACTTTGGGTTTTAGGGCTTCTACCGTGATTCGGGATAGGGCCTAGGGGTGTTTGGCATGTTTAGGACTTTCGAAACTCCAGATTTTCTGCTTTTCCAAACCAATAGGTTTTCGGGGCTTCGGGCTCAAGATCTGGGAATTAGGGCTTATGAAGGTTCAGGATTCAGGCTTTTGCGATGCTTTTGTGCTATGTTCTGGGGACGCTAACGGGATGCCTCCATATTTTAGAGGCTTTAAAGCTTTATGGTTCAACTCCTTTTGAAGGCTTCGAGCTCAGAGATTTCGGGCCTGGGCTTAGGTCTTAGCGTTTAGCAGTTAAGGTTTGGGCTTTAGGGCTTACAGGGTTGAGGGTTTAGCTTTAACAATTTAGAAGCCCATTACAGGTGGGTAGTTCCTCTTCCATAGTACTCCCATAAGACCCCTTTACCTTATAGGAGTGGTATGGAAGGCTTATGGGAGACTACCCACCTTAAAACTACCCACCTGTAAATGGCTTAGACAATTTGGATCCTAAGCAGCGTCGCCAATCCTAGATGTAACCCAGTCCCATGATCCTTTAAGTAGACGCGCTGTGCAAGCCTCATGGACTACTAGACCCTAAACCCTAAACCCTAAACCCTAAACCCTGAACCCTAAACCCTAAACCCTAAACCCTAAACCCTAAACCCACCTGTTCAGTCCCCAAGAGTCCCTACATACCCTAAAACCCCCAAACCCTGAAACGCAAACCCCTCAACACTCGAGCCGTAAACAAAACAAGCTTCTAAAGATGCTAAAGCCCTAAACCCTAAACCTTAAAACCCTTAACACCCAAGACGAACGCCCCAAAGGCCGAACACCCGAAAACCCTAAAACCCCTAGATTCTGAAACCCCAAACCCTCTAGATACCCTAAGGCCACCCTAAACCCTAAGACTAAACCCTAAACCCTAACCCTAAACCCTGAACCCTATAGATCCCCTTTAAGGAACCCTGTAGATCCCTTTAAGGAACCCTATAGATAAACCCTGACTCCTAAACCCTAGCCCCCAACCCTGAACCCAAATACAGCCAAAGAACAGAGAGCACCAAACTTCGAGCAGATTGTTCATGGGATCCTTCCGTTGATTTGAGGGTCGAGGGCTTGAGGGCTTAGGGTTCAGGGGTTGTGGGTTTGGGGTTGAGGGTTTGGGGAGTTTAGGGTTTAGGGAGTTGAGGGAGTTTAGGGTTTAGGGCTTTGGGGTTGAGGGTTTAGGGGTTTAGGGGTTTAGGCTTAGGGCTTAGCGATTTAAGGTTTGGGGTTGATGGTTAAGGCTTCACGGCCCGGGGTGCGCCGTCGCATACCGCCGAAAGTGCGTACCCTGCCCACGACCTGAACCCCTTCCGAATATCAATGGGTAAAAGGAGGGACCCCAAATTATTTGGATAAGGACCCCCAGGTATATACCCATAATATAGCCATGATATAAACATTGCATAGCCCATAATAGGGTAGGGGTCCCCATTAAGGGTCCCTCCCTTTCCCCTTTGAGAATAGAAAGCCCATGGCCCTCAACGCCGCAAACCCAGAGAGCCCAATACCCCTTAATGAAGGAATATAGCTTAAATCATAATATGAAGCCCCTTATAATTAAAGGTATGTTGCTTAGTTAAAGGGTATTGGAGTCCCCTAAACCCTAAACCCTATAGATCCCTTATAGATCCCTTTAAGGAACCCTAGGTATATTGCTTTCTTTAAGGGGTATTGGGCTCTCGGGGAACCCTAAACCCAGAGACTCCAATATCCCTTAATTCAGGAATATACCTTGAAATCATATTAGGGATCCTATTATAATTGAAGGTATATTCCTTAATTAAGGGGTTTTGGAGGCTCTGGGAAACCCCTTATGGCCTGGCTCTGAGCAACAATGGCTCAAATTCTGCAAGCGTCACCCATACCCAGAGCCTCCAAAACCCCTTAATTAAGGAATATACCTAGGGTTCCTTAAAGGGATCTATAAGGGATCTATAGGGTTTAGGGTTTAGGGGACTCCAAAACCCCTTAAGTAAGGAATATACCTTAAATTATAGCTCACACATGCTGTGACGCGAGTGCACGGCGCAAGCAGTGCGACTCGCAGCGAAGTCTGTTCGAACTCGGGGTGAAAATTAGATCGGCCTAGCCAGCACAGCCTTGCAGCCAGCTGAACGTCCCTGCTCGCCACGATTCACGTCCGGAGTTACAAAGCCTTTTGGCTTCATTGCTGGAGGGTGTGCCTTCGATTCCGTACCAAGCAAACCTGTTCCTGCCAGGATCTCCGCTGTCCGCATTGCAAGACTCCTCCGAACCCAGAGCCTCCAAAACCCCTTAATTAAGCAATATGCCTTAAATTATAATAGGGATCCTGTTATAATTTAAGGTATATTCCTTAATTAAAGGGTTTTGGAGGCTCTGGGAAATGGAGCCTCCGAGCTCAGAAAGCGCAGCAGCCAACTCAGGAGCACCTCGTTGCTGCCCAGAGAAATCAGGCACGACATTCGGAGGCACTGGTTACACCTTAAACTATAATAGGGATCCTGCTATAATTTAAGGTATACCTTAAATTATAATAGGGATCCTGTTATAGTTTAAGTTATACCTTAAATTATAATAGGGATCCTGTTATAGTTTAAGGTATATTCCTTAATGAAGGGGTTTTGGAGGCTCTGGGCCATACAAGCGATACTACGATACCTCAAAGTGCCATCAGGGCTTGTAGGGTCTTGGTAGTTGTCAAAATTAGGATCCCTTAATCTTGACAACCACCCGTTTACAGGTTTTAGAGGCCTGCAGGGATTATAAGGGCTCATAGGCTTTAGGGCCCGAAGACAACGAAAACCTACACCCAAACCACAGACAGCTGCAAGCCCAAAAATCCAAAATCCCTAAACTAAAACCCTACGAGTTTTTTCGAAAAAACAGACAGCTTCAAGCCCAAAAACCCTAAACCCAAAATCCCTAAACTCAAAACCTGAAATCCGACCCTACCCGAAAAAAAACGCCTGAAACGCGGAAGGGCAGGCAGGGGTTTAGGATTCGGGTTTAGGATTAGGTTTAGGGTTAGGGTTTAGGATTAGATGTAGGATTAGGTTAAGGGAAAGGGTTATATAAGGGTTGGGTTTAGAATTTAATTAGGATTAGGTTGAGGGCTGGGGTTTAGGATTCGGTTTAGGGTTTAGGCCAACCCACAACCGCAAACCCTCAAACAGCACGAAACCGTGAGCCCCTGAAAACCTCAAGCCCCTGAGCCCTTAAACCCCAAACCTTGTAGGATTTATGGCTTTGGTTTAGGGTTTATAGGGTTTAGGGCTTGGGTTTGGGGTGTTAGGGTGTAGGGTTGAACCCCACACCGGGTCCCTGAATGGATGGTGGTGAGCGCAGAGATATCCATACAGCGTCGACACCACCGCAGTGCTGAGCCTTGGATGTGGAAGTCATGACCCTGAACTCATAAACCCTAAACCCGCAAACCCTAAACCGTGAACCGCCTAAACCCTAACACCCTGAACCCCTAAACAGGATCCAAATATAGCACCCCACATAGTCGGATTGCTAGGATCCTTATTATAAGGACCCCAGAATAACGAACCCCCCCCCCATTTCCGGAAACTCTAAACCCTTATGGAGCCCTTTAACGGAACCCTTATAGTACCCTTATCGTAACCCTTTGAACAGCACCCTGAGGTACCCCACGGTTGATGATATGAATCCTGCATGACCCATAATAAGGAAGATACCATGATTCCCATAGTTTACGGCCCTTGAGGTAATGCAGGATTTTTTTATCATCAACCGGTTGATGATATAAATCCTGCGTTACCTTAATGACCCTAAACTATAGGAGTTATGGCATATTCCTTCTTAGGGGTAATGCAGGCTTTATGTCATCAACAGTAGTAAACCGCAGCTTTTTGCTGGTCCTCCGCGTCCGACGTCCTACACAGAGAGACTGAAAGCCTGAAATGACCCGGTGTAATACAGGGGCGATAATACTGTTGATGGACAAGATCCTGCATGACCCTAAGGACTCTAAACTATGGGGACTATGGTCTATTCCTTGTAATGGGCAATGCAGGATTTTGTCCATCACGCTCTAAATGTAGGGGGCCTTAATGATTGGAATAGGGCTTTGGGGCCCATTTGCCTTTTGCGTATAATAAGGCAACCTAAGAATAGAATTGGTAAATATTTTGGCTTCTGTAGTACGGGGATGCCAGAAAAACATGTTTCTGATGACTGCGGGATCTTTATGTTTAGGTGGTCCTTGGTACCCTGTCACACTGCAACCACTCGGATCGACACTTTTGAAAGTCAAAGCCACAATTTAAACTCTAGGCTCAGGGTTTAAGTTCGAGCCACTTTGCTTCTCGCAGGCAATAAACCCGCTACGGGGAGCAGAAACGACCTTTTTGTAGACTTTACTTAGGGCCAAAACATTACGACCCCTTTGCTAATCCTAGTAACGGCAGCGGCTTTGTCTCATGTCAACATGAAGCCCCCAATCCCCGAATGCCAGACACCAGAGGACGGTTCTATAAGGATTGTATAAGGGTCCCTTAAGCTTTTTTTGATGGTTGTACCGGGCTACCTCTAAACCCTGAACCCTAAACCCTGAACCTAGACCCTTGATTGACCCTAAACCTCTGAGAAAGTTTCTAGGTAGGGCCGGGGCGCAGCTGGATGGAGCCCAAATTCGTAAACACGGCCGCCAGGATGTTGATCTGCAGGTCCTCCACTGTAAGGGTTAGGGGTTAGTAGTTTGAATGACGGGAAGGAGGGGCTTGGAAAGAAAGGCGCTTCATCGCTAAACCCTAGACACTGAACTACAGAATCGAAGAAGAACCCCTGAAACGCAACGCCAAATCCTAAAACCTTGGACCCTAAAAGCCTTAACCTAAACCTTGGCAAACCCGTAAATCCTAAACCCTGAACCCTAAACCCTAAACCCCTAAACCCTAAACCCCTAAACCCTAAACCCTAAACCCTAAACCCCTAAACCTTAACCTAAACCTTGCAAAACTCCCCCTCCCCCCCCCCCCGCAGAGAGAAGGGCCTTCATCATCTTCAGGAACAGCCACCAGATGTAGGTGTCCCGGAACTCCTAGGCTCTTCAGTAACCCACTGGGGAAAAGTATATGGGTGGTTGTCAAAATCATGGTCCCTTTTTGGGGTACTCTAAATATTAGGTGCCATATTATAATAAGGACCCAAAAAGGGGCCCTAATTTAGAGGGCGATCCACACACTTTTTTAGGCTTCTTATTTTAGAAGAGGAACCCAGAAATCTGAAAGCAAGAAAGTGTACCACTGAACAGCCGGGACTCCGTCGCTACGAAGTGCCAGGGGCCTGACCAGAATTTCGGGCACGTGGGGCTTCGGTGATAGGGTTTAGGGATTAGGGTTTAGGGTTTAGGGATTAGGGTTTAGGGTTTAGGTTTAAGGCTTCGGTGAGCAGTGCGTAGGACTGCCAGAGTTAGGGTTTTTTTTGAGAGTTCCGTGAGGAGGTTGTAGGGCTTCGGGGAGCATTTTCCATTTCCAGGGTTGGGGGTTTAGGCTTTAGCGGTTGGGGGGGTTGAGGGGTTGGGGGTTAGGGTTTTTGGGTTTAAGGTTTAGGACAGCTAGACTTTGGGTTTACGCTTAGGGTTTCCTTGAGAGTTTCGGGAGCAGTTTGTAGGGCTTTAAACGATTGTAGCGGGCTTCGACCCTGCAGTGTTTTGCTTGAAGGCCTGAAACGGTATCGAGTTTTGGGTTTAGCGTTGAGGGCTGCGATCTGTCGGGTTTTCCATTTCCATCAACGCACCAATGAATTCAACCCATCTGAGATCTTAATTCTCAACGGGGTACGACTTCTCAATATAGTCCATGATGCAATTGGCGTCGGTTCCCGCCGTGCGATCAATCAAGTCCTGATTGAATACACTAAGAATTTCCTGTCGCTTGGTGTAGGCTTCCCTGGCGTTCGAGACGCGAGCTCGAGTAAGCTCGTAAGACCTGTTGAACCAAACAGGCTTGCCAGTCCGGCGATCATACGCGTACATCAATTACCAGTTTGACAGCCAGTCAGGAGTCTGACGCACATCATTCTTCGTCAAGAAGATGCGACAGCCTTCCAGACACGTGAGCTGCAGATCAATGGCGAACTCGACTTCAGCGCCTGGGAGGGGTCCGGCGTTGTTGGGCCGCTCCCATTGTGGCTGCAGCACTTCACAAAAAAACATTGAAAGCAAATTCAACCTATGCCATACAGCTATACTTCCACGCCGTGCCGGCCTCGATGTTTATCGTTCTGACCAATTTGGCTGATGTGAATGTTCTTCTAATTACAGTCACTACTTTGATTTGATACTATACCATTGCTATCCATTTACTTTTGCTGTTTGTTATCATTGCTATGTTTGGACATGGTGTATCCTGCATCGTACCCTACACCCTATACCCCAAACCCTAGACCCTTAAACCCTTTATCCTTTATCGTTAATAGAAAACCTTAAAGGAACCCTTAAACGAACCAAACCCTAGAGAACCCTTACAGGAACCCTGCTTATAAGCCTACTCACCGTTACTATGAGCCCCAAACCCTAAAGCCTAAACCCTTTATCGCTACTGTGAGCCCTAAACCCTAAACCCTGTATCGTTATTATGAGCCCTAAACCCCATACCCTATATCCTTTACTGCTGAACCTTAAAGGAACCGTTACCACGAGCTTCGGCTCGCCTTGGTCTCAAAGTCACTATGAGCAAACAAAAACCCCTAAGCCCTGTAGATCCCTTAACTCTCTTCTCCAACAACCGGGCCCCAAAAAGTTCAAACTGTCTGAGATAGAACTAGTAATAATAATAATATATATATATATATGTAAAACCAAAAAGAAAAATCTGCCGTTCACTGTCTAAGGTAAAGGAACCCCTTAATAAACCCCTGTACAACCCCTATAGACCCCCTAAAGGAACCCCGTAAGAATCCCTTGTAGAACCCTTATAAATCCATTATAGGTCCCTTGTAGAACCCGTATTATAGATCCCTTATAGATCCTTTATAGATCCCTCCAAGGAACCCCTTGAGCAAACTTTATTATAAATCCCTTACCTTAAAGGAACCCCTAAAAGGAACCGTAAAAGAACACCTGAAACAACCTTTAAAGGATACCTTGGGTTTGCCTCGATCTCGAAGTTACTATGAGCATACCGAAACCCTAAACCCTATACATTCCTTAGATAGCCGCTACTATGAACCCTGAACCTATATCCTTTCCGGTTACTACCCTAAACCCTAAACCCTATACCCTTTACCGTTACTACGAGCTTGGGTTCCCCTCGATCGCGGAAGTTACTATGAGCATACTGAAGAAACCCTTAAACTTATAGATCCCTTACAGGAAGCCCGGAAGAAACCCTTAAAGGAAACCTCGGGTTCGCCTCGATCGTGGAAGTTGCTCTTCACCAAGTGCTCCGCCACCTTCCGCGCCGCGTGGAAGACGAGGAAGGTAAAGCCGAGGCCTCTGTTCGCAAGGGCTCCCTTTAAGGGTTCCTTTAAGGGTCCTTTAAGGGTTCCTTTAAGGGTTCCTTTAAGGGTCCTTTAAGGGTTCCTTGAAGGGTTCTTTTAAGGGTTAGGGTTTAGGGTATTTTAGGGTTTAGAGTTGAAGGTTTAGGGTTTAGGATTCGTAAGGGTTCCTTTAAGGGTTCCTTTAAGGGTTCTTTTAAGGGTTAGGGTTTAGGGTATTTTAGGGTTTAGAGTTGAAGGTTTAGGGTTTAGGATTCGTAAGGGTTCCTTTAAGGGTTCCTTTAAGGGTTCTTTTAAGGGTTAGGGTTTAGGGTATTTTAGGGTTTAGAGTTGAAGGTTTAGGGTTTAGGATTCGTAAGGGTTCCTTTAAGGGTTCCTTTAAGGGTTCCTTTAAGGGTGCTCTTTTAGCGGTTCCCTTAAAGAGTGCTCTTTTAGGGGTTCCTTTAAGGGTTCCTCAAAGGGTTCCTGTAAGGCTCCTTTATGAGTTTGGGGGTTTAGGGTTCGAGGGCTGAACGTTTGTCGGTTTACGGCTTGGGGTTGAGGGTTTAGGATTTAGGGCTGGTTCTTTTAAGGGCCCTTTTCAAGGGGTTCCTTTAAGGGTTCTTTTTAAAGGGTTTTGGGTTGAGGGTTTCGGGTTGAGGGTTGAAGGAGGGGCTTAAACCCTAAACCCCTAAACCCTAAACCCTGAACCCTAAATCCTGCACCGAGCTTTCTTAGGCTGAGCGATCGGGTTGAGGATCCTTCTTAGGATGTAAACTGGCGTCTTTGAGGCTCAACACAGCGACCAAAACTAGGTAATGTAGGAACCTGATTAAGACACCTTCGGCCTGAGGGTTCCTTTAAAGGGGTCTATAAGGGTTACGATAAGGGATCTACAAGGGGACTATAAGGGATCTATAAGGGTAATGAAGGAACCTGATTAAGAAACCCTGGGCCTGTATTAGGGTTCCTGAAATGAATCCTACTATTTGAAGGGTTATGGGCCCAGGGCTTCTTATTCAGGTTCCTACATTAGCACCACAGGCGAGTATAGGACCTGCATGGCAATCATTGGGCCAAACATCTTGATCCGCCGTCAAGGGCATAGCGCCTAGTCCCGGGTTGTGAGTATAAAGATATGTTCATCCGTAAATCTACGCCACCAAGCCCGAAGCTTTAGTTTCATGCAAGGCACTAAACACCAGGTTGTAGACGAGCGCAAAAGGAAGCAGCTGCATCCAGTCCTCAACATGCGAGATTTGGGACGTCTCTGGAGGTTCAAACATTCGGGGCTTGGGTTTTTAGGGCTTTTTCGGTTTAGGCTCCAGGGTTTAACGGCTTAGTTTAGGGCTCGGAATGTAAGGGTTCAGGTTTAGGGCTTAGGACGGGTTACAAGAGACCCTAAGCCTCAGAGCCTGATCCCTAAGCCTAAAGCCCGCAGCCTCGTCCTAAGCCCTCTCCACACCAGTGCAGCTCCGAGTGTCGCTCAGATCCGCACCGGAGCTGGGACAGTCGATGTGCGGGTAGATGACCACCTTGGGTTTGGGCAGGAAAAAATGGTTTAGGGCTTAGGGGTTTAGGGGTTTCGGGGTTTGGGGTTTAGGGGTTAGGGATGTGCGGGTAGATGACCACCTTGGGTTTAGGCCTTCATAATTACCGATACTATTTTGGGGGCTCCTTCTTATAATTATAGTACACCTTGCGCTTGGGCAGGACAAAAATACAGGATGCTGTTTTGGGGGTTCCTTATTTTGATTATAGTATGACGGGCTAAGGCTCCTACATAGGGGTGTAGGGTTTCGGGTAGATGACCACCTTGGGTTTGGGCCTTAATAATTACCGATACTATTTGGGGTGTTTCTTATTTTGATTACAGCATGACGGGCTCCAACTATTCTAGTCATCTAGGCCCCTACAGTAGAAGCCGGAAAGTTGGAACATCATTGGCCTCGTGCCCTTAAAGCAAAGTATAAGGAATCCCAGCATGAATCATCCTAAATCTATGTCCCATCTTTCTGGGGTTCACTATACATCCGGGCTTAGAGTTTAGGGGTTATAGGAAACTCCAGAAAGTTGGAATATGGTTTCATGGTAGGATACCCTCTAATTTACCATAGAAGGGTTAGGATAATTATATTCCAACTTTCTGGCTTTTACCTTAGGGGTTTAGGATTTTCTTTTGCAAGGGCAACGGATTTTCTCTCTGCAGAGGTCTGTCGCGCTTTCGAAGGCCAGGGTTTGGGGCTGAGGGTTTCGGGTAGAAGACCACCTTGGGCTTAGGGGCTTCGAGGTTTAGGGGTTTGGGGCTTAGGGGTTTAGGGGGGGTTTAGGGGTTTAGGGGTTTTAGGGTTTAAGGCTTAGGGGTTGGGGTTTAGGAGTTACGGGTTAAGGGTTTAGGGCTTAGGGGTTAGGGTTTCGGGTCGATGACCACCTTGGCTGAAGGTTTTGGGGTAGGGGCCGGGCCCCCCGGCCGGGGGTCCCGGGCCTAAAGTCTGGGGGTGTTGAAGGCTTTTAAGGTTTCGTTTGACCTTGGGCGAAAACCTAAGCCCGGTACCCGGACATCCCAGCACCCATGATTTCTGGCATATTCAGGAAAAAAACACCACTAAATCATGCACCTGACATTCTTCCGTAGGGAACCAGTTTGCAAGCCTTTTTCGTACCCTGGTAGTGTCCCTGATACCGCGTCTAGTAGCCCTTGTACCTTGTAGAACCCTTAGAGTTAACCTTCAAGAGTCCTGGTTGCAAACCTTTCATGGAACCCTCATTGCAAACCTCATAGAACCTTTCTTGCAAAGCTTGTCGTACCCTTACCCTAAACCCCAAACCCGAAACCCCAAACGTTAAACCCCAAAGCCAAAACCCTGCAAGGCGAGGCACGCTAGAGATGCCATTCGGACCAGTGGAGCACGTGAACACGATGAAGCCGTTGCGCACGATCAGGCTGTAAAACAAACAGCCTACATGGGAGTTTCCGAAAATTATGGGTACCTTAGGGTTCCTTTAGAGGGTTGCTATAAGGGCAATATAAGGGTTCGTGTAAAGGGCTCTATAAGGGCTTAGAGTCTCCGAAAATCAATAGGTACCGCATTTTGGGGGTCCTTATATAATAAGGATCCTACTATTTAGGGTACGAGATTTAAGGTCCCCTATTTTCGGCGGCCTTAGGGCCTTGAGCTTAGAGTTTTGAAGTTTAAAGTGAAGGGTTTACGGTTTCGGGGCCCCAAACGTTTAATCGAATTTAAGCTGCAGAAGAAGAAGTAACTGAAATGCAGCTGGCCTGATACGGCCCACGAAATACAGGTTAAGAACTAGTGAGCTCTGCTTCAAATTTGAGGGAATCGCAGGGTAACCTAGGTTTGACCTGGCAGGACATGCGGGTGGACCAAAACTGGAGCAGCCGCATCTGCTGCTTGTCCTTCAGTACGAGACTGCCGCGCGAAAGCATCATGTACTGCCTGTCGGACCGCACCGGCGTCTCCTTCAAATCTGCCGAATTCGTGAAGCAATCATGGCCTGGCACCTCACACATGAGGACCTCCGCACCGCTGGGAAGCGTCCTGACCGTAGTTTACGGCCAGGTGGCCGTCAGATTTCGCTCAACGAAGTCGGGGTTGAACTCTGACACGTCCACTCCAGCCGACTGCAGCTTTGGCAAGCCAGAGCTCAAAACCCCTGAATGAAGGAGTATACAATTATAATAGGGATCCTGTTATAATTTAAGGTATATTCCTTAATTAAGGGGTTTTGGAGGCTTTGGCAAAAAGCTAGCTTGCCTGAACAAGGAACTGGGGTGTGCAGTTCATGGCTACGGGCTTGCTACCTAGTCGCACAATTGCGAAACCCCCAAACCAAACGCTAAACCCTAACCCCTCAAACCCTAAACCTCTAAACCCTAAAACCTAACCCCTAACTCCTAAACCCTAAAACCCTGAACCCTAAAAAGCCTAAAATCCTAAAACCCCTAAACCCCAAAACCCGAGACACTTCACCCTATCGCAGTCGGGTCGACGAGAAGTCAGACGGAGCGCTTCTCCCATGGTGCTTTCCGGCTTCTGCCGGAACTCAGCCGGAAGTACAATGAACATGTCACAAAGGTGGAGGGCAAGAGTTTAAAGGATTAATTAACCCGAATCCGTTACATACCACCTCAAAAGCCCAGAAGACAGTGGCAGAAGGAAATCACACCCAAACAACGAAGTGATTTTGGAGAGCCTATAGCACCTTGTACATCCCCAATCAACACTAAACCTTCACTTAGCGCTTTTGGGCAGAGGAGCCAACAACTCCTAAGGTTGACTATAGCTAGTCTTACTGCATAAGCCTATACTAAACTTAGACCCCTAGCCGAAATTCCAATCCGAAGCAGCCTAGGGACTATCGGAACCCAACACTAAAACTTAGTTCTAAGTACCTCTAAGAGCAAGGTGGTACGGTTGATGATATAAACCCTGCATTACCCATCATAAAGCATATAATTACCATAATTCCAATAGTTTCGGATTTATGTCATCACCCTAAACCCTAAAACCCTAACACCCTACAGATCCCTTTAAACGAACCCCTTAAAGGTACCCTTCTAGATCCCGTTAAAGCAACCCATCAACCGTCGGTTCAGAATCCTCGGAAGAGCAAAACGAGCACTGAGAACCCGCATACCCCAAACTGCAAAAGAGGGCTCCGGTTGATGGTTTAGGCTAACTGGCAAAAGATTTGGGGCGTAGGGTTTAAGGTTCTGTAGGGTTTTAGGGTGTCGGGCGTAGAGCGCCCAGAAACTGCTCTGCAAAACGGTTGAGGGCCCCTAAAACCTAAGCCCTTGAGGCCCTCAACCCTTACACGCTGCTAAACCCAAGGCCTGTGAGGACCAGCAGCTCCAGCATCTGTGCGGGGACGCACGTGCAAAGCCGTGGAAGGGTGAAAAAAGAGGTTTCGATTCTAGTTAGAAAAAGGTTTTGGGCTCCTTTACAGTATAAATATAATGAGGAACAAGGTGTTGGGCTCCTTGATAGCATATTAGGAAGCCTGAGCATACTTTGGTAAACCCTAAACCCGAAAACCCCTGCCATTCAACTTGGGCTCTCCGCGAGGTACTAGAACACCCTCGAAAGCGACCTCGGAAAAAAAAATTGAGGCAATCCGCAAAAAAAACTGACAAGCCTTCATTCAAAATGTCCTAATAACTCGTAATCATCTGGGCATGTACTGTAATAGACTGGTACTATATTACCCCAAGGGTCCAAGGACGTGATAATCATATACTCTCCGAAGTCCTAACCTACATAACTACTATCCTAAAAAAGGGGACCTAATTATTGGGTCCTTTGGACACCCTAAACCCTAAACCCCTAAACCCTAAACCCTAAACCCTAAACCCTAAACCCTAAACCCTAAACCCTAAACCCTAATTATTGGGTCCTTTGGAACCTTAGGGTTATGGTATCGGAACATCCCCTTCCAGAAACACGGGCCGCGAACCCCGAAGTTTTCCCCGCCCTTTCCTTCCGGGAGCCGCTCCAAGTCGTGAAGGGTTGGGGGGCCAAACCCTTGTCCAGTTGGGAGTTTCCGAAAGTAGGGGACCTTAAATCTCGTACCCTAAATAGTAGGATCCTTATTGTTAGGACCCCGAAAATAAGGTATAAACTAGGATACCCAGTAACCTAAGAATAAAAAGGCCTCTCTTTTTGGTATTGGGTAACTTTATAAGGAACCTAGGACTACAAAAAAGGAAAAGGGGTACTACTGGGCATCCTAGCCCTTGTCCAGTTGGGAGTTTCCGAAAATAGGGGACCCTAATTTAGCACCCTAAATAGTAGGATCCTTACTACAAAGACCCCAAAAAAGTATCCCTAATTTCGGACCACTCCAAGTCGTGAAGGGTTGGGGGTGCAACCCTTGTCAGGAGGATACTCCAACTCGTGAAGGGTTGGGGGGTGCGACCCTTGTCGACAGGAGTGCCAGCAAAACTTTCGGGTTTGGCAAGGCTCTGCAAGGTAAGCCCCAGACCTGTGACCCCGTCGAACCGTTTAAGAGGAGCATTCTTGATCCATTCCAATGGCACGACATTGTGGAAGGCTCGGACCCTTAAATGACTGAACATGGCCACATGGCATAACTACCGGACCCTGCTGATGATACAAATCCTACAAACCTCCGATGTGTTGTACGGTAACGTGTCTGCGACCCTGCCCTAAACCGTGAACCCTAAACGTGGCGCAGGATACCTGTATTCCCCGCACGTCCAGGCTGGCGACAATAGCCTTCGGACCACCACACGCTCGCCTGGGTTTGGGCTCCAAGACTCTACTTGGAGGTTCATGGGTAATTAGTTGTAAGAGGGGCTATAAGTCTCCTAATACGGGTTATAGCTATAGTTATCCTACTCCTAAACCCCGCTTATTACTACCCATAAACCTCCAAGTATTCAGGTTTAGGGACGAGGCCTCAGGCTATGCTGTTTCGCCCAGTCTTGCTTACGCTCCGGGGGAAGCCCTCCAACTTACCCCTTTAATTTCGCTTGTGTCTGTATATATATATATATATATATGTATATATCCTTGGTAGTAGCCATATTTAATTTGAAGAACCTAAACCCTGAATCCTAAACTCTGAAACCCTAAAGCCTATACCCCGTAACACTGCTATCTGAATTCCGAATCCTGGACATCCTCATGCCTCTCTGGCGCCTACCGTCCTTCCGAGGCGTTAAGGGTTTAGAGTTTAGGGAGGCGCTGGGACTCTGAACGATTTCGGAAATTCTGTTGCGACGTGTCTTGGTTGCTTCGGGAGGGGCAGGGCTTCTTGACGATGTCCTCTGGATTTTGGTGGCTTAATCGGGGTGCACACGGGTTTCGGTTTTAAGTTTAGGGTTCAGGACTTGGGGCTTAAGGTCTAGAGTGTGAGAATCAAACCCTACGCTGAGAGTCTAGTCAGACAGGGTCTAGAAGCAGGCTCCTGGCAATTCAAAGATTTCTCTCACAGGATTTAAGATATTGTCGCAATAACGCGTACCACTTGTCTCTGCTTCCCGAAACCTGACTTCTACAACCTTTAGCCTGGACCCGTAAAATCCACAACCCTACTTGAAGGTTCATGGATAGCAATACCCCCTTTTCTGGGTTATGTAACCGCTCAGCAGAAGCTAAGTGCGGACACAGCCACAGACCTTTGCGAGCTAGTCGCACCAACAGCCTCGAGGTGCGTTGCAGGGGTTGCGAGCTCAATCAAGGGCCAGGGGCCTTAATCATTGGAATAGGGTTCTTCGGGCCCATTATACTGTAGTTATAATAAGGAACCATCGCCTTCAATACCAGAGCTCTCTACCAGAAGCTTTTTTGGCAGGGTCCAGGTTTTACAATACGGACCTACATAAAGGTCGGGCTTGGCAGGTTAAGGTAGTCTAGAAGTACTCTCAGATCTACAAGGGCTGAATATGTATAGGTTAGAAGCTGCCCCCACCCTGCAATAGTGACTATAAGGATTATACTAGGGCCCTATTATCTTGCTATTATGCCACTATTACAGGGTGGGGGCCCCTTCTAATGTATAGGCTTCTTTAGAAGAGATCCGTTCTTCAGGGATTGGCCCGAAAACGCGAAACCGTAAAGCCCAAACCTAGTTCATTGTTGGGATAGGTTTAACAACTTACACTTTTACTCATTGTTACGCATTGTTGGGTTGAAATACCCATAAAACTGTAAAAGGTTACCCAACTATGACCAACAAACCTTAAACTCCGTAGATGTTGGGGTTCAGGTCGCTTTGGCCTTATGTATTTAGCACATACTAAGCAGTGGTTTTGGGGTTCCCTTGGCTCTTTAGGTCCTTAATTTCATAGGGATTATCATCATCCCTGGCTCCTTAGCTCCTCCAATATCAACGGTTAGCATCGCATACCGCAGTAGTGGTTTGCTAGCTGGACCCACAGGGTTCTTGCAACACACTGCTGTGGGGGGGGTTCCTTATTATCAGTATAGTATAATATACCCCCAAACAGACATTCTAGTTACTAAGGCCCCCTATACTAGGATACCCAGTAACCTAAGAATAAAAAGGCCTATCTTTTTGGTATTGGGTAACTTTATAAGGAACCTAGGACTACAAAAAAGGAAAAAGGGTACTACTGGGCATCCTAGTATATTAAACCCAAGACAAGGGGCCAAGAAAGCAGGGTCATCGCAGCCAGCAGCACCGGTATCAGATAGCGCACCAACATCTCCTCACAGCATAGAGTCCCTTGAAGGTTTCCTCTTCTACTTAAAGGATCATGGGACTTAGTAACTCGGGTAATTATTGGGGTAGTGATACTTATAATTACTTATAACCCCAATTAGAGTACTTATAACCCTACTTACTGAGTCCCATGATCCTCCAAGTAGGGCTGCTTCCTGGAACGGGTGCCGTCAAGGGTTCCTTTAAGGGGTTTTAGGGTTTAGGGTTGCGGCTTTCGAAATGCGAGAGATCGCTCCATAGATCCGAAGCAGATCTTTTCGGGTTTCTGTTGCGTGGTTTCAAAAAACCCTAAACCCTAAACCCTATGCAAAGGGATCTAACAGATTCGGGCCTCTCGACTTGTTGGAGATTGATTGGGTTTTGATCAGGGCCTTTGATCTACAACAGGTTCTCTCAAAACAGCTCGTAGGTAAAGAAAGCCTCCATGGCAAAAAGGTCTGCCGCAGCCGGGACTTCAGAGCCCCATCAACCAAGCCAGACATCGTAAACTATAGACGGATGATTGAAATTTCGTCGTTAAGAGTTGCGCTGGTATCGTTTGCACGAGTAAACGGATCCTTGACATGTCTTAAACACTTAAAACCCTAAATCCTATATTGTAACCCTACTGCTGATGGACAAAATCCTGCATGACCCTAAGGACTCTAAACTATGGGAACTATGGTATATTCCTTATAATGGGTAATGCAGGATTTTGTCCATCAACAGTAGGAACCCTTCAAGAGAGCTCTTAAGGCCTAAACCCTACTTGGAGTTGTTAACATGAAGGGTACCCTATGTTCCAGTATTCAGTCCCAACAAGGAATCCGAGAAAAAAGAAAAAAAGAAGTGTGAAGGGGAACTACTTCTGGAAACCTAGGAACCGCAAATGCACCGAGATTCGCGGAAGAATCTAAGAAACCCAGAACCTAAAGAAGTCCCTCCTAAGCCATAAACCTCAAACCTGAACCCCCTTTCCTAAACCCCTAAACCCTAAACCCCAACGCCGACCTAAACCCTACCCCTGAACCCTAAACCCTGCTCCTTTAAACCCTACTGTAAACCCTCCCAAAACCAAACCCTACCCCCTACACTTTGAAGGCAAGCATCGTTGAAGGACGAAGGGTGCGGTAGCACGCATCCCAAGCTGGGAATTGTGATGAGCTCCTTTGCTTCAACGGCTGCGGGCCTTTAAGAGATCCTCTATATAAGGCCTCCTTTAAAGGACTCCTCTAAGGGCTCCTTAGACAGGATTCCTTTAAGGGCTCCTTTAGAGGATTCCTTTAGGGGTGCCTTTAAAGTATTCCTTCAAGGGTGCCGTGAAGGGTTCCTTGAAGGGATCCTTTGAGGACTCCTTTACGGGGTCCTTTAGGGTCGTTTCCTTTAAGGGCTCATTTAAAGGATCTATAGGGCTTCCTTTAAGGGCTCCTTTGAGGCATTTATGGATTTCCTTTACGGGTCTTATCACGAGAATTTAGGAGCCGTCATCATAAGAGTTTAAGAGTTTAGGGCTTTCAGGTTTAGTGTAAAATTCGGTAAAATGTTGAAGGTTTGGGGGTCCGATAGCTACATAGTCGTAGAAATAAGGCAAACCCCCTATGTATACTAAACTGAGAATGTATGCTTGACCAGAGCGACGCCATGAATTCAGCAAAAGGATCCCGAACCTAAAACTGTGTTTGAGCTTATAAAACCCCGCATAAGCCCACAAAGAAATCTAAAGAGACATGCACCCCAAACCTAAACTAGAGACTTTCGACCAACCCCAAACCCATGCTCAAAACCTGAAGGCCCCAAATCGCAAACGCGTTCAAGGCCACGGACCCTAATTCTGGTTTAGGTTTTGGGGCTTCGTGGTTGGGGACATCAGGTTTAAGGTTTAAGGCGGTTTAAGGTATGGGGTTTCAGGTTATTTAGGGTCGAGGGTTCATTCCAAGTAAGGACTTGGTCTACGCCCCGATTAGGCTTTGCAGCATTACGGGCTAGGGCTTTGGGTTCAAAATCTAGGGTTTACTCCATCACGAAACCCAGCTTGAAGGGAACGGCACTCAGTACGAAAGGTTATAAGTAGGACAGTAGGACCAGACAAGGAGGTAGACGGATCTATATGACAGTCTGCATGTACCCTAAACCCTAAGCCTTAAAGTACATACATTGCGTACGGCCCCCACTCAGTAATAGTTGAGTAATATTCATAATATAGATATATTAGGACCTTAATACTAGGTGTTGCTTTCGACCCTGGCGAAAAATTTTAGTGGTTTTTGCTGTTTTAACTGCTGTATACATAATATTGCCTGATGCAGGCAAGTTTGGGCCTTACATAGTGCTTGCAGTAACAAGGGATCCCAAATGCCAAACATAACAATCCCGTGTAAACATACCCTGAAACTTGACCCGCTCATCCCGGCTACCAACAAACACCTGAATCTGAACTTGACACGCGCTTTTTACGCAAGCGAAACTCAGTGTGCTCCATATACAAGGGCTTTAGCACTTCACGTTTGCTTCCGGCTGCGAAATAGTTCCGAATATCCATTAGAGCTGCTTTCCACATCTCCGCAACATGTAACCTCGTACTCACATACCCGTGTCACATCGAACTTTATGGGCTGACGCACATGTCGCGATGCCAATCCACACTTGTGGACGACTCACTTGCTTCGCCAGCGCCACAGCACCTGCATCGGGGAAAGATCAGGATCTAGGTTTCAACGGGCTTAGCGCTGCTTGGCTGGGGTGTTGGTTTTGGGGACTGGCGGGCGTGGGTGTGGTTGAACTTGAAATTCGGGGTTCGTGGTTTGGGGGTTGTGCTGTGGGCCGCAGGGTTCAGAGGCAAGCTTGACAAGGGGGGTGTAGGGTTTGGGGGTTCGGTTGTGTTGAGGACGTGACGTAGAGCGATGGCTTTGCGGATATGTTAGTTTGAAAACTAAAGCCGGCAACACCCCGCCAAACTCGAACGCCCGAGTCCGCAGCACAAAAGCCTTCCAATGATAGTCTGAAATCTAACCCCGATGCTTCCAAATCTTTTTAAGACGGCCCGCCGCAGTTGTATGAGACATCGCCAGAGTCACCGTGAGTCTGACGACGGGCTGCGCCAGCGCCTTCGCGTTCGCCCCTTGTCGCGAGAGTCGCGAGAGCGGGACCGCCTGCGCTCATGCCCACCACGCTGCCCAGCGCCTGCGCCATCACCATCGCGCGAGTCGCGAGAGCGGGACCGCCTGCGCTCACGCCCACCACGCTGCCCAGCGCCTGCGCCATCACCATGGTCCTGGGAAGACAACCTACTTATCATTTACATATACACATATAATATGTATATGTATATATATATATATATATATATATGAATATGTGCATATTTGTTAAAAAAAGACAGTGATAATAAAACATAAAATACATAGATACATCTATGTAATATGTTTCTTACAATGTAACGACAAGTGCAAGTGCACGTAGTCGTAAATCCAGTTACCATGTTGATAAACACAGTCCTCATAGTGGCCGCCTTTGGGACGACCACGCCGGCGGTAATAATCATCACGCCAACGCCAACCATCGTCATCATGGTTGCCACTCCAACTCTGCTCATGCCGGTTCCAACCTGAGTGGGATTTTGTGCTCGGAGTACGAAGACCCAGCGAATCAGCAATAAAAATAAAATTGAACTACAATGCGACGGACACTTCTTACTACAATGAACTACTGACTAGGCTACCTTCAGCCAAGAAGCTCCGATTTTTCAGCATGTCAACCCGTTCATTGATGGCAGCAGTTATCATTGCTGACGGATTGCGCCAGGCTGGAGGACGACTGCTATGGAGCATTCCTGAGTTAGTTGAGGGGGGGTTGGGAGGTAATGGTTTTAGTTTGTTTGTAATAGCAGGCAAGCTGCTATCGAGCCACCCAACAATCTCCTGCGCCTTCGACACACCGCCGTCCATGCTCACCAACACCGACGCGTTCTCGGTATAGGGCCCAAGTGTATTTTTGTGCAACGTCTTTAGGGTACTAAGTTATAGCTAGGTTTGCGATTTGTGGTTCAGGGTTGAGGGCTACAGGAATGAGGGGTCTAAAGGTGTGGGTTCAGGATAGCAAATCAAAAGCCTGGGAACCACCCACACGCGTTGGTCCACCTTAAACGCGTCAAACTGGTCACAAAGCGCCGGCGCGTGCTTCAGCACCTGTGCTCGCACCTGCCACAATTCAATCAATGAAACAAGTGACTACATCAAGACTTCTTTGACTATCCCAGTAGTCTTAGATGGTTATAATCAAACCGCATCAAATCCTACAGAAAAAGAAGCACAGCATCCCATGCCTGGTCCTGCAAACCTGGTGGCGCCTGCGCCGACCCAGCTGCAGCGCTGGTGTGCGCCGACGGTGGCGTCGACGTCGCCGGCGCCTCGCTGTACTTCAGCATCCGACCCACGCGGGCCACGAGCTCCTCGATACGCTTCGCCGCATTGTCGTCGATGCAAACGTCGCCAGTGACGCTCGACCCCTTCGGATACGCCTGCGCCTGAAACAAGCCGTCATGACTTGGCAGCTCGAATTCGAAGTTGAACACCAGCGCCGTCAGCACCGCCACCGCCGCAGATCTGTGCAGGCCTTGGGAACCTGGTACAAGGATTCTACTTAATACTTCATACTGTTAGTGTGGTTTATTTGATTGAATATTAATTGCTTACATTTGTTCATGATCCTGTATGAAAACATATGACTCGGGTATGAATTAGTTAACCATCTGGGAGGACAAAACCAAAAACGCAACCGTGCCTTTTAAAAATATGTCACTCGCAACTTTCCTGAATACATATTATTGAGTCAAGATGCAGACCAGCTGCACGCACAATGGCCGTGACTCCATCGTGTCACTCGCCTGCGCCTGCAAATATGTGTACACAGCCCCCACCACCGACGCCAATGCCTTCGCAAAGCCGAGTTCGCCCATCATCGCCAGCAAAAAATCTTGGTTGTTCGCCGGGTGCCATTCGCCTGGGAGGGCAAGGGGTCTTCAATAACCCTAAAATATAATATTAATAATGCTTCAAAAGCGCCTAGGGTCAAATACAACTTGAACAGCCAAGTCTCCTTCCACCTTTTTGAACCGCCCGCGCCGCTGCCCCTCCGCCTGCCCCTCCGCCTGCCCCTCCGCCTGCGGACTCCTCATCATGTTCCTCACATCGATTGTGTAGTGAACATGGCCTGGGAACTTGCCGTAATAGAACCCCGCCATCATGTCCCGCCCCTTCTCGCCAACGCCCCCGCCGGATCCTCGGCATTTAAGGTATGTCAAGAGAGCATTTCTCACTTCTGTTTACAACACTTATTGCTTAGTACCTAAAACCATGCAGTTTATGTTTGACACTAAAAAGAAAATTTGACCGTTTTTTAAAACCTGGGCACTGTCGCCCACGATGTACTTGTGCTCAGCGCCCCACGCCACCAACACACTGTTCGCCGGCACCGGCGGCAGCGCGAATGGTATCTCGAATGGTAGCTCCATGACGAGAGAAGTCACCTACACCTACGCCTACCGCCTATGACCGCCTGTCTGGCCTATAGTAGCCTTCCCCTGCACCCACACCTACGCCTACGGCCTACGGCCACGCCTGAGCGCCTGCGGATGGGCCTACGCCTATTATTACTGAATGGCTGTGAACATGTGATTATAACTGTGAAAAAATGCAACATACACAGGACGAACAATCATCAAGCATGCTGCTACGTTAGACAAATGAGCCTCATATGAAGGTGATCCAGTAACCCTATATTATATATCCTACGCAACGCGTGCCCTTGAACCTCAAAATTCAAGCGCCACTGTAAACAACTCCTCTAGCTAAACCCCAAACCTGACACTCCCTAGCCCACATGCCCTGAACGACAAGATCCAAACACCCCTGCTCCAGAAGCATCTAAAGCACGAAGTGACCTCTGGACTCTGTGGTTCACCTTTGTAGTGCCAGATCAAAGCTCTAAACCCCTAAAAACCCCCTAAATCCTCCAGTCTACAGTTTACACCACCGCATTCCAAAACATGCCCCTGCGCAACCTCCCTCTTATACGGCACCTGCGCCACGGACATCTGGCAGTGCAACTTCTGTGGCGAAGCCTGCGTGTCAGGGCAAACATACAGCGCGGGACCACTGAATTGCTTGCTC